TATATATATATATATATATATATATATATATATATATATATATATATATATATATATATATATATATATATATATATATTCTACGTTTATTTTGCTCAAGTTAAAATATTGATACATGGAAACAGATGTTTCTGAGTTGGTGAAAATAGTCGATAAATGGTCACAATAATTCTCTTCAAAATCTGTTAGTAATGATCTAGCCACTTTATTTGGCCGTGGCGTGGACGTTAAAAATCCTTTCACTTTCTTCAAAGAAACAGAAAGGGGAGATAATATTACTCGTTTGCGCCCAGAAATCTCTGAAAGTTCCACCGTTATGTCTCACGTATCTTCCGCCATCTGGAAAATAGTATTGAGTTGATAAAAAGAACCCGTATGTAAGCAGCCGGGGCCCCGATGGAAGCTGGACAAATTGATAGTGCTTGGAAACGCTAAGTTTGTGCTCGTAATTTTATGTTGTGCTTGTTAATCTGAGGTGAGGCTCGTTAATATTGGTGTTTGCACTAGGGAATCTTAGGCTCATGCTCGGAAACGGCATTAATCGTTTATGAGGCCTGATGGATGTCAGACTTAGCTGTGGATCACTCTCAAGATGGTTAGGACGCTAAGCTAATTTTACAGGGTACATTAATTGAGGGTGTCTCCTTTGAATTCCCAAGTACACACTGTGTATTGTGTGCTTTACAACCTAATCTTACCCTTACCAATAATTCAACCATGAAAACATGATTTACTATTACATGTTACATGTATTTGTTCTTCATCTTTGTGAAAAGGTTTGATTGCCAAAGGGGATGCAAACACAGTCTTTGTTCCAGGGGTAAAGGTAATGTTAACTAATGGCTCAGCCCAAATAAACTGAACTCTTGTTTACATTGCTAGACAAGCATTCACTTATAATCTAGATAAAAACAAAATCTGACCTTGTTAACATGTATTTAGATGTAAAAAGATATTACTCACAAAGTCTGTGACACATAAGACATATTTAAGTTAACACAGAAAGTCAGAATGATAGAAATTGTTCAAGTTGCACAGTTGTACCTCACTAGTGTTGTTCAACTTGTCATTTGCAATGCTTGCACCAATACAGATATAATACAAGTTGTAAGATAAAAAAATAAAGAATTGAGTTCTACTGAGGTCTTCTGTGTAATTTTGCATGCAGCTGCTACAATGTTTGCAGACTCTATTTTGCCACTCTTTTATGTTCTCATAGGGGTAGGGATGAGTCATAGGCATAAAGGCTGTAAGTACACTACTCTTATGTACCAGTAGAACCAAAATAAAAAAAAAAAACGTTGGTTGGTATTTCATATAACCCTAGAAAATAAATTATCTTGCAGCTACATGTAATGCATCAAACTGGCTTTCTAAAAGATAAATGGTATTTGAAACCAAGTTCATTTTCATTTGACTTTCAAGTTTGTTCTAGTTTGATGAAATGATAAATCCATGATGCACAGAGCTTTTTGATATCATTTTAATGGTGCTTAAAAACATGGTCGGGTTCTTGTTTTCATATTAACCAAGTTGTCATTTCAAATTGTAGTCATAACTACAGCTAGTCTATATGTTACATGTTGTATTCTAAGGAACCAAGGGGATTTAAATGACAATAATGAAGGCTCCAGGATTCAAAATTGATGCTTGTTCCTATGAGCCCCCCCCCCCCCAACACACAAATATGACAAATATTAATAAGCCTATATCATTAATTAATTTATTATCATTTTTGTCAAAACTTCACCCATGCCATGTTTATGCATCCCATGAGCAATGTGATGTGTATATTTATATCCCAGACAAACACATTTTGATTGCTGCATGCTACTACCTTGAGTCATTTGGCAGCCTGGCTCAGGTGGATTTCCACAAACCATAGCTTTGAAAATGGTTTTCTGAAAGGGTTAAGTAATGGATACAATAACTTAGCAAGAAAAGTGTTGCAGTATAACTTTAGTTTCAAAAGGATAACAATGCTGCAGGCCAAGCAGGTCTCTTCTGTCTATGCCTATAGTATCTTTTTGGAACACTTAAATGCATTGCTGAATTTCTAGAAATAGTCGTGATTGAGGAGAGATGAAGGCGTGTGTGTGTGTAGGGGAGGTTGATTCATGTTGCTAAAGCATGAGTTTGTGAATCATGTATATTTTGACTAAACTAATTACAGTTTCTAAATTCTTTTGTGCAGATTAATAAAAAAATGTCTTAATTATTTTATTCAGGTAAGGCCACACTTTTTTATTTTTATGGATGACATCCTCTGGGTACCCCAAAATCGGTGCGAGAGGGCGAAAAAAAAAAAAACAGTCCAAAAAAAAAAAATACTGCTTAAGTAAAGGAATGCTGTCAGTACACAGCTGGAAACACAAATTTTACCACAGAAACACGTAACAAACTAACAATATGTCTTTATCCATGCTCTCAAAATATTAAAGCATTGTGAATACTTCATAGAAATGTAAAACAAAAGTCATGAATAGATATACTTCTTATTACAAAATCTATTAAGGTTATTTCATGCATTTTGTTGGTATAGCAATCAATAAAACAAATGTCAAACAAACAGTGTTTCTTTATTTGTATTCTCAGAATAAGCATTTTGAACACTTCAGAGAAATGTTTAAAAAAATGATGCAAAGATATGCTTAATACTACCAAATCTATTAAAGGTCATTTCGGACGATGCCATTTTGTCTAATTCGACTCACACGGCCGAACTGTCAGGTGGCCTGTCCGACCTTCAGCCCACCAAATACCTCGACGCCCTTGTCAACCCTTTTTTCGCTACAGAAAACCTGGTAGCCTATGTGCTGCTTTGTACTGAATGTCACTGACATTTTTCGGGCGATAATCGCTGGCAGCCGCCAGCCTTTCGCACAATTGTAAAAAGGTGATATCTCAATGCCCAATATCAATGGCATACCAATCCAAAACGACGGCACCCATTCTCTTTATGACTTGAAAGTAATCCTAGAGATGAATTTGACGGCAAAGCGGCCACATTTCCACGTGGCGATAATACGCATGCGCAGAAAGCTCATTTCCTGGCAAATTCAATAACGATGTTTGCGACAACCGACTTCTTTGGGGGCTGGGGGGGGGGATTTTTTTTTTTTTTCCGGAGAACGGGCGAAAATCGGTGCGCGCACAGGATGTCATCCAGAAAAATAAAAAAGTGTGGCCTAAATAACATTTTAACGGGAATGCTCATATCATATTAGTCCATTAAATCAGATTTTTATTATTTTTATAATTTACTGTACTATATACAGATATATACATATAAATGGGTGAAAAAATGCCAAACACTTTCATATATATCAAATTGCATTTTATAGAAAAATTTCAAAAACTTCTTTCTTCATTACCGACGCAAGTCTCTGTGTTTGATCTCAAATGTTGATGTACTTGGCTTATTGAAGTCATCTAATGATTGAAATTTTTGTCTCTTGCTTTTACAAATAAATTTGATTATTTTAAGCATGTGACTAATTGATTGATGTGATATGATGGGCCCAGGTGGTCTTTTACAGTGATCTTCCTCTGGCTGAAAGGTTACCTGTAGTTCATCTGAATTCGGTCACGCCTGCCAAAAAAGAAAGAGAGAGATTTGTAGAGAGTGTGGGCATAAATCTTTGCTGCAGTCACTTTCATATTTGCACCTGACTTGCCATTGGAATCTAACCAAAAATTATTTTTGGGTGAAGAGAACCAAATATTAGGCTATATACGTCTTTATATGCAAAGCCAAAATACTTGGATATGTTGTCAAACGGCAAAAGGTTGGTTTGAAAGTGCTGATGTTGCCAAATTAATCACAGTAATTGAGGCAAATTTTGAAAATTTATAAGATAAAATGGGTTCAATTCCCACAATGAAATTCAGAAACAAAGCAAAGAACATGATGATTATCAGCCTGCACAGGTTTCTAAGCCCCATTTTCAGTAAAACGGCAGTACACTTTGGAGCAGAAACCTCTTATCACTTATGAGGTAACTGAATTAGAATTTGGTTTTGTTTTTTGCATTATTTTTACCTGGATTTTTGAAACCTTCAGGAAACCAAACTTTTTTGAAGGGTTTAGAAGGCAAGCTTTTTATCCAAGTAATTTCACTGCAAGACAATGATGGATCGTGCTGACAGGGTTTAGTGCCATGGAAATTGGGATTAGCTAATAGGCATTTGACTTTGCAAATGAAATATGTATTTAAAATAAACGGTATGGTAGGACAGGAAAATGTTCCTGGAAAGGTCCATCTACTTGTCTGATGACAGTCTTTGATAAATTCACTGTCTGGTTTGGAAGGTGAATATGTCTGGAACTTCAGGTGTCTGCTAAGGCTGTGTTGAGGGTGTCCTTAAAGAGCCAATGCACAAAAGCTGTCAGTGAACAGGGAGTTTATTAGATTGAAACTTGTAACCTCAAAGTCTGTACAAAAGTAGATTTTCAGCTTGCCAGAGCAGGATGACAGCTAAGTCTTTTATTAAAGAATTTGATCAATTCTAAGCCAGTTGTCAAGAAAAAAGGTGGATGAATTGGTCAAAGGGATTGCATTTTTACATGCCTTTGTTGTGTGAGTGACTCATGAATTGAACATGCTGTTAGTTTCAGGAAGATTGCTTTTTCTAACTATATGTAGAAAAAAAGCACAAACTTCATTACATTTCAGTTTTTTTAATCTGCATATCAACATAGCCTTAGATGATATAAACTATAAAAACTGTGACAATCTTTAAAGAGATTGTCAGACCATACTGTAAGAGAGACTAACACATGAACACTTTTCTCGAATGCTACACTCAAGTATAGTGACTCAGAGTAGAAAACAATCTGGTATGTGAATTAGCATGTTTGCATGTTTCTCAAATTCCATTGGTTCCATCAGATGAATAACATATTAAAAACAAGGAGAACTTAAATGGATGTTCTGTAGCTAAATGTTAAAGATATTTTATAAGACTTATATATGATTTTATATTTTGACTGTTTCCAGGATTCAAGTCTTGGGATATTGAGGCCAGTGGTTGTGATATCAATGAAGCACTAAGAGCCATTGCTACAGAGGCACCAGTGGGGAAAGATGGATTGAATGGTGAGAGAGGGGACTTTCTGTTCTATTTTATTGAATGTGTGAGATATGCAGGGGGATTAAAAGTCTTCTTCAACAGTATTGATTTTTTGTTCATTTTTAACAGCTTGTTAGCCATTTTAGGTCATCATAATCTGTGTTTCTTAGCATCTTAAATGTGCCTTTGAAAAATAGCTTTGTAGTTACTAGTAAGTTAAACCTCTCTCCTAAATTGAATGCCACTTGAAAACAAAGTTTTCTTGTTTGTCAAAAATGATCATTCAATGAATAAATAAATGATGGATGAATTTAATTGGCTAAGGGAAGCAAACATATTTCATTTGTTAGCCTTAATTAATAAGAATTATCACTTTCTAATGTATGTTCATCACTGATAACAGTAGGCATGTCAATATGAGATCATGCATCATGATATGAATTTTGCATTAATCTTATAAGTATTATGGAGTTGTATTACAGTTACAAAGCTTGTTCTGGATTTATGCCCATCCTTCAGGCTAACACATTAAAAGTGCATTTCCTGCCTATTGTAATTTTTTTCCCTATTTTACTGGTGATGTAGACTTCTTAACATCTTAGCAAGAGTCATTTTCTACCTGCTTTTTAAAAACTTAAGGAGAGATACATAAAAATGGTGACATGTTGCTCTTGTAACTTTCATCATTGCATATGTTCATTTGTTCTTCACAAGTAGTTAACCTTTGATTGCTTGGATAATTGGTCATATTTTCTATGTGTAACAAGGTTGAAGCTGATACTCAGAAGTGGCATGTCATAAGTGTCATTTCTTACACTCCTGATGCAAATGCCGACTTTTTCAACATTGCAACAACTGTTCCATGTTACGAAAAATAATCAGCCAGACAGTGTTTTTGTGCTGGAATTTAAAAGACTACAGCTGATTCTTATTCTAATCTCCAGGTCTGATGCTTATGAGTAATGTTTCTCCTACAATGACCATAGATTAGTTTATCAAATTCTTATTAAAACATTGTAAGAATGATAGACTATTTTTTAATTTTACAGATTATACAAATAAACAATACATGTATGTCAATTTCATATTTTACTGCCCACACAAAAATTCCATGATTAATTTTTTTACTATATATAAAGTGCAGTAGCTTATCCAAAACATTTCGAGTGCTTTAAATTGATCTGATAAAAAAGAAATAAGTAGTAATATTAATTGTGTAAAATGATTTTGTTTTCCTGAAATTGCCAGAGTTTTTCTGATAATTATTTGATTGATGTGGATTGCACCTGTGATGGATTGATTTAAGAGAAAAAAGCAGTTCCTGGAAGACTGAAAGCTGCTGTTTCTAATATCTGGATGAAGTATAAAGTACAGTTGAACTATATTAATGTACACCTGTAGGGGCATTCAATTCAGCAGAGTCGGACCTCAGCACAGCAGCTAGTTTCCTTTTTTATGTTGGATCTGGTAATTACTTGTTGAGGAACAAGATTTGTCTGTCTGCATCAATATGCAACGTGTCCATCTGCTACTGGCTGATAAGCTTGTGTTCAAGGCACAGTTTAAAGTGAATTCAAACAAAGGGAACGTGTGTACCATTACATATGCACTTACCATGTATCTCACATAGCCACTAAAATATATAGTTCTGTTCATTTTTCAGGATATGTGTTATTTGTTTGTCATATTAAACAACTTATTTAATTGCATGTTTGTTGAATTTTAAGTTTTTTCCCCTTTCTTTAGCAAGTGATTTTATGGACCCCTTGATACGCCAAAATATAATTTTAGAAAAAGAAATCATGCAAGCAAAGGGAAAAAGAATTTAGTAGGGAAATATTCTATGATAAATTGATAAGTTTTGATTAAAGTTAGAATACTTTCTAATAAGAAAACCATTTGAATTAGCATTTATAAACCATTTATGAAATTTTGTGTTGCACATACCACATACTTCTAATGACTTTTGTTCAATGATGTTTTGGATTTTTGATTTTGAATGGTAACTTTCAAGTGAAAATATATATATTTTAAATCAGAATAATGTACTTGATATACAGAATACATAGAAATTACTTAAAATCCACACATTAAGTATGTAAGTCATGGTTTTGATTACTTTTCAATTTTTTAAATGTCCACAGAACACAGTTTACGTAGAATGTTATGATGACCTTTTGTTTTTAATTGTTGATAAAGCAGCTTTCTGACATATTAGTGATGGTTTTCAGTTCAGTTAATTTTAGTTGAAAAACAAGTTAAATGTACAATTCATTAAAACTTGTCCATGACACTTTGCATAATGCTGCAAACAGAAAAAAAAAAACCTTGGTAGAGGTAAAAATACTTGGACTGCGTGTGGTTTTATTCCTAATTTTACCTGTCTCTGTGGAATTTCTTCTCCTTTTATTATATTATTTGGCAGACCATAATAGAATTAGTCTCAGGTGTTTCCTGTGGCTGTAACACACCACTCTTAATTGATTTATAGATCCTGCTGTTTTGGATGAAGTATTTTCTCATTGTGATTCAAAAACTGCATTTGCCCAGGGGAAAAAAATCAACACTGGAAGATGCTCTAAGATTATATATTCTTTTGGACAGTAAATGGGGAATGGTTGTAGTTGCAAATTTTGAAATTCAGTTCAAATTGGTATACGGAAATTCTCAAATTTTGTTAAAATTAGTAATTAGATCCTGTTTCTTTGCTTCCCAGTTTGGTAGATGTAATCAACTATTTTTGTTTAAAAGATAGTTCAATTTCTGTTCTATTGAAGAGTTCATCTTGGAAAAGAGGTGATTGGATTGCAATGATTAAACAAAATGCTCCTAAGAAAGGTTTAAAAAACCGGTTGTTTTTTCCACTCTCCAACACCCAAGGTGGAATAGCTTTATATAAAGATCCCATTAGGACCTTCCATCACATTTGTCTTAACTTGACATTTATACACTGTAAAACACTTAGCACAGATCATTTTTAATCCATGCTCACACACACACACACACACACACACACACACACACACACAAAATGTCTGAGGCAATGTTTTTAGTAACCTTATTATTCTTTTATATTCCATATGGTCTTGATGTGTTATAACAATTACATGAGACTGCACCTTTATAACTGAAAACTGAAAAGGCCATTTTGAATAGGAGAATACTTTTGCTATGGGCCAACAGGTCACTCACTAAAAGTTACTTAGAATATGGAAAATTAGTACAGTTTATTAGTAGTATGGTAAATAAGAGCTAAACCAGTCAGAACAAAGGATTTGTTTGTAATGCATATTTAAAAAATACTCCTATTTCTTTCTGCAGTAGTTTAACATTTTTATTAGTAAATAGAACTGATTACCTCAATAATTCTCCTAGTGTTCATACATAGGATAGCTGTGCCTGTTAGGTTTTAACTTTCAAAAATCTTTATCTTTTTTTTTTCAACTGCAGACAAATTTAATCTGAGATAGGAAAAATCAATATTTTGCACTGAGCTTGACAACTTAACCTATCAAGAGCACTGAAATATAAACAAATCCTATGGACACATTACACAATAATTGATAGTTTGATCACCATGGGACTTGGGGAGCTGGCATCTTATGTGAGGAAGTTTAGAAGAAAATGATTTTGGATCAGAATTCTGATTAACAAATTCTACTCTTTTGTTAAATGCCAAATGGTATGCACAGGGAAGTTTTGTAAAGCTAGAAATTCAATTAATTTTGACATCTAGCTTAATCAAGAATTATCAATCACTTTTGTGTGATTCACACAGTAAGGAGGGAAAAAAGGGAAAAAAAGATTGTTGTTTTTTTGTCTGATGGAAAAGGGCCCCCACTCAACTTACCCACAATTACAAGTTGATATGTGCATATATGATAAGCTTTGTCAGGGTTTGTAATATGTAGGTCATGACTTTTTGTTGGCTAAATATATAACTTACGGTCTTTATTTACACATACTTCATCTTCCAAAAAATCTTTTTAAAATGTTTGCTTAAGTTACTTGAAAATAAGCCACAGTAACATAGATGAGATGCAAAAAAAGTTAATGAACCAACATATTTTGAAACATTGCATTTTATCTATACGGCAATATTGAGACATATACAAGGATCTATTTGAGGAAGCACTGATACTTAAGTGTATAAATAGTTGAGAAAAAAAGTATCAATTTATAAACATATATTTATATTCATGGTCAGTTTAACAGACTAGCTACAATTTAAGTTTTGTTTATTATTCTGAATTTTTGTTACATATTTACTTTCAATTAAGCATGTTTCATTTTACCCTTTATTTGTTCATTTCAGGTGAACACATTGTTGAACATCAGTCTGAGACACTCTATGCCCAAGTACTGGTCAATCCACAAGTCCAGACAGTCAGAAATGCTTTGAAGAAGTTTCTTCTTATCAACACTCTTCACAAGCATCTCATCTATGCTGGTCATGCCTTTCAAGGTTCTGGAGGATGGATACTTCAAGATGATGTTTTTTCCTACAATAATTTTGCTCACTGCTTTCGTGAGGCAGATGTAGAAAATGGGCTGAAGAAGCAGAGTGGTGGAACCCTTAGTATCCACACTTTTGACGAAGGAGATTGGAGCAATGAACATATTGCCAAGCAGGACTTTTCTAAGTTGCTTCAAATTGCAGTTAATCCAGAAGGAAAACTGACTGAGATAACTGGTATTCTGCAGTTCACTGCCTATGTCTCCTATTTTGTCAAGGTTAAGCTGCCACAAGATTTGTTGCAGTCAACTGAGGTGGTTGGCAACATTCGCTTTAGTAAGCCTACTCTGTATATATTTCCTGGATGCCAGGGTGACTCTGCTTTATTTGGTGTTAGTGGCTTCAATTTGCTTATAAATGGTGGATATAGCAGGAAAGCATGCTTCTGGGACTTCACGCGCCATTTGGATCGTATAGATGCTATGCTCCTTACCCATCTTGGGGCTGATAATCTGTTTGGAGTCAGCAATGTCATCCAGAGAAAGGTAGCTCAGAATGTCCACCCAGAAATTGGCTTTGTGTACTTTAATGCAGTAGAAAAGAGCAAGCACTCTCCTAATGGTGATACCCTGCCCGAGGCCGATTCCCATAAAGATGCCAGTTTGCTAGTCAACTTAGCTGAAGAAGGCATTAGGCTGGTTGAAAGTTTGAAGCAGTTGGGCCATCCACCCTCTCCATGTATGCGTAATTTATCAGATCCAAATATCACACCAATCAATCTGTACCACAAAGTGGGACATGGCACACTTGACATGTATGTCCTGAACCCAGTTCAAGATAGTAAAGAGTTGAAAGATTTCTTGCATCAGTGGAACAAACAAACCAATCACTTCAGTTCAGCCAAATCAGCAGTGAAAGTGAATGACAAATCATACCACATTCCTCTGCCCAACATGTTGTCAATCTGTGCTCTTCTTGTATGGCGTCCAGCCAATGCCAATGAAAGTATCAATAGAATCTTATTCCCTGGTAGTGCCCCACAATACAAAGTATTTGAAGGACTAGAAAGACTCAAGCATCTAGATGTCCTGAAGCATGCCCAATGCACAGCCAACAGCTTGAATGTCAGTAGTAAACCTTCCAGCAGGAAAGTTTCATCTGCAGGAAAGCTGAGTTCAAGACCTGTGTCAGCTAAGCCCATTCAGAAAACTGTTGTGGAAAAAACAGAAAAGAAGATGGAAAGGAAACCAAGAGATGTCAGGTCTCCTAAGGTTAAGGACAAGAAAGAAAAGAAAGATGCTGAAAAGTCACCAAGAAAGAGAAGCCCTAGTGAGACACCTGTAGATTCTGCCACAGCGTCAAAAGAACCAACACCACCAGTTTCAAAAGAACCCACTCCTCCACCATCTAAAGAACCCACTCCTCCACCATCTAAAGAACCTACTCCCCCACCATCTAAAGAACCAACACCCCCACCATTTATAGAGCCAACACCAGAATTAGATGTCATGAAGGAAGGCAGTCCAGCAGTAGATGAAGACATTGTACAGTCTGGAGGAACAACACCTCGTGAAGAAAGTCCTGTTCCTCTTGCTGGCGAACATGGAGTAGCCCATGATTCTGAAGAACATGTGGCAGCATTGCAGGGAACCAGTGCTGAAGAGGGTTTACTGATTGATACCTCTGGTATCAGTGCACCGGCCCCAATTGATATATCCTCATCAGAGGATAAACAAGAAGTTCATGATGAAGTAGAAGAGGTGCCATTTGAAGACATCACAAAGTCATCAGAAACACAAGCAAAGACAGAACCCTTGGAAGCTTGGCCTGAAGGCCAGGTCCAAGAAGCACCAGCAGAGCTTGGATCTCCAGAACCATTGCCAGATCCAGATAAATTTGATGCCACAGGATTTGAGATGGCTGCAGCAGAGGTACCATTAGTAGAGAAAGAGCCAAAACCAATTGACAGACAAATAGCTGATGAAAAAGATATTGACACCCAAGAAACTGAAAAAGAAGCAGAAGCATTTGGGCGATCAGAGGAAAAGGTTGAAGAAATTGAAGAAGCGCTGGATAGTGCTGAAAGGGCAGGTTCCGTTGAAGATGAAGTGCCAATATTGGAGCAACAAAAAACTGATTTTGAAAAAGTGAAAGTGAATGAAGAAAAGATTTCAGAAGAACAGGCAGTAAAACTGTTAAAAAATGAGGATCTCCCTGAAGCAGAACCAGTTTTAGAAAGCTCCCCAGAAGATTTGATGGAACAAAAGGAAGAAGTAGCTGCAGATGAGACAGTACCAAAAGAGGAAGTTATGGATAAAGTAGATGCAGATGAGGCAGTAGCAATAGAGGAAGTTATAGATAAAATAGCTGCAGATGAGGCAGTTGAGACAGTACCAGAAGAGGAAGTTATGGATAAAGTACTTGCAGATGAGGCAGTACCAAGCAAGGAAGTTATAGATGAAGTAGCTGAAGATGAGGCAGTACCAAGACAGGAAGTTATAGATGAAGTAGCTGCAGACGAGGCAGTACCAAAAGAGGAAGTTATGGATAAAGTAGTTGCAGATGAGGCAGTACCAAAAGAGGAGGTTATAGATGAATTAGCTGCAGATCAGGCAGTACCAAAAGAGGAAGTTATAGATGAAGTAGCTGCAGATGAGGCAGTACCAAAAGAGGACGTTATGGATAAAGTACCTGAAGATGAGGCAGTACCAAGACAGGAAGTTATAGATGAAGTAGCTGCAGACGAGGCAGCACCAAAAGAGGAAGTTATAGATAAAGTAGCTGCAGATGAGGCAGCACCAAAAGAGGAAGTTATAGATGAAGTAGCTGCAGATCAGGCAGTACCAAAAGAGGAAGTTATAGATGAAGTAGCAGCAGAGGAGGCAGTACCAAAAGAGGCACTTATGGATAAAGTAGCTGCAGATGAGGCAGTACTAGAAGAGAAGGTTATAGATAAGATGATGGTAGAGAATCAACTGACTCAAAAAACTGAATTAGAACATAAAGATGAAGTTGTCTCTGAAACACTAGTAGAAGAACAATTGGAAGTAATTGAAACACACGAAAAAGAAGAAAAGGTCACTGAAGCACCAGCTTACACCCAAATAGATGAAGAAAACATACTGCAAGATGCAGTTGAGTCAGAAAAAAAAGATGAAGACCAAGATGAAAGTGTTGAAGGGACTGAGACTGCGCCTACAAATATCCTGGCAACTATTTCAGCTACTTCTACTGAAAAGGAAACAGATGAGTTCAGTGGAGAAGAGACAGCAGATCAAACATCCATGATTCAAGAACAGGGACCTGAGACAAAAGTAGAGGAAAATGTTGAAAAAGAAACCCAGAGGGAAGAATACATGTCCACAGAGAGAGGCACCGTTTGTGCAGAAGAACCTGAGGAAAAAGAAGATACTGATTTTGAGAAGGCAATAGCCAAAGATGCAGAAATTGCAATAAAAGCAGCACCTGTGGCTGCAGCTTTATCTGATGGAATTGGCTCAGAACTAGAAGAAAGAGATGTCCAAGAATTGGTAAAACCTGCTGTAGAAGAGCATGAAGAGAAAAATACAGAACCGAAGGAACAAAAAGAAATTATGGCTGATAAAGATGTGTATGAGGAAACTGCAGAAGATGAAGAAAAAGATGAGAATGATCTGTGTAAGGAAAAAGATGTAGTACCAGAAACTGATAAAATAGAAGTAGAAGAAGAAAGAAAAATCCAAGAATTGGAAAAGACACCAGCTAAAGAACATGAAAAGAAAGGTACAGAAGAGCAAGAAGAAGATTTAACTGATAAAAATGTCTATAGAGAAACCGAAGAAGAAGACAAAAAAGATGAAGGTGACCTGTTCCAAGAAAAAGAGGCAGAACCAGAAACTGAGATGGTAGAAGAAATAGAAGAAGAGGAAAGAGAAATTCAAGCATTGGAGAAACCAGCAAGAGAAGAACAGGCTAAGAAAGAAACAGAATCACAGGAAAAAGTAGAATGTGCTGTAGAAAAAGATGTCTATGGAGAAACTGCAGAGGAAGAAAAAGATGTAGAACCAAAATATGAGAATGTAGAAGAAACTGGAACATTGCCAGTAAACACACAAAGTGAAGGTGAAAAAGATGAAAATTCAGAAGACATAAAAGTACCTTTGACAAGTAAACAAGATGAATGTGTGCTTATGGAAGAGTCAAAGATATCAAGATATGAAGAAAAATTGGAGGGTTCCATGATAGATGAGCCAACAGATAAAACACCCATAGATTTAGAAACTGAGGAAAATGCAGCACAAGTTGGAGGAAAGCAGATTCATTCTGCACCTGAACCTAATGCTCACCTTGTAGATACATGTGAAATATCCAAAAAAGTGAAAGAGGACCAGTTTGATGAAGAGGAAGAAAAGGAAGTAGTTACTGAAGACATTAAATCACAGCATACAGAGACAGATGAAACATTGCCACCAGAAGTTGAAGCTTCTGATGATTTAAGGGCTATGGTGGAAAGTGCAATGGATGAACAGGACACTGTACCTGAAGATGATGCCATGAAGGAAGTGGAGAAGGAAGAACCATTGGAGAAAGAAAGAGTTTTTGATGAGATCCAAATCCCCAAAAATGATATAGAAAAAGAACTGGCTGCCAAATCTTTTTCTGCAGTCATTGATGGGGAAATGCATCAACAAGATGGTATTGGAAAGGACAAGGATGACCAGTTAGAAATAAAAGGTAAAGAATCTGAAGAAGATGAAGGAATTGCTGATACAGAAACCCCTACATCTCCCCTAGAAGGCATGGATCCTGATATAGAAAAATGCCAAGAGCCAGCAGATGTAAATGAAACAGAAAATCTTCCTCACTTAAATGTGGAATCAAGGCTTTTGGAAGAGACTGCTGTGGATGAAAATGATATACAGAAAGAAATACCTTCTGAAAAAGAAGTTACCCCTGATATTGGCAGTGAAAAGTTAACAAAAGCAGAATTAGATTCAGAAGAGGAAGATGAGGACACAACAGCTACTGCCCCACCTGTGGAGGAAATTTCTACTCCTGGTGAAGAGTTGCCTGTTGATAAAGCATTCCTCTCTGGGCCTCTTTTAAGTGATGACTTAAGGGCTATGGTAGAACAATCCATGGGTGAGGAGACATCCAAACAGAAGAGTATTTTACAATCTGAAGTGGCCAGCAGCTCAAAACCAGATCTTCTCTCAGACCACATGGATGATGAAAGGTCAACAGCATATAGCCATGCTTCTGAGAAAACCACAGATGAAGAATTTGATCCTTTGAAAGAATGGGGTAAGCCTATGGGACTTCCTGCACCTCCACCCCCACCTGCTGATGAGAGTGGTCAAGGTGACAAGGCAAAGAAACCTAGGCCAGCTTCCACTTCTAAAACTACACACACCAGAGCCAAGAAACCAGCAGCTGATTCTCCAAAGGACACAAATCCTAATCTCAAGAAACCAAAGACCACCACAAAAACTACTCCCAGAACTGGAACACCTACTTCCAATGCTACTAATGGAAAGAGAGAAAAGTCAGCAGACAATAAGGTCACAGAGGCAAGAAGAAGACCCATGTCTTCAACTCCAGTTACAGCTACAAAGACAGAAGTCAGAAAAACCATCACCAAATCTACCACTAAACATTCTGACAGAGTGTCTTCAAAGTCAAGATCAACCCCACCTCTTGGCCCAGTCACACCATTCTATTTGGATCTGACCTATGTTCCATACCATGGCAGTCCCCATTACTGTGATGTTGATTTCTTCCGTCGTGTGAGAGCTCGATACTATGTCTTCAGTGGCTTGCATCCATGTCCTAACACCTTGAATGCACTTCTTGAGGCTAAGATGACATGGGAAGAGAAGGACATACCAGTGACCATAATACCAACATACGACACAGATACACTGCGCCATTGGATGGGCATGCACCGTGATCAGCTAGGGCAGCTGAAGATTGATGTTGCACCCTCTGCAAGCAGATGCACCATCCAGTTGCAGGATCATGAAACTAGCTGTGCTGCTTATAGACTTGAATTCTAAGTGTTTTTTTTACCAAGCTAAACATCTAAAATTTGGATGGAGTACCTTGGGGTTTCTCTTTAATGCTTTAGTATACATGTATCATCCGTTAAGGATGTGTGGCTGTCAGCAGAAATTGATGCTTTCTGCAGTTCAAGGTATTCAGTGATTGCTCTTTGGCTATCTACAGAACTTAGTGTGCATTTGGAACATTTTTACAAGTTTGAAAGGATATACAATGAAAAATTGATAGTGCCCCATCCAGGCACTTTTCTGATTGATTAGTTTTTTGTTTCATTACATGTGATAATTTCTTATGAAAGGCCCTTGACACAATTATGGGCATAGAGTTACCCCTCTCTATTTGAATATTGAAAGGAAAAAATAGGAACTGCCACTCATGGATCAAGACTTAGAAATGCAACAGCTACTAAATTAACTTGTGTGATTTGAATTAACTGAGATGATGCATTGCAATTGTTTGTGACTTATGTACTAGGAGTTGTTAATGTCATATCAATTATACACAAATGTCACAATGAAATATGATATTGATTTGTAGCAGCTTACTGTAGTTTTGTCAGTGTTATAGTGACATATTCATTGTATAAAAATATTACGAAATGTACATCTATTTGAAATTGTTCTGATTTTGTTTGCAAATTGCAATGTTCAAGCTTACAAGTGCTCTCATTGTTAGTTTGCATAAAAGTTTGATTATGGAAGCTTGAGAAGTGAGAGAGGGCATAAAGATACAGTAATGGTAGATTGTAATGTAGTATTGGAGTTTTATTGCAAATTAATTGTAGGAGGAGTATGACCAAATTCATGTTGCTTCAAGTGCCTAGTATATAAATCAGCATTTTTGCTCATTTGCTCAGTAACTGTATTAAGCATGTACCCATAGTTTCAACCAGTCTCGCTTAAGGGAAAAGCATTGTGCTTACCCATCAGACATTTTGTTCAATATAAAATGATCATTGATTCGAAAAGGACTGGGTTTTGCCTTTAACCTTTTGAAGGAATCACAAAATCACATTGGCAGATAAGTGATATACATATGAATATGCACATGTTGAGATTTGTAATGTAATAACATAAGGTAGAGTTGAGTATCAAGATGGATGGCACTGGCATTTATCACTTGTACACATTATAATTGATATTTTCTCCCTTCTTTTGAACATGTGTCTTTGCAATAGTTTACATTTACATTTTTGTTTGACTGCTGCTTTTTGTGACCACATTTTGTTCACAAAGCTTAAATACTGATTTTTTGCACGATTTCCAAAATTAGTAATTGTATTTAAGCTGAACAAAGTAAGGACACTTAGTCTTGTGGATAACTGACCATAATTTATCCAGTTGCTCAATGTATCACTTTTCAGAGTACAAATTCCATTTCCAGTTAAAAGAAAAACTTCTCTGTTTACTGAAAGCCATATTGAATACCAGTGTTGAATATATAGCGTGGTTTAAGCCAAGATAAATCTAGATAAGATATTATCAAAGCTCAGCAGATGGCCTCCAAGGAACATTTTACAGGAAACTGGATGCATAGAGGAATCTTATTCTAAGACCAGTTTAAATTTAGAGATATTCCAATTTTTACAGTAATTATAAATAAACATTAGGATAAAAGCAAGTATTGGTATGATGTATGAAAAAAATACATTATTCAAATTATGAATTAAGATTGATTAGAAATTATGTTAATGCAGCAGATAAATAATACAAAAGAATGTTAAGTGCTGTTCATTTTAAGAAAGTTATTCCTTTTTTATTATTTTATTTAAATAGGTCATTTAAAATGTAGCTGATGCATAGTAGTATTGAGATGTACAACCTGAATGCCCGAAGTATTTTAAGATTTGCAGGTAAAGGTTTAGTCAGACAATCTGCAGGAGAAAGAATTTGTAAGCTGGATAGTGATTGTAGCCGTTTTTTGAAAAAAAATGTACCTCTGTTTGAAGTTACTGAAGTACTATTATTGTGCAATGCTTGTATGTCTTACAAGAAAGACATTAAATTGTTGAATTGCTAGTTGTAATAGATAGAGCTCCATGTATTACACTAAAGCTGATTCAGTTACAAATATAATATCAGTAGATGTTTAGCACGTTTTGTACGTTTTTGCCATGTTGCATTGCCTTTATCCATAAACCGCATTTCTGCTTAATAACAGAATATTCTGCAAGTGTCATTTTTTCATTGTTTTTATGCCATATAGTTGGTATGAAGTAATACTATGAAATCTGCTACAGTTAAGGGATGCTATTTATATCCGTCTTTGTATCTATACTACTTGCAATATTTCATTTGGAATGTTAGCTCTTTTGATGCACTAAATTAACCAAAAGAAAAAAAAACTGAAAAATTGTTGTACTAATAAAATAAATTATCAGAGGGAAAAACATTTCTACAAATAACTACACTAACATTCCCTTTATCATTGCATAAAATGTTTTGTGCCAGTCATACTTCAACATATTGCAAAATTAAAATTTCTGCAGCATTATGCACATTTATCACATCACAGTGGCTAGCATTCCAAACTTTCCTCTCAGTGTGTTTAAATTCTGTCAATAAAATGTCAAATTTGAGAAGCTAAGTACCAGCTTTTGCACAGGCTGAAAATAAAAAACTTTTTCCTGGAACATGTCATGTGTTTTGGTTCTTAATTAACTGCATATGAGTGATAATTATAACTTTAAAAAAAAACTTAAAGTTAAACCACAGGGAGCAAATGACAAAAACCCAAACTGATGTGATCAAAACAAAACCAAGTAAAAGTACAAATTAGAACTGATCAGCTTCAGGTCACTTAAAAAAAAAAAAGATCAAACAAATTGGATTACTCTGAGATTGTTCGTTTTGATAAAAATAATCTTTGGGGGATAGGCGAACAAGCAGAAGAAATCAAATTCAGTTGCAATATTTATCAATGATAAATGAGAATTTCTAGGAAAGATCTACTCTCTTTTTGAATTCAGCACACTGACATGTTTAGTTATTTACTTGTACCCAACAAGGCTGAGAGATACTTAGGACACCAATATATTTGAGCACATGCCAAATACCCAAGTTCATTTCAGCAACATGTATTTGGTATTTACATGTCAGCAATCCAAATGTAAAATATTCACGTCTTTATCATTTAACGAAATGTTCACCTCAAAAATAAAATCTAAGTGAAATATTAATCAGATAACAAGAATAATGTTTTAAATTTATTGTAGGTAACTTTTAAGGCAGAATCTGGATAACAAAAGTAACATAAACATCACACTTTTATGAAGCTTCAGACTATATTAATTATATAATTTCAGTGAATAAAAGGGCCAAAATACATTAACACTACAATATATTACTATAATAGAGAGCTGGTGTAAAAATCCACTTCATCACAACAATGATTTCTAAAAATCTAAAGTAGCGCATCACAGTGAAATCCATTGGCAAGCAGCTGTTAATTGTAAACCCATTTCATTTGGATATGGTAGAAATGAAAGAACTGTAGTGAGCACAATGGTTTTTGTATCCAACAGAATTGAATTCATTATATGCAAACAGAACCTTGAGTGAGACACAATGTCCTTAATGTGAAAAAACTTGGAGGGAATAATAAGGCAGATCTCCATTTTTTTTTCTTTTTCAATACAAAGTTCATAAATATGCTGTAAGTCTTTTGCTGTGGTGTGTATTCCTCCAAGTATATGCCTAAGCTGCTTACTTCGCCTTGGGGATATATTTCTCAATGCTCTGGCGTTTCTCCAAAGCTTTCTCCATTGTTATGAGCAAGTTAACTCCATCAATAAGCAGTTGCACAAGTTCAACCTGAAAAATGGGTACAAAAATTCAGAACTTAATTGCATTGTCTGCCATTTCTATTAAATGTTCCGAATTTAGCTCATCATTTAAAATTATATCATGTACCGGAAAATCGCACGCGCCAACTTGAGCTAATTTTGTATTTTTTGTTCTCTTCTTTGTTTCAATTATTATCCTGTTGTTAATACATTTATAAAATTAACCAAATGCACAACACTTAAAAAATTGCATACATTCTATAATATAATTTTCTTCAATAAGAGAAAATTAGGAATTATCAATTGATTAATGGGTTTCAATTCAAGTTAGTGGTATGAACACTGCATTTACAAAATCGTGTGAATTACCTCAGATTTACCCAAACGGTCAGCATTAGAGATATCAAAGATGCCTCCAGTTGAGGCTGTGTCAACACCACCTGTGCCACGTTTTTGCAATTTCATTGTGTCAAGCATTTTATCAAAGCGAGGGTCCTAAAGGAAGAAGAGAGCAGCAAGAAAAGAAGCAAGAAAGGAAGTATTGAGAATGTGTAGAAGAGAAATTGGGCAAGCTAGAAAATCATTCAAATAGCAGAGGTCTTTTAGCAACAGCACACCAAAAATTTGCAAGATTGTAAAGACTGCCTACAAATCCATTCCAGGAAAGCTGAAAACTGACATAGAGGAGGAAAATGCAGCTAAAGGAGGTATGATCTTCACGGACGTTTTGAAAAAATATTTTAATGATAATAACATACTTGTTAGTCACAGTTTTGTAAGCATCAGACAAATGTGAGAAGAACATACCTCCTTAAACTATTGAAACTATACAAATGTAGGGAAAGAAATAAAATGAGGGGGGAAAGGATTAATCATCCACACCAAGTGCTAAACCTAGCCAATAAAAACTAATAAATGAATAAGCAAATCTATGATTAGGTTGACACATAAGCTATGAAGTGATCATACCATTTCTAGGATCTAGGCAGAAAAAATGACAAGAGAATAGAGGTACAGCATGATGATGTGTTGACAAACTCCATGCAGCAGATCGAACAGGACATCAGGGCAAATAAAATAGATATTCTACACTTATATACCTCACTCTTTCCTAAACGATCTGAATTTGATATATCGAAAGTACCACCAACAGCTGCTGTGTCAACACCCCCTGTGCCACGCTTTTGAAGCTTAAGTGCTTGCAAAATTTCCTCAAACTTTGGTTCCTAAAAAAAGCAATTAGGTGTTCAAAAGCAGATTTGCAAATCACGTCAAACAGCTCTGTTAATTTGTTGCCTTGAAAAGTCACCCTTGTGACATGAAATACCTCAGATTTGCCTAAACGATCAGCATTTGAAATATCAAAAGTGCCCCCAACAGCAGCAGTGTCAACACCCCCTGTGCCACGTTTCTGAAGTTTCATCCTTGTTAAAATATCTTCAAATCTGGGATCCTGCCAAAGTTAAATTATTTAAGGGAAAAAGAAAGAAAACAATCAATCTGAAAAACTGGCTACATGCTTTGACTTAATATTCCAAACATGTTCCAAGGTCTTACCTGCAAAAAATATATCTTATAAAAAAGAAAGTGTAACAAAGACATATGAGAAATTACTAATTTCATTTATTATTCATTTTATGAATGAACAACACATAACCTCAAAATAAACACCAATTTTTTTTATTAAATAATTCTTAACCTCAGACGTAGTTAAATTAAAATCAATATGCTGAACAAATGAAAATTACAAAATTAAACATCCATTTCATCTTTGCATTATCTAAAATACTTAAGTATCTACTAACCTTAGAGAGCAGTGGCAGTTTGACATGCACACCAGCACGCAATCCAGTACCAAGGTTGCTAGGACAGGTCAAAATGTAGCCCAAATGTTCATTCCACATAAATTCCCAGCCTTTAGCCTGAATAAGCCTCTCAACCTGAAATAAAGTAAACATTTTTCCCACTACTTCCCAAAGATATGATCCAAATATTCACACCAAGGATCACTGGTGAATGTAAAAATAACTTTTCCAGTGAATGTAAAAATAACTTTTCAAAACTGCTTGAAATAAAAAAAAATCATTCGCATGTTGGGCATCTACAGAAAATGTGTTAAATTAAAATAACATAAATTATATGATACTATCTTATAGCAATAATATATATATAAGTATAACAACTTTTTTTTTTACATTTATAATGCCCCCAAATATTTATATATATTCAGGTATACCTCCTTAAGTCCTGTGCAGAATCGATCAAAGACCTCTTTAATGTTTCCACCTTTCTGCATGGAGATGACACGGGTGTGATCCTCCTCATTGATCCAAACCAGAAAGTTCTTTGCATCGTTATGCCTGAAAAAAGAAAAAAAGAAACTAGAGAGTGATGGCAATGACACAAGCAGTCACAGGTACTCAAAATATATACAGACACTTAAAAATTCTCTATATAAAAATAAAAAAGATACTGTTCAGTTCTGCACGAGAAATAAAATCAATTATTAAAAAGTAAAGGATTGTAACATTAATTTGTGGACTATTCTCATTCATTTAGCCACTGTCAAGATTCACATACAAATCACTTCATTTCAATTTACAGTTAAAGACACAAAATAATGTATATATGCAGCCTGAATAAGAATAAAACAGAGATGTACCAAACAGCAAAATAATGCTTGTATGCCAAAAACATACCATTTAAAAATTGACTTACTGATATGAACTGCAAAAGCAAACAAACATCACCCTATTTATTTCAGCAAAATGGAACGATTCACATGTTTACTTAACAATCATATCATAGGTAGTAAAGTGGAGAACCTCTATATATAGGGTGATTAAGTGACAACAAATGTGCAAACCAATAAAACTACAAAGCAAAGATGACACAGACACTTAATATCAAACATAAAAACCATTCCCCCTGCTCCATTGTAGCTTTAACAGGCACATTCCAGTAAACAATGAAAAATATTTTCTACCTTTGAAATGTTTACAGTGACTGACATTATGTATATCTGCCTTTCAAAATATGACTGCTTTTTTGCACTAACCTGCTATTTTACACAAGTTCTCAATCTAAACCATGTGCACAGCTTCAACTCTTTATTTCACATTTCAATTAATTAAATTTTTTTAAAATGGTTTAACACTTATGACAGCAATGACAACAAAATAGACAGACACAGGTACACAAAATATATCCAGATATTATAATCTCTGCATATAAAAGTAATGTAAACATAAGAAAATATACCACCACAACATTATCAAAAACTAAAAAAAAAAAAATCTTACAAATTTGTTTTCAGTTAACAAGCCTAAATATTGGACTAAAATACTTATTGTAACAGTCAGTGATGGTACCCTTACCAAATTCCGCGTGCATCTGGCCAGTCCCTTCCCATGCCAGATGCTAACAGCAAAGGAGACACAGGTTTGTCAAAGAGGAAGTGGTCCTATATTGCATTACACATAAAAAAGAAGCATTAGCATGCACCAACCACCAATACAAGGGAATTTTCACCAAAAGGAGGAACATTCAGTTCCAGCAGTCTTGTAAAAGAAAACAATACTTGTGAGCACATATATCGGCACCATTCTATTACATTAGAAATAAAAATAGATAAAAGCTATATACCATCAATAACCATACCATCAAGTCCCATTAGTAAATATCAAAAGTAACCAATATTTGCAGGGTGCAGAGCATAGGCGCCCACCAAATGTCTGATGCCAGTACATTACTGCACTTGCAAGTGTTGTAATAGGTGCATTTAGAGAGAATGGTTTACTATTTCTTTAAATTTTTTACTATCTATCCATGACCACATTGGTGAGTAGCAAAAAAGAAATAATAATAATAATAATAATAAATAAAAAATACTGCACCCTACATCATGTAAATTCACATGCAAACACAAATTAAAACTATTGCGTGCAAAAATATCCTTTACATGCATCAGACCTCCTTTACGTGCATCTGTTTATAACTAAATTTCCATGATCAAAATAAGGATACCAATACACCCATGCTCAACTTTACTCTGTAACCAAAATCAACTGAGTGTAAGAACAATAATCTTACATTAATCAGACGCTCTTGTTCCTCATCTGTCATCTTACTAAGTGGATAATACTTTCCAGCCAGAGGTCCTTTCAGGTCATTCAGGGCATCTGCTACCACTTTCTCTACCTCACGACGCTCAGCACGGCTGCAACCTGGAGGCAGGCTTAGGCCACGAATGCAGCGACCAGTACGTACACGGCTAGATAAGACATATTTCTCATCAAACTGGCCACCACGGATCTGATTAGGAGAACAAACATAAATACATATTCATTTTATATTCAAGATAACAATTAAGATATATCTACTTTGTTATCTGGCAGATATAACACAAAATTTGATAATAGTTTTGGTATGTTCAACAAAGAAGAAGAAGAAGGTGGTTGTTTACTGAGGACATACTGTAATAACTTTCTAAATTAAAAGGAAAATTGGAATACTAGAAATGATGTTTCTCAAACAATACTGAAGTTTTACCTGGAAGGGATAATAAAAAAGTTTTTAAAAAGCAACTGAAATTCATGCTTAAAGTTTTTAAAATTTTTTTAAATGACTGAGCTTGGTAAAATAAAAGATGTTAGTAAGGCTGTTGAAATTTGAAAATTATTTCTGTGTATTACATTTCTTAAGATTCACAAATTCATACCATTTCAGGGGCAACTTTATTATTTCAGTCCAAAGATAAAACAGCTCTAATAATTCATTTTCTTGAAATTAGCTTGCTACTTTTTTCTTTAACTCAAATGAATTGATGACATGTAAGAAGATATACCTTGGAAGAATCCAGATCTGTTGGGTGTTTCATCCATGGCTTGTAGCCATTGTGCCTCTCATCGATCACCTTATCAAACAGTTCAGCAAACACTTCGTAGCACTCCTCATCCCCAGCCACTAAGCCCACAGTCTTGATGAAGGGGTGGCCTGGGTTGTCTACACCAGTCTGGATGCAGCGGTCAAGATCGAATCCATTAGGTGTAGTCTTATCGCGCAATTTGGCATAAATCTGAAATTAAGACAAAGTTGTGCACTAAGAGTTGAGAATAACTTATATAGATAAGATTTTTCAATGTGCTTGCCTAGTTTATTCCAACATCTCCATGACAATAACATAAAATAGCATTTTATTCTAAATAATTGACTATACTTATTTCAAAAACCATATACATACTTATAATCATGAAAATGACTCAAAATATAAAATGTGAATTTAATCAACCTAATAAAGTGTGTGTGTGTGTGTGTGTGTAGCAGAGAAAGTCACACTTATGTAAAATTTTATTTAAAAAAAAATAGTCTAGACATTTTTTCTAACAAAACAACATAACATTTAATACTCACTGCAGGGGTTAGATTGGAAGCCATGACATTGTTATGATTAGTCAGATCAGGATAGTTGGCACTGGCAGGGTACCTCAGATGAACATTGGTGGTTCCTAGGCGAGCGTGATGGGTATTGCATTGAGTGAACCACCAACCAGCAGCAGCACTACCAGCAACCAAAGCACCAGTAGCTGCCAGTTTCCTGGCATTTCTTGTAAAATATGCAGACATGGTTGTTTCTAAATAGTCAGAAAGTCCACACAAAAGAAAAAACTGAAATAAAAAATATTATCATCAAACTATGGTATAAAATCAATAATATAATACATGACATGTAGACAAATTGAGGTGATTTCTAAAAAATGTGCCATATATAATACATATAAGACTGCATTCCCACAGATTTTAGATCGATCTATCCCCGTGGGGAGTCTCACTAGATTACTGTTAGCTTAGCCGGCTTTAATGTCTGTGCCACCTACTAAAAGCTGTAAGGGGGTAAATAACTTCCGTGCGCGTTCAGCTGACAGCAATTTTGCGTGAACCCCCAGGGAGTTATGTCAATTCAGATGGATCGATCTACATCTGTGGGAATGCAGTCTAAACTGAGGCAATTTTCATGACGTCCTTTATCACAAACTAACACAAACACATACACTCATGAAGACTACATTTGCAAAGCCCCTAGCAATGATAAAAATCAACTGATAAACTTACCAGTGAGGTGTGCAATATGGTGAAAGTTATTTCAACTTTATAAACTATATCTAAAATGTTGTGTTACAAAATGAAGTTAAAGCCATATTTTGAAAGTAAAATAATTTATCAATTTTCTACATTCTTATAAAAAAAAACCCTGTGATCTGAAAAATGCTTTAATCTGGCATCTGATAACCTAATACTCTATCAATGTTTACATTATAATGACTCATGTGAAAGGCCATTCCATGATATCACTTTAAAATTCTATGGCAGTTTAATTAGTTATAGAGAGGAAAACTTACTTGAAATAATTATTGTGGAATAGCCAAACATCTCATAATAATGACTGATAATAAGGTTATTATGTAAATAAACAAAAATTATAGGCAGAAGGAAATAGTTTTGTCAACAAACTGCATGGATCTCCTAATCTATTAAATTCTACCAAAGGTAACCTTACATGTATTTTTCCATTCTAAACGGATATTAATGCGTAACGTTACTCTTTATCTTTGTCGAAAAGGGTATTGGAAAATTGTCACATATAATTAGCAACATAAATGCTGACTGTGTGTTTAATGTTAACGTGCAGGTAATGCAGTTCAAACTGATAGTGTTCTGCAACACTGACTTCTGTAGTTTAGTAGTTGCACCGCACGTAGGCCTGGCCCTAGCTGTACATCTACATCCAACCGGCAGCATTCAACCTGTTGGTTCTACAACCATAATGATTGCAAGAGCACAAAAAGGCAACAAAAACATTCCCTGTAGTTATCACAACATGTTGCAACATACAAAGAACGCGTGTCAATTCTTAAGTAAATAAATTCCCTTAAGTATACGAGTGCATCACAGAGCCCAAGCAAACGCCATCTTACCTGATGCTACCTTATGCAAATGAAGCTGTATTCTGTCATATGATTGGTTTTTACGACAATAAATTTCCTATGTATTCGTTGACCTTTGACCTACTATTTCTTTCTTCAAATTTGCTATTATTTATTTAGCTATGACTTAATAAGGGAGGTATGCAACTTATAAATATCTAAATCATATCTTGATAATGTTCAATGCCTGGTATGTCTTTTGTTTTTATATACAATATCAATCACTGAAATGGAAATCCCTGCTCATTAATTTTCGGCTATTTCCGCCAATGTGATTCAACTCCTTTTATATTCCTTTATGTTATCTTAGAAAATTATAACACACTAGGAAATTACGTTCACGTCAAATACAGTTACACAAGACAAACGAATGTTAACATAGCAGTATATTTCAAAAGAAAACACTGGGAAACCCTTCCTCACGTCATCTTCGGAAACATGATGGCGGCGCGAATTCTGTGAAAAATCACGTGACCTGAAAGCTTTTGTGAGCGCAGTACCAGGTGAGACTCTTATAACTGTATATGTATTAACGGCTTCCGAGTACGGTATGTTAATCAACTTTGCTCGTTTTTTAGTGTAAGAGTTGGGGATCCATCTTATTTCAAGAAAAGTCTTCTTCCTTAAGCAGCAGTTTCTATATTCGTGAACGAAATTTGATGAAAATTCAGCATGGCGTCACATGGCATGTGTGTTGGCATGAAAGAAAATATGACGTTTGTGCCGGTCACCTGTAATCAACAACAAATCTCTTGGCTAAAATGCATTTTAACACATGTATTAATTGGATTGATTTCTTGATTGCTCCCACTTTTTGTATAAAAGTATATAATTACTTGTCCAATCGCAAGATTTCCATCACCTATTCATGATTCACGTTGTTGAATAAGGGTGCGAAAACTGAAACTGACTGATTGACTGGTCATTTAATTTTACCCACTGTTTTGTGGAATAAACTTGAAAATAGCAATACACAAATCAAAATCTAATTCAATTTTTTGCCGCTTGATACCACATATGCTTTTTGGATTATGACTGAAGAACATCTTGCAAATGAGCAAAAATGTTCATTAGCTTGGTAGTTATGTATGATAATTATCAATAACAAGCTTAAGCTGAAATACTTTCATACCGTTAGCTTACGACTGACCTGGACGTAGGCCTTCATCAGGCTAATGTGAGTAGATTTGGTTACCCACTGACAGCTAGCCTGTAAGCGAGGGGTCCCAGGTTCGATTCCTGGTCTGGTCGGTGATTTTTCTGCACTCACCACAAATCGCTACATTGCTATAGCGGCCAGGACCCTCTTATAAATGTCAGGTAGATTGCTCTCCCCCCCCCTCCAATCTCTTTTTATGGATGGCTGGTGATGGCTGATGTTGATTCCCTTTCTTATTTTGTGTTGGATATCAGATGACTCTTATTTTAGGATCTTAGTTGAATTCCAGTCAATATTTTATTGCCTTCTACAATTCAAAGTGAATTTCATCATTTGCCAAGCCCTGAAGGACATTCTCGGAATCTGTAAATTAAACTGTTGAATTTCTGATATGTGACAGAATGAGCCATTTTTTATGATGACCATTCAATGTTGCTTGACACAAATACATACTGATAAGAAGGATAAAAAACATACTGGTTCAAGGAATAGTATTACATGAAAAAAAAATTAAATACCTCTCTAGTGGGATTAAACTAGAGTAAGAACCTCATTGAAATACCAAGCTCTACTTCATATAGCTTTGGTCATAAATATATTTGGCTTTTTAAGAAAATCCATCCTTTTTCAAATCTTAAATTTACAAAAGTGTATTTAATAGGAAGTTGTTTTTATGATTTCATGGTATTCAGGCCTTATAAATAGATTAGGAGTTTACATAATCTACCTGCCAAATTTAAATCTTTTAGCAAAATTGGAAGATGTGCATCTGGCTTAAAGGATTATGAAATATTAATTTTCTTTCCACAATAATATGGATCCAGTCAGAAATATTTCGATACAAAAGTATATAACTGCCCCTCCTGTGTGGTTGTAACTGAACCATAACTGAAACAATTGAACTCTGTTTTATTTTGCTGCAGGCACCTTGGTAGGATAAACTATCAAGCAGTCTTAATTTATTGGATGGTGTTAATAGACATGGACATTTTAGGATGATGTTAATAGACATGGACATTTTAGGCATGGGCTGATTCTTTTTATTCATCATCAGGGCTTTTGTTATAAGATGTTGGCTTGAATGGTCTANTAAAGCCAAAAAGTGAAACTGCCTTCCACTTATCGTGTTTACAAGGAAAGTGCACGGCACCGGCGACGGCATCGGCATCGGCGACGACAGACGCAGGTGATGGCAATATGTACAGACACAGATGTGTCTGTACATAAAAATGTGCAATATATAATTTATATAAGACTGCATTCCCACAGATTTTAGATCGATCTATCCCCGTGGGGAGTCTCACTAGATTACTGTTAGCTTAGCCGGCTTTAATGTCTGTGCCACCTACTAAAAGCTGTAAGGGGGTAAATAACTTCCGTGCGCGTTCAGCTAACAGCAATTTAGCGTGAACCCCCAGGGAGTTATGTCGATTCAGATGGATCGATCTACATCTGTGGGAATGCAGTCTAAACTGAGGCAATTTTCATGACGTCCTTTATCACAAACTAACACAAACACAGACACTCATAAAGACTACATTTCCAAAGCCCCTAACAATGATAAAAATCAACTGATAAACTTACCAGTGAGGTGTGCAATATGGTGAAAGTTATTTCAACTTTATAAACTATATCTAAAATGTTGTGTTACAAAATGAAGTTAAAGCCATATTTTGAAAGTAAAATAATTTATCAATTTTCTTCATTCTTATAAAAAAAAACCTGTGATCTGAAAAATGCTTTAATCTGGCATCTGATAACCTAATACTCTATCAATGTTTACATTATAATGACTCATGTGAAAGGCCATTCCATGATATCACTTTAAAATTCTATGGCAGTTTAATTAGTTATAGAGAGGAAAACTTACTTGAAATAATTATTGTGGAATAGCCAAACATCTCATAATAATGACTAATAATAAGGTTATTATGTAAATAAACAAAAATTAAAGGCAGAAGGAAATAGTTTTGTCAACAAACTGCATGGATCTCCTAATCTATTAAATTCTACCAAAGGTAACCTTACATGTATTTTTCCATTCTAAACGGATATTAATGCGTAACGTTACTCTTTATCTTTGTCGAAAAGGGTATTGGAAAATTGTCACATATAATTAGCACCATAAATGCTGACTGTGTGTTTAATGTTAACGTGCAGGTAATGCAGTTCAAACTGATAGTGTTCTGCAACACTGACTTCTGTAGTTTAGTAGTTGCACCGCACGTAGGCCTGGCCCTAGCTGTACATCTACATCCAACCGGCCGCATTCAACCTGTTGGTTCTACAACCATAATGATTGCAAGAGCACAAAAAGGCAACAAAAACATTCCCTGTAGTTATCACAACATGTTGCAACTTACAAAGAACGCGCGTCAATTCTTAAGTAAATAAATTCCCTTAAGTATACGAGTGCATCACATAGCCCAAGCAAACGCCATCTTACCTGATGCTACCTTATGCAAATGAAGCTGTATTCTGTCATATGATTGGTTTTTACGACAATAAATTTCCTATGTATTCGTTGACCTTTGACCTACTATTTCTTTCTTCAAATTTGCTATTATTTATTAAGCTATGACTTAATAAGGGAGGTATGCAACTTATAAATATCTAAATCATATCTTGATAATGTTCAATGCCTGGTACGTCTTTTGTTTTTATATACAATATCAATCACTGAAATGGAAATCCCTGCTCATTAATTTTCGGCTATTTCCGCCAATGTGATTCAACTCCTTTTATATTCCTTTATTTTATCTTAGAAAATTATAACACACTAGGAAATTACGTTCACGTCAAATACAGTTACACGAGACAAACGAATGTTAACATAGCAGTATATTTCAAAAGAAAACACTGGGAAACCCTTCCTCACGTCATCTTCGGAAACATGATGGCGGCGCGAATTCTGTGAAATATCACGTGACCTGAAAGCTTTTGTGAGCGCAGTACCAGGTGAGACTCTTATAACTGTATATGTATTAACGGCTTCCGAGTACGGTATGTTAATCAACTTTGCTCGTTTTTTAGTGTAAGAGTTGGGGATCCATCTTATTTCAAGAAAAGTCTTCTTCCTTAAGCAGCAGTTTCTATATTCGTGAACGAAATTTGATGAAAATTCAGCATGGCGTCACATGGCATGTGTGTTGGCATGAAAGAAAATATGACGTTTGTGCCGGTCACCTGTAATCAACAACAAATCTCTTGGCTAAAATGCATTTTAACACATGTATAAATTGGATTGATTTCTTGATTGCTCCCACTTTTTGTATAAAAGTATATAATTACTTGTCCAATCGCAAGATTTCCATCACCTATTCATGATTCACGTTGTTGAATAAGGGTGCGAAAACTGAAACTGACTGATTGACTGGTCATTTAATTTTACCCACTGTTTTGTGGAATAAACTTGAAAATAGCAATACACAAATCAAAATCAAATTCAATTTTTTGCCGCTTGATACCACATATGCTTTTTGGATTATGACTGAAGAACATCTTTCAAATGAGCAAAAATGTTCATTAGCTTGGTAGTTATGTATGATAATTATCAATTGCAAGCTTAAGCTGAAATACTTTCATACCGTTAGCTTACGACTGACCTGGACGTAGGCCTTCATCAGGCTAATGTGAGTAGATTTGGTTACCCACTGACAGCTATCCTGTAAGCGAGGGGTCCTGGGTTCGATTCCTGGACTGGTCGGTGATTTTTCTGCACTCACCCCAAATCGCTACATTGCTATAGCGGCCAGGACCCTCTTATAAATGTCAGGTAGATTGCTCCCCCCCCCCCCTCCAATCTCTTTTTATGGATGGCTGGTGATGGCTGATGTTGATTCCCTTTCTTATTTTGTGTGGGATATCAGATGACTCTTATTTTAGGATCTTAGTTGAATTCCAGTCAATATTTTATTGCCTTCTACAATTCAAAGTGAATTTCATCATTTGCCAAGCCCTGAAGGACATTTCGGAATCTGCAAATTAAACTGTTGAATTTCTGATATGTGACAGAATGAGCCATTTTTTATGATGACCATTCAATGTTGCTTGACACAAATACATACTGATAAGAAGGATAAAAAAACATACTGGTTCAAGGAATAGTATTACATGAAAAAAAAATTAAATACCTCTCTAGTGGGATTAAACTAGAGTAAGAACCTCATTGAAATACCAAGCTCTACTTCATATAGCTTTGGTCATAAATATATTTGGCTTTTTGAGAAAATCCATCCTTTTTCAAATCTTAAATTTACAAAAGTATATTTAATAGGAAGTTGTTTTTATGATTTCATGGTATTCAGGCCTTATAAATAGATTAGGGGTTTACATAATCTACCTGCCAAATTTAAATCTTTTAGCAAAATTAGAAGATGTGCATCTGGCTTAAAGGATTATGAAATATTAATTTTCTTGCCACAATAATATGGATCCAGTCAGAAATATTTCGATACAAAAGTATACAACTGCCCCTCCTGTGTGGTTGTAACTGAACCATAACTGAAACAATTGAACTCTGTTTTATTTTGCTGCAGGCACCTTGGTAGGATAAACTATCAAGCAGTCTTTAATTTATTGGATGATGTTAATAGACATGGACATTTTAGGATGATGTTAATAGACATGGACATTTTAGGATGATGTTAATAGACATGGACATTTTAGGCATGGGCTGATTCTTTTTATTCATCATCAGGGCTTTTGTTATAAGATGTTGGCTTGAATGGANCTTTGCTGCCTTGTTTTTTTTTTTTTATAAAAAGAAACTCAAACTGTGAGCTTTCATCAAGTTCATGTACACTTTCTCCAACTCGTGATGAACGGTACATGCAAATACGTACATATGTTCCATAATTTAAGAACCCGTAATAAAGCAGTAACATTTATGTTGCTATTAATCAAAATGATAACTTTAGTACTCCTTACGCTCGGCACACACTATTTTCCTCTCCTACAGATCATAAGTCCGCCAGGGCCTACCTTCTTTCCAATTTTATTAAACTTCCGTTTCTCTTCCTCACTTCGTTTTCATTTTTGCCACGCTTTGCACCAACGAAGTGTTTAAAGTTCAACAACGTCATTTTCTAAGCAAAAGGCTAAGATGAGTATCCATGAGTACTGTGTACGACTGATAATGAAGAAACAGAGGATCAAGTCTGTAAAAACGCAAATAACGAGCACATGTGTTGCAGCCATTTTGTTGTGTAGGGTATTACGAAAACGAAAACGAGACTGTACATTACATCATTCAGGAATTCCCCAACCTCAGCCAGTCACAAAATAGTATTTGTGACTGAAACTGAGGTTAATAAATTATGTATAATTAGCTGGGAACTCCCCGAGATTTTCACCCCGTCTCTCTTTTCGAATGAAGTAAAATATATCGTTCAGAAAAGAAACAACAACGTATTCCTTATATTAAAATTTACACATTCCCAGTCAGTTTGAAAACTCGCCGGACATAAGGTCCGACGATACAGGTTTTTTTATCGGACCGAGACAAAATTTGCCAGGCATGTCCGACGGTCCGACGCCTTTCATAAAGTCTGGCCTAAACTAAATTTTTTTGGTATGAAATGATTTAGAGGTTTAATTATTTCCCGAGTAAAAGTGAAGTTGGCATATGGGAATAAATTTTGTCAAACAGAGTAATAAATATGGAATAAAAAGCATGCCATGAAACTTACTGAAGTTTTCAATTATATTTTAAACAGGGAGAGTGGCAAGAGACTGGCAAAAAGAAAAAGAAGCTACCACAACAAAATTCAGACCCTACACCACTGGTAAACAATAAATCTGACACAAAACTGGATCGTGAAAGAGGGGAGTCGAGAGATCGTGGAGACAATGCACCAAGGAGGGGAGCCAGAAATGCTCCACCCAGGCTTTCAAGGGGTGGAAGTGCAAACAGAAACTGTAAGTCTTCTACCGGATGATTTTTCATCATGTATTAAAGTCTCTTTATTGAAATAAGAAAAATTTGCATTCGAAGAAAAGACTAGTGAATCAGTTCAGGCTGGTCTATCTATGGTATATGTATTGTGTAAAAAAGCATAAAAATGTGTATTAAGTATCAGTACCTTGTTGAAATTTGCACACACTTAAATTCTTTTGTGACATGCCTGATTGTTTTGAAGTGGAAGAATCTATTGAGTGAATCAAATTATGACTTCTTCCTTTGCCTTAAATAGGGAAAGGCAGAGAAGAGGAAGAGAATGAGAAAAATAGAGAGAATAACAGAGACTTCAGTAGAGATAGACCAGAAAGAGGAGAGCGAGGCAGGGGCAGAGGAAGAGGAAGCGTTGCTAGAGGCAGAGGTGGAAGAGGAAGGTAGATTGTTTTTTTAAGACTCGCTCATGTTCCTTAGATTAGAGTTAAACATGTTATTAGGCATTTTCCTTTATTATAACTTTGCATTTTCTTGAGAAAGGGATAAATAATAAATAGGTTTGTGATGAAATATTTTTCCTATCCAGAGGTGGTTTCGGTTCCAGAAGTGGGGGTAGTGTGCCTGGCAGTGGAGGTGCAAGGTTTGACAAGGGACCAGAAATTGATACATGGACTAATGAAGTAGCTGAAAATGCAGAGAAGGGCAATAGCAGTAAGTTTCATATCTTCATGCTGTTCATAATAAGAGAAAAGACAAAAAAAAGTGACACTGATGCTTAAATTATAATTTTACCTTTGCAGCGGTCGGCAGTTTCTATTTTTTTTCTTTTTGAATATCACTTATTACATGTTCTTAATGACAGTTGATCATGATAATCACCTTGAACCTGATTTTCCAGATTGGGCAGATTCCATAGATAACTGGGATGAGGAATGGACTGGCAATGTAAGTAATCATATGTAAATTCCATGTTGATTGTTTCAACTTATAATTAAAAAGACCTACTGCTATTCTTCTCCATTTTGATAAACAGTTTGATAGCAAAATGCCTACATGTTCAACAACACTTTGGCCACATTGCCCTGAACATACCTGTTTGTGATTGAGTTCTTGCATTAGATATTCTGCTATGTTTCAGCTGTCAGAGACACAGGTCTTCACCCCAAGTGCATCAGCAGCTGTCAGCACCAATACCTTCTCTGCCTCTACAGCCTCCAGTATGGATGCTTTCTCCAGTGCGGCCATGACTACAGCTGATGTCACAGCCAACTCTGTGTTCAGTTCTAATTCTCCAAGCATTCGCAGTGGGGATGGGTATACAAGGTAAAGATAATAAATTCTGACAACAATTGACCACAATATATAATGTTTCTATTTGGGAAGATTAGGAAAAGTTGACTTTGCAGACATGCTGAAAACTTTTCAGAATGGCCGGCCATTTGGACCGGCAGTAATGAAAAATTTGCTGGACCGAATGGTTTTTTGTTGGACCATAAATCGCCCTATTCGTTTGAGACAGATACTACCAGTTTGATTAGGGTAGCTTACTTTGTTTGTGAATGTGATAGGCTTGAAATGGAAGGGAAAAAACGCTTTGGGTTTTGTATCATTTTTTTAGCGAAGTATGTTGAATGATGACTGTAAATTCAAAATTGCCACTCTTAAAACTCTTGTCAGTCCTTTGGACCGACCAAGTCCAATTTTTTACTGGTCCAAACAAATTTTGCCAGCCATGACCGATCGGACCGACAGTTTCAGCTTGTCTGCTTTGTCATATTATTTCATTCATAGTAAATGAGTAAATTTGATCTCTATAAATTTTTGACCTCTATCAATATGCCTAAACCCAAGTTTATATTGATAAGGTACAAGTAACCATTATCATCAACCTTCTTATGTTTGCTTTACAGGCTGGACCTTGATGTACTCTTGCCTAAACAAACCCAGGATGCCTCTTTGTCCACTACATCATCTCTTGGAGTCAGTTCACTGGGGAGCAGCACAGGTCTGATGGTCAATTCAACTGTAGGTGTCCCTAGTAGTCTTGGTGCTGGTGGTTCTTCTCAGTCTCAGTTTTACCAGAGTCAGTTTGCAAAGCAAGCTACTGAGTCTATCAAGAATGCAGTTGGGGTAAGTCAGTTTTGCTATAGAAAATGTCTCTAATGGAATTTATTCTCAATCATACCAGCTCAGTTTCTTATTTGGTCATATTTCTACATCTAAGGCAGAATGAGTTTTTTTTTTTCGTGGATTGAGCATGTAAACGTTTCTCTTTTTGCACTTCTTGTTGAAAGACATTCATCAACTTAAAGTGTTCATATAATTAAACTAAGAGATGAAATTTCTTTACTATAGATCGGCTCCTCACAACCAAATGCCATACCCCAGCCAAGTCCAGTGCAGCAGCAGCAGAGGCCTGGTAATGCAGCACAGGCAGCTGCAGCCCAAGCAGCAGCCCAAGCAGCAGCACTACAACAACAGCGGAACAAGCCTCAGAGAACAAAATTACCACCTCCTTCAAAGGTAAGATTAAACAGGGAGCAGGAATAGACAGTTTATTGTAGGGTAGCATGAAGTTGGTTAATAGTGGTTTTCTAAATGGCAACTGGTAGACAAGCAAAAGAACCTTGCCTTATTCACAGTGCTGTTGATGACAAAATAGGTTGACTTTTAGCAGTATGCCATTTTAGAAGGTTCTAGAGAAAAAGATTTGAGAGCCCCTGGTCCAGACACTATAGCTAAATACCATTTTGCAGTTATCTGTACCAATATCATTTGTGTTAGGACATGTAGTAAATATCAAAAATAATTGATAGTAATTGATCAGTAAAAGTGCTAATGCATGGTTTTTCATGCTTGTTGTCGGGTTGAATTTTCATAAAAAATGGCATTCAGATCATTTCTCACCATCTACACAGAGTTGTCTTGTATTTAAGTAAGTATGAAAATCAAATAAAAGATTGAGAAAATTATCTTTGCTTCAGATTCCTGCTTCAGCAGTGGAGATGCCATACTTGCCAGGGAGTAATATGATGCCTCTAGATGTGCAGTTTGGGAGTTTGGATATTGGTGACTCTCTCAGTTTTGGCTCTGTGGCTGATCCTGCCATAGTGAGCAGCTACAAGAGCTCTGCCATGAGGTTAGTTTTGAATTAACATTCCCCATTTACCTGAATGTTACTGGTAGTTTGACCTGATTTCCCACCTTATTAAGTTCGTTAAAATATGAGTTCTTATTTGATCATATTTGTTGATCATTTTTTTGGGATGTGCTAATAATGTTATCACAGGTTTTTGCTTTAGTTGAGTGGCTTTCATATTCCAGCAGTTCTTCTAGCCTGACCAACCACCTGTCAGGCATGGTAACCAAGTCTACAGAGAACTCTGCACTGAACTCCACTCTGCCATCATCAGGAAGCACTACAACATCCAACATGAGTAACCTGGACCAAACCAGGAGCAGTGTGTTCCAGAACACCATGACATCCCCTAATAAGGACTATTCTCAGACGCCAAAGGTAAATGGTGTAATGTATTCACAGTTAGTTAAATTGTTTGAATTTTGATTTAGAATTGCTTTGTAAGAAGTAGAAAAAAGTGCTTTCAGATGAATGTATTTAAGGAGATATTGTATTCCTAGCCTCCTAGCCTTTGATTTATTGTTGCCATTTGGAATCACAAATTGATTCCAGTAGTGCAGTACTATTTAGATCTAGTCCTTTGTTATCATAATGGATAAAGTTAAAGGTTTCTGAAGGTTTCTGAAGCAGCTGCATTGACATTAGGCCACAAAATATGACATTTGTGTATAAATTTCCTTACTACTGATTTCCCCAGGTAAACAGTCCGCCAGAACCCATACCATTCCCTGCCTCTCAGTCTACAAACAAGACAAGTCCATTGATGGGATCACGAAGATCTGGACAGGGAACAGGTAATAAATAATAGAAAGGAATACAATAACCATGATTAGTATTAGTGCAAAAATGAACTTTTCAGTTTAGTTTTCTACGTCATGTAATAAAAAAAGATTGTAAGTCATTTTACCTTAAAATATGTTTTTGTTTTAAGGTGCATGTAATGGGGTCGTTAGGGAAAATTGTGTTTATGCATTGTCATTTATTTGTAGATGTATATTCTAACATCAGGTTATATCTTTTTGCCACAGATTCTCTTAGTGCCACCACAACATCTCCAAGTATAAACTATGGGCAGTCCAGCTATTCCTCCAGCTATTCCACAGCTAACTATGTGAAAGGACTCAATTCCACAACTAGTGGCTACTCTCACCCTAACAGTAATCTTAGCTCACAATATGGTCACTCAAGTTATCCAGGCAGTGGGTCATTCCAAAGTCAGACGGGGTATGGTGGCAGTCAATCAGGTGGTTACCAAAACCAGTCAGGCTATGACAGGGAATCGGGATCCTCTTATCAGTCAGCTTATAGCCAGGCTGGTTCTTATGGCTCAAGTCAGACTGGGGGCTACTCAAGAGACAACCAGTCAAGCTCTTACCAATCTGGAGGACAGTATCAATCTGGGAGTGGCTCCTTCCAGCCAACTATCAGCCAATCAGGCTCCAGCTACCAGTCGAGTAGCAATCAGCAGACCAGTTATCCTAACCAATCAGGATCAGTGTACCAACCTTCCTCTTCCTCAACTCACAGCTCTGCATACCAGAGGGACAGTCAGTCTGCTCAGACGGGCTATGGGTCTCAGAGTTACAGTAGCACTAATCAGCAGACTAATAAATTTGCCGAAAGTATAGCCAAAGCTGGAAACAAGGAAACTGATTTAGATAGTGGGAGGCAGTCAGCACCCTCATCAGTAAGCATTTGTTGTATTTGAACAACTTGTTAGAGCCTTGGAGTGATTATTTCAGGATATCCTCAGAGAAAAAAATTATGGTTGTAAAAATTGTCTTTTGAGTAAGTTATACTGAAAGTCGACACACTGTGGTCAGGGATTCTGTTAATTTTCTGTCAGCTTTATTGATAACACCTTTCCCTTGCAGCATTCTTTCGACAGATCTAATGGTACCACTGTGCCAGGAAGCATGACAACTACCACTATTACCACAACCAGTACTCTGCCCTCTGTGAATACCAGTGTCTCTGCTGCATTGGGGATCAATACCACATCTGTTAGTTCATTGTCAACAAAACCATCTGCCACAACAAGTGAGTCTGTTTCTTGCACTGGTCTTTCTGTACACAGTATATGTAGATTTGCCAGATTATATACAGTTGTTCAAATTTTACATTTTCTTCGAAAAGTGTACAAAAATTGAAATGCAACAGGTAGTTCTTATGTTTATAAATTTATCTAACCTTTATTTACAGTAATTTGAGGACAATGTTATAGCAGCATATTATCATGTTACAGTGAAAAGATTACTCTTAATAAGTTTTATATATAACAACTGTGTGTTCTGGTGACTTTCAGACAAAGCCCCTCCAAACTTGCCGCCTGGGGTTACACCAGTTCTTGGTGCTAACTATATGGTCCAGCCAGGCATGCCCTTCATTGGGCTCCAGCAGCCAATGTACAGTTATGAGGATCTGCAAGCCATCCAGAGAGGGATCCCTACACTAAACCTTGGTTACTATGACATGTCATCATTTGCCACTCCCAGCACTATGTCAACAGGTCGGGAGCAGACGACGGCGTCTCTTGCAAGTATGTCATATGCTGGGGGTAAGTGGGTGTTATTTTAGGGATCTCTCTGTGATTCTCCTATCTTGTTTAAACTTTTTCAATCTTTCCTGAGGAGATTCCACTTTGTAGGATTGTCTGTCAAGATAGAAGTTACAGAGATTGGGGTTTTATTACTGCCCCAGTTGCAGCATGGAATCAGATATTCATTCTGGAATCAATTTTACAGCAAAACTTGTTCTTTGTCTGATCTTTGTGGGCTTGCTTTAATGTTGTGTTTCTTTTAAGTGACTTGATGTTATATATCTGGTTAAGCACTGTTTTATGGAATTATTATAATTGATGTCTCCAGTATGACTTTATTATAGATGCATGGCATTTTGAACAACGGAATAGTCGTCTTAATTTTAATTAATAATTTACATGATTTTGCACATTAGCAGGTGTTTCAGATGGAAAGATGAACAGGGTGGATGCACAGTCTCCCATCCAGGGAACTCAGACAACACCTCAGCAGACACAGGGACACCAGCAGACCATCTTCAATCCTGCTACTTTTCCACCTGGCTATGGTTTCTATTACCCAACACCTGGCATGGTACCAGGGGTCTATACACCTACTGTGTATCCAGCAGTAAGTAAAAGAATTCATTCAGGATCCTTGAAGTACAATGAATTCTGTAAATCTCCTTGCCAAAGGTTGATCCTGAAAATGCACATAGTTAAAATCTTATTGCAAAATTCAAGACATGGAATACAATTCTACCTTTGTCATGTAAAAAAATTAACCTATTTGCTAAACTATGAACTTCAGCACTAAAACTACAATTTTAATGAAGCAACATTTTGGTTCTTGAAGAGTTTTTTAAACAGTAATAGGAATCAATTTTTTTTCTTTTTCTTTACTTTTTTCTCATGCTGGGAATGGTTCACATAAACAATTTCAGTTATTTTTGCCCAAATTTCTGACTCTATATTCTAGCCTTGTATGGTTTTGTATCTTCCAGCAGATGCCTCAAGTAACAAATGCTGCTCATGTTGGTACAACGGCTGCTACAGCACAGTTCCCCACAGCAGCCACAGCACAGTTCCAGAAGGCTGCTGGAGGATATGGCTCTCACACGTATGGGACAGGTAGTAAGTTTCACAGTTATAGATGTTTAATAGCAAATTAATGAATGATTGGTTCTGGTACACCTTGAACAGGTTTTAAGGTTTCACACTTATATGTCCAGTTGGGGATGGAATTTATTTTGCCAATCTAGAGACTGGCTCTGAAAACTACAGTTGGTGTCTTTAATATAACCCTGCTATATGTATCCCTCTCCTTGTGTCTACACAGATTTTTAGGGAATTTTTGATCAGTGAACCGTGTCATAGTTGAAATTTTGTTTTTAAGCGGTTGTTTTAGTGACTGTATCAAAGTTAACTGTTTAGGAGTCAGACGTACCATTATAGATATTCAAAATGTACTTGGAGTGATATTGTAGTTTGTAACATCTTCTTTACATCATGAAGTCAATATACTAATCCTTGATTTTTTTCTCAGGATATGATGATCTGAACCAAGGGCAAGACTTCAAAACTGCATATGGAGGAGTATCTCAGAGTCAGCCTAAGGCATCAGTAGGATCACGTAAGTTATATTTTTAAAATAACAGAAACTTTTGCTTCTAGCTGCCTGCTTACAGGGAATTTGGGTATGATGCATATTTCTTATTTTCCTCCATAGGTAGACTCTCCTAATGTTTGATGCTGGAGATATAATCCCATTTAAGTCAACACAAATGTTTCTTGTCTCTTTCTTGTATTGTAACCTTTTTGTATAAAGGAATCTTCTGAAAGAATTAAGAGACTTGCTGGTGTAAAACAATTTTTTTCTTTCTCCTGTCCAGCGAGTGTGACCTCAGCAAGCAGTATTACTGATCTGAGTGGTGCCGCTTACAGTAAGGTGAGACTCCATTTGGTTCAGTGTTTAAGCATGCACCTCGTAGTTGTTAGTATCACTGTCAGTGTTTTTTAACCATCAAACTAAATCATCTCAACTAATAAATCATTTGTTCAGTTTTTGAAAGTATGGAATGAGTTGGGATATGGCGCCAAACAACTCATTTAGATATAGTTTAGTTGTCATTCACCAAAACCACTTTTTTCCTACTTATATTCCTCTGAAAATGTCCAATTTATATGAAAATCGCTTTATATTTTGTTCCCTAAAAAGAAAATTTTGACCGTTTGCTAATATATGAGTTTCCATGTGGCACTTTTAGAAAATGTTAATGTGCAAGTGAAACTGAGTTGTTGTTTAATGTGCTGTTTGTAAAATTTCTCTCTGCCCTTAAACTCTTTTGTTAAGTTTGTCCTTTTATGATGCATCTTATTTTGTTTTTGTCTTTCTCTCATCCCTTCAGTCTTTTGAAAAGCAAGGGTTCCATGGGACACCACCCCCATTCAATACCTTGCTATCTGGAGGCACACAAGGGGGGCCCATTGGAGCACCTGCTACAGCATATGCGGCTACCCCCTTCATGCCCATGATGACACACCAGGGGATGCTGCACCCTCTTCAGCAGGTTGGTAGGGTGTGTATCTTTTAGTGTCTTTTCTATCTTTCTTTGTAGATTAGCACCATTATTATTAGTTTGATTTAATACTTAGTGACTTGTACTAATATCTTCAAATCTTAGCTAGGCAGTGGCTTTCTGCTGTCTCTGTAGCATAGTAATTGTTGACTGTTTTTCATTATAATGTAAGAAAAAACTTAAGTATTTTTTCTAAGAAGGTATATGTATGAGGCAGTAATGATTGTGCATGTTCTAAGGAAGGGTAGAATTTTTAAAAAATGGTTTACTGCTATCAGGCAAATTATAAAACATGTAATTTAACATTACAAAACCCCAACCACAGTGTGATGGACATTGAAGGAAATATTCTGCAGTCACTGTAGTTGCTTTTTTTCTATTCAGGATACTAGCGGAACAGGCAGAATAAGCAGCTCCCAACAGAGCAATGTCCAGCCAAAGGGTGTTCCCAAGACGTACAACACCTACTGGGCTAACTAGAGAGAAAAGGGAAGAGAAGGGGGAAATAGCCAAGGTGCAATTGGTCATCAAAATGAGTGTACAAATCTATTTTTAGCTGCCTGGTGGAGCTAAACTGTTTGGATGTTTAGAGTCTTTACTATCATTTTTAACCAGAGTGGCACTTGTCTTATTCTACTTCGAAAAACTGACATTGAAACAACAAATTTATTTAAGAAAGTGTTGATTGAGTTCACCTTTATCCTTGGGTTTCCAGTCCTATTAAGCTCAATCGTTTCAGTTGATTGCTGTTGTATATACTGCTGTAGTACATGTGTAAACCTTGATGCACCTTTTGTGGATTTAATTTTAGTATGAGTTGCCATTGTATTTGTGACAGTGCAAGCAAGTTAAAGCACGTTATTTGACTTTATTTGATTGCTAACCCATATGTAAGTTTGGATTGCCAGGTCTGACATAAACATTTAATTTTGACTTTATTATTAAGTAGAGTTGTGCCTTAAACTTACCCCTTTGATCAACTCAGCTGGGGGTCACAGTTTTTAAAGTATTTCTTGTAATCTTAGATTTCCCCACACTTATGTCTACAAATGTATAATGTGGGTTTATGATATGCATGCCCAGGCATAAAGTAGATCCTTGTGATGATGCATTTGACAACTTGTTATAATATTATATGGGCGGAATGCCCTGCCTTTTGGTATGCAAAAGGTATAATGTTTAATAATAACTTCATTAAAATAAAGGTCACGTCTGATTTCTGTATTATAATGATACTGTTGCTCGCAGTTTGTAATATGCTTTAAACATGGTATAATGTCATGTTGGAAGCTGTAATAGTATTAGATATAAACTTTTTAAAAGTATGAAAAATTCACTCTAGTGGTATTCCAAGCAAGCTATTGTAATTGTATGTATGTATGTATGTATCATTCTGTTGGCGCATTTGCTTTTTATATTACCCAGTATATTGTACAGCAGATTATTCCATCGTTTGTCAGATAATTATAATGAATAAAACATGCAGTTTCAGCTGTACTTTTGATTTGTTTTTACTGAGTCGGATGCCTTGGGTGCTTGCCACAGGATTGTCCCTCAAAAATGGATTTTTCATTTCTCTCAATCCGTGGTAAGTCATTTAAAATAAAAATATTAAATTAAAAATAGGATAAAAAAAAAACTCGAAGAATTGCCATTTTTATTGCATAAAAGTGCACATTGAAGGTTGTCCGTACACAAATTTCCTATCAAAACAAATCACTTAAATGTGCAAAGCCACTAGCTGCATTTACGACACGTTTAGCAAATAGGTTGGTTGCAGTCAAAATCTATTTACAATGTGTGATCGTAAGAGCCTGGATAAAATCTTTCCCACAAGGCCATTCTCGGGCACTAACAGTGTGAATGTCAGGGAACCATGAAATGGTACAATTGCCAAAAGTGTCTCATTACTCTTAGACATGAATATTACGTGGCGTTTTGTATCGTGGCAATTATACATGTAATATATGAAGTTGCTAGATGTCACTTGCAGTGCGAAAGCTGAGAAAAAAATGACAAGTTATGCTTCAAATATTTTTTCATTAAGGGTGTTTCTGAATTGGGAAGCTTTGCAGGAGAAAAGTGAGACGGGGCATTTTCAAATGCGCATATTACCTTAAAGCAAGTACTTATGTACATGAAATTATTTGAATGTAGAAATGGATTCATTAACCATTGGTAAGTATGGAAAAATTGCCGGTAACCCCAGGAAATTCATTTTTTAGCCAAAATAAACAGTTGTTATCCTTTTAATAATGTGAAAATTTACAAGAAATGAACAGGGAAGAGTTAAGTACTTTAACTGCATGTTTGCATCTTTATTTCCTCTAAGATCATGCATGTTTAACTATAAAGAAAAATAAACATGAAGTGAACAACCTACTTCAGTTTTCTATCAGTAAGAGAGTCCATTTCACTTTCAGTCACAAACTTGTCACTCTTTATTACCTGATATTATGTAACTGCACTTTTAATATACAAACAAACTGAAATCTCTGCTATACTTTTAACAGAAACAGAATGTTGGTAGAAACGCTTCCCTTTTTTTTTCAATTACATTCATGAAAAGATCCAGTTGGTTAAATACAAAATGTCAATCTGGTGAGAGAACTAGGGCATTTGTAAGGCCATCATCACTTCTTGTCCCCTTTATCCCCAGATTCATCCTTTTTCTCCCCTTTTGTATCTTCGCCTTTTTTGGTTAATGAACCTACTGCAGACCTGATAGCTTCACTCTGAGGATCCACACCAGGCAAGTTTTCCAGGACATTCTGAAGGAATTCTGGGTCATTCATTACCTCTGAATAATCTTCATCTTCTGGCTTTTTCTGTAAAAGATGACATTTGTTTTTTCATGCCATTCTGTTGTCTTTTTCTTTTATACTGTGTAGTGATCATTCATGTCAAATGATAAAGTTAACATGGTAAATATTCTCCTCATAACATATATCATGCAAGTATTTGTTCCTTTTCGTTGTCTTATTTATATTATTTATCTTAACAAATAATATATTTATGGTAAAATTATGCAAAAAAAACACAGAACAAAATTTCATTTAAACATGATGTTTAATGCTAAATGAATGAATTGGACTAGAAATCAACAAAAGATGGTTAGATCCTGACTGAATCAACATTTAACAAAAATAAAAAAAATTAGCATGTACTTACATCTTTTTGCTCCGAGGTGGCACCAGTTCCATCATCAGTCTCCATGGGGATTGGTGTTGTCTCTGCTACAGAGATACATATATTATACATCATAAATATATTACAGTGGCATTCCCTTGAAAATGGATTCACAGGACGTCATTGGTCATTTCATAAAAGTCAATTTCCAAAATCTCTAAAGCAAAGTAATACTGGAATTCTTTTTCATCAAATTTTATAAAGTTAGGAATTAAAAAAACAGCTGAAGGAACAATACCTGAGCCTTGCAGTGACATTGCCATTGCCATAGCAATCTGCTCTTCTTCACTCATCCCAGAGGGATCAAAATCACGAGGAGTTTCAGACATAGTTCCTTCTTCTTGTCCCATAGACATAGCAAGAGCCTGCTGAAGAAGGGTCTCTTCACTGGTTGCTAGAAGTCAAAAAAAAATTCTCAAAATAACAAATTCAGCAGAGGGAAAGATGAATAATTATTGTGGCAATTACCAACGAATCCAATACAATGAGTGATAAGAAAAACAATGTTCTTCAAAACATTATTCATCAAATTACCTGTGCCTGCCCCACTTTCTGATGCAGTCTCCGCAACAGTTTTTCGAGCTTCATCTTCCTGTCTTGCACGCTGCTCTTCCATAGACACACGGAGTGCCTAGAAAAATCATTGCTTCTATTCAATAGTAATTAACATAAAATTTTACAATTTTCAGATTTTTTGTTGCCTTTTTTGCTAGCAATTAACATAAAACCAAAAATATAATCTTCAAATATGATCATAAAAAATCCTGAAATTGATAAATTATTAATTACAAAGTATCAATGACATATTTGAATAATAAAAATACTTATCAGCTTAACAAACTGAATCAATAATATATTGCATACTTTTCATAATTTACCTCTTGCAATGTGACCAAGAGTATTTACAAGTTATTTTTGTCAATTAAACAGCATAATGTACCAGCTCACTGGGTAGCCAACTGAAGTGATTCTTTTTCAAGCTCAGAAAAAGGCATGTTAAAACTTTTTAAAGCATTTTCTGTTTGCATGTGTCAATGCACAATGTCAACTAGGCAGTAAAGCTAGCTAATATACAGATATTAATATTTCACAGAAAAATGGAATTCGTATTGCTCCCTTTTAATATGAACATGCATGATTAATAATAACTTTTGTAATATCATTAATCTAATAATGCCAATTTCGCACAGAAGCTGCATTTCTACAAAAAAAAAAAAAGCAAAAAAAAATTTTTAAGTGAAACAAACACATGGTTTGGCAGTGTTAGAGTGAACAACAGATGTATCAGACATCACTGGCATGGGCAGACAAAGAGAACAGAATATATAAAGAAACATACAGAATTGGTATTTAAAATTTTATTTTATTTCATTTTTTTTTTTAATATATCAAGCACTAAATATCTTAAATAAAGTCCCAAACTTTCATGATTGTCTGAAAAGTTAAAATCAAGTATCACCTATTTATTACAGAAGAAAAAGATGTTTTCCCATATGGATGAGTCCAAGTTAAAGGACATGCAATAGGTGGATTTCATTCTGGTTTTTCTTGTGTAATCTGGAAGAGTTCATAGTTATGCACTCTCGTGAACCCGTGCATTCTACTACCAAGGTGAAGGACAACAACATCTAAGTCAATCTCAGACATTAACCTTGCTTATCCTTTGAGTTTTGTGGTTATGCAATAAATACTTGTCTGGAAATTGTCTAGAATCCTGAACATTATTCAATGTCCAATGCTTTAAAATAGATGTTGATACAAATGCAGACCAGTACAATATTCTAATCTCTGAAACATTTTAAAACATTATCAGTATTTAAACAAAACAATTCTCCACACATAATTAGACTTAAACCTAACAGACTAATCCACATAAGGTCATAAATATGTCATATGTCTTAAAATAAAACTGCAATGAAAACAAAGTTATTCAAGTGAGACAGGGTCACGACCTGGATTTAGTCAATGCTTTCATTCAATTTATACTATAATGCAAAATGTTCTGGGGTCTTATAGATATTCATGATGTATGTTACTGAATTAAAGGTCAGTTACCATGAGGTCTAGTTTCATTGTTGATACAAACTGGCATATTATTCATATTGGTATTTACCTTGTAGCTTATGTCTTCTATAACATGTTCAAAAACTTGCATAATATTCACCAAGTTGCATTACAGCTTAACTCAAATTATTTTTGTAAGTCTCATCAAAGATTTTAAACTATATTTCTCTCATTAAATTCAAGTGATCTTTGAAAGTATGTGCAACTAAAGGAGAACATAGATTTTACATGAAAAAAAAGATTACTTCTTCTAACTTTTAACTTTCTTCTAAGTGTTTCACCAATCGAAATATTTTGAATTACTTAAGTTCATCGGTGTGTGTGTGTGTGTGTGTGTGTATGTGTGTGTGCGCACGCGCGCGCACATTTGTGTGCGTGTTGGGCAGGGAGGGCATTATAGTTTGGGTATCTCTCATTAAAGGAATGTTTAAAGATCTGAATGTTCTTAAATTTGAGAATTATTGGTTTTAGAAAATATACATGATTTCCATTACTAATATTAAAACATATTTAATGTAATCTTGTGCTTTTGAACTGGAAATGAAACACCACATACAGTACATACAAGCCATTGCCCTGAACTGAAAAATGACCCAGATATGTGCACCTTTAAAGTACTTGGCAACTTTAATAGTTCACATCTTATGACTCACACAACTTGGCCCAATTCTCATTTCACAACAAAGTCATTGTCTAGACAGCTTGCTCTATTTGTCCATTCCTGAAAATTTAGTAGGTCACTCTCACCTTTAATGCACTTCTTGTGAAACTACATTTACTTATGCTGTTACATACACCACAAAAAGTAATAACATCATTTTATTATTATTATTATTTTTTTTTTTTTTTGGACACAACATCTTTACTGTTCAAATCAAATTCTTTAACTGCAAAACTCAGACTCAACTTTACCTCAATGCACTTTAGTTGGCACATCATAAATGGAACTTTACTTTCTATTATTATTATTATTATTGTAATTAAAGATATTTACCAACAGCTGGCTTCCAAGACACTCTTTTCAATTATTTTACTATTATTTCAGTAAATTATAACACTCAAAGTGAACTACTGTAGCATGATATTATTGCCACAAATAATGAATGTTATTAATACTCATTAAATATGGACCCCAGAATAGAATGCAGAATGCTGAACTTCTACCTGTTATTATATAATGCACACAAGTGAAGCATAAACACCAAAGCAAAAACAGGTAAATCATTTCACCTGCAACTGAACCTAGTTCACTTGTACCCAAACAAAACTCTTTCAACACAGTGGACTCTCCCAACTTATGCAATTTATTTCCATTGCAACAGAGAATATGGAAACAAATTAGATCTGCAATCACAACTGAAGCAATTCTAACTAAAAGCTATGTGACTAAAACAGTACAGAAACAAACAAGTAAAAAGTTTCCAATATAATCAAAAACAAAATGAATTAGTGCACATGATAAAAATAAACATTACTGAATTATATGTACATTTCAAAATTAGCTTAAAAACTGAAAATTAGAGGTGAACCACATCTGTCCTAACAGTTAAATGATGAGAAAAACATGAGGCACATCTCTCAATGACCCATTTCACTGTCATGAAGGACACATTTATCAATTCATGAGACTATTGATTCCATACTCCTTTTTAGAAACCATTAATTTCCATTCTTTTCTGTTAAAAATAATGAACATTTACAATCAATCACTCATAACGACAGCAGTTGACCACCAACATCATTAATTAGATGACAGCATAAATAGACTTCTAGACCCTATGGTCCTCCATGATACTGGCAAGCTCATTTATATGCTCCAAGCCAGTGTCCCCAAGGAGAACCTGGAAATAAGTTTTGTTTCGGGTGTCCAAAGAGCCGTGTGTGGGTACCCAGAGCAGAAATCTATTTGCTGCTGCTTCTGTGTGACGATAAAAATGGCCGGCAGCCTTCAATCTGCTGTTTCTTATTTTAGAGGTGACTTTCGGCATTCATGTTTCAGAACTGTAAAGAAGTACTGGCTCGACCAATGTTTGGAATATATAAATTTTAAGTTGTCGAGAAAGATTTACAGATCTTTTGTAGCTTGTTGATGGATGTCCAGGCTAGCCCTTTCCTGACAAGAATGTCCTGACTTGTTGATGCTATCCATATACCAATATATTTGCACTTGATGTAATTTGCTGCCATTCAAGGTAGACACTGGTACATCAGTTGACTGGTAAAAACTCATATACTGTTTTTTTTTTTTTTTTTTTGCATTGATCTGAACCCCAATCTTTGCATCCTCTCTTTCCAAGGCCAACAGAAGTTCCTGTCCTTGTTCCACTATATCTACCCTGAGTGTCAGAGCAACGTAAAAGCTAGCTTGCTAAATATACCTTGTGGTGGAGTCGCTTTTACTAACTCTGAAGACCAGTGGCCATGAAAGTTTTCCATCAATCAAATAGAACTGCTCCGCAGTGAAAATGCAGTTGAATGTCATCAGACCAAAATAAAACGTAAAACAAATTTAATTCTGCTTTATTTAATTTTATTTGCTGTATTTAAGATGTAAAGTGAAAAAATAAATAATATTCTTCGGAAAGAAAAGATATATCCAATGTTTTTGTATTTTTTGCTTATCAAAGAACATTTAGTCCTGAGATTTACACGTGCATAATACATGTGCTTGCCGGGTGCCAAATTTGACAGCTACACTGTATGCCGATACCACTATAAGGGCTGCGCAATGGCTACACAAAAATAAGTTTTTACAGCAGAATGTTGCTTGTATTGTGGCACTGACCTTCGACTGCAAGATATTTTCATTTCAAACTTCTAACTCCGCGTCAGGCACTTTAATTACTTCTTGTCTCGCCTGCACGAGACTTCAGCGCAAGGCGGGAAAGGCAGCTCCAGGCAGCCAAACCTGTGACGTACGAGACTTATGACTTCCAAATATGGATCCAGGTGGACACAGCTGTGATGTGTGACTTCCAAATATGGAAGCGCCCCAGGCAGAATTTTGAAGAAGAACGCCCCCGAGTTGCCATTGTTCGCTAGAGCCTGGTATTGCTACTATGGGTTATATATGAAATCAAGATCGAGCTGGCAATACCGGAATCTAGAACCTAGGGTAACTATATCAGAAAGTAGAGCCAAGTCATCAGCAAATCCAAAGTCAGTTATGGTGCTTACCAATTTTTCTATACTGCCTTGGTGAGATGGTAAATCGATGCCTGAGCTTTGTCCTCTGGTAAGGCTTGGTGGAGACAGTAGGCTAGAACTTTGATGAATAGAAAAGGAGTAAGTGTGTCATCATGTAACACTCCTGCCTGGATATCAAAGACATCTGTCTCCCCATCTGGTGATATGATCTTGGCTCCGGTGGTGTTGTACATATTGCTGATGGCTAAGGCAATCTTCTCAGGGATACCACAGGCTGACAAAATCCTACACATTTCATTCTATGGATGCCGTCGAAGGCCTTCCAGAAATCAACAAAGGTTACGACTGCAGGTAGCTTCCTTGTTTGAGCCCGTCTAGAAGGTGGCTAATTGCCAGAATTTAACCAACTGTTCCCTTTCTTTGTCTAAAGCCATTTTGGTTACGTAGATAATGAACAAACATATTCACATACAACAACAATTTAAATAAAATTGACATATTACTCACCAAAGCCAGTTCTGGGTCTTCATTGGGATCAACACCAAATTCAAATCCACCTGATCCTATCCCTGGAACAGGTCCCGTTCCATCTTCTCCTCTGATAATTGGGGAGCTTAAAAGTGCATCAGACAGGTTTGGGCCCGCTGGTACAGTCACTAGGTGAGAGCTGAAAAAAATATTACAAAGACAGTTTGGGTTATCCTGTATGAGAGATGCAAATGAAGTGAAAAATGCATGAATTTCATGGATAAAACATATGTACCAATACAACTTTTAAATTTTAATGTTTTTAAATACTATTCTAATGACAAAATATAAATTTCTTAAACACTACAAGTAGAAGCAATTATCTTAAATCAGTTCCCTACAAGACAGCACATTAAAAAAATACAAAACAGCATCATAAAAACTTACCCAGTTCCATCTTTTCCATTTATTGTGTTTACTACATTGATAAGCTTTTCTGTGTTGGTATTCTGAAAAATATACAACCATTTAAAGATACATCAGATCAAATGACAAAGACATTTATGTGTCAATCAGAATTCTTTTAATATAATCTAATAATGGAATATCTCTTCAAAACAAGCAGTTAGAAGCATAAGGGGGCAATTCTTTAAAGGAAGCTTTATAATTACATTACATATCAAACACACCATATACAAATAACTTTCATATTTTATTTTAAAGCAAAAAATAAAAAGATTAAAATACAACATTTAATATGAGATCACACATGTAGGCTCATACAGGGGAAAAAATCTATAACATACAAACGTATTGCATTAATGCACAGCTGGGATCATGCTTTCAAAGAATGTCTTAAAATATAAACAAAAAAGTGCTTATCCTGTCTGAAAGCTACCCTACCTCTTCTCCAAAATTTACAATATCCACATTGACTTTTTCCTTTTTGAGTCTTTTTGCAAGTTTGACAAGCTAAAAGAAATGATAAAAGAAAATAATAAAATCTCCCATTGCACAAATTTCTCATTAAATTTCTCGGGTGGATGAAAACCTTACCAAATCTTAATATGAACTTATGTTATGAACTTATATAAAAAAGACAAATATAACTTATTACCAATGAGTTTCGAGAAATATATACAAACCTCCTTCTCATCTTCTTCAATAGGGCTTCCAACAAAGGCAACTATTCTCATCCTATGGTTTTTTCCTTGTCTGTGCTTCAAAGCCAGCTAAAATAATCACAAAAATAAAATCTGAATATAAAGAAATACAAATTTAGCAACTTTTAAGGACAGGAGTAAAATGCAAAGAGTCAATCAAAAAATTCTGTGCAATCGTGCACAATGGAATGGCAAATATACAAAGAATGAATTTGACTTTCGATTTGTTTGAAAAAAGTGAAAAAAGCAACAACTTACATGAGCTATTCTAACAGCATTTACGAAGCGAATATCCCCTTTGGGTTGTATGTGATGCATCTTAGTCATCACACGACCAACATCAGATGTAAGGGTCAACAAAACTTCACAGCTAAAATCAAAAACAGAGGTTAAAGCAAATATTTCATAAAAGATTTGTGCCTTGCAGCAATTTGGACAGAAAAAGACCATCAGAGATTCTAAAGTAAACAGTTTTCAAAAACTACTATTTTTAAGGTTATAAATGTATATAAACATTTGACTGTTGAATATCCATAAAAAACAACCTGTCCAACACTGGTAGGTTTTGAAAATCATGATGTTGACATAAACATGAATCATATATAATCATATAAAGGGAGAATATCAATTTAACATTAGATAATAAAAGCACTTACGTTGCCATTGAAAGCAAACCAACATTGTTCTCAGGATTTGACCTGGTTTTGGAATGACACACAAGGTTGACAGCATCCTGCTGGGCCTGCATACGTGTTGGAATGAAGTCTCCATTTCTCATGAAATCACTGTTGTCAACACTGGAAAAAGAAAAATTAAATACAACTACACACATTTAAATATATATGCTTTATTGCTTAATCGTGAAATTTTATATTGCACTTGTAAGACTTGCATTTACATCTTTATTAAAACATACACTTGTCAATGGACCATTAGCTGCTTGGCGTAAACTGCATGGTGTCTTACATTTTTTTATTCAAAGAACTGTTAAATATCCATACAAAGAAAGTCTACAAAGAAAGAGCGCTACTTTTTGAGTACTCCCCCACCCTAAAGTCTTTTATTTTAAATTGCTTTTAAATTCATTTATATAGGGCCTTCGAGTATAGTTTCTGTAATCCAAATAAATTAGTTTGGCAATTAACTTAATAGCTTTTGTGTGATTTTACAAGGCAATATCAACCATCGAAAAATCTTGGTAATTGTCATGTCATCACAAGTCGGCCAAACTTTACACATTACTCAAGCTAATAGTACTTCATCAGTGTACATGTTGTTTTATCTCATAATCATAAAAATACTTTATTTTATTGTCACCTTAAAAGGAAACACTACGGCATTTACAAAGGTGAATAATTTTAGCAAAACTTACCACACCATAGTACTTTCCAGCACCATCTTGCCGTTTTACCGGATATCAATTTGCAGATTGCTGCACTTTTCATCTATGCGATACACGATTGGTCAAATAACTATAATTTCACCAATGAGTAAAGAGCAATGTTTTCACTTCCTCACACTCATTTCCTGTGTAAGGTTGGAGGAGACGAGAGACGACCGTTTTGGTTTTCAGACTGTCCAGTAAAACGTTCATATTTAGATCTATATATCGAAATGGAACACATGTTCATTTAATTGACTAATGAAAGTTATCTTCTACTGTGGACACAATACTTTTGGACAAATAAACAAAGATGAGGACAAAATTGCAATACCATCACCGAAGAAAATCAGTGTTGCCCTTCTAGCAGACGACAGTACAAACGGCAAAATATTTATAGGATGGGATAAACTTTTCATTATAAAAGGTCTGGTTTTAATTAATGTCAAGAGCAGTTACTGAACTTTGAAAGCACGTCTGACTTATCATGACTTGTTAAGTTTTGGCGATTTTTGTTTTGTAAATAGAATTTGAACTAATCTTATGGCTTTCAGATTCCAGGTGCATCAGTATAAGAGGTTTTCACCAAAATGTCCAGGAAATCCTGTGTCAAGAGAAAGTAAAATACTTAGAAGCATCTGTAAGACAAACTTTTGTTCTGACAGAAAATAGCAAATGTTACCAGTTAAGAAAGCAGGGATTAGAAGAGTTGCCTCAATGTTCAGCGAAAGAGATTGCTTGTGGTGAAAAATACACCATTTCATTGACAGGTACACTAAAAGTGTTTTAATGCCTATATCATGCAACAGTGCAATATGAAAATGTTTCATGGGGCTTATTATCTATTTTTATCATTTACTGATGATTTTAAGAAAAAATGTATCTTCAATTTAGATTAAATCTATTATAAGTGGATAAAATGGGTTATTTTCAAGTGTGCATGAAGTCATTATTTTAAGTAACACATAAAGTGAACGTGGATTTCCAGAAATGCTTAAGAACCACTCCTATTAGTTTCTTATATGACTAAAATAAAGTTGACAAGCCAAGTCATAAACCAAATTAATCTCTCATTCAATCAAAAAAAAAAAACTTTAAAACTGCACCTTCTTCAATTTTTGGTCCTAAATTGACATACTTATCTGCCCCTCCAGTTCATCAAGATCTGCCAAATGACTAAGTACTGCATGCTCTTTGCATAATTATCACTCTCACTCCCGTGTATAGATGTATAGCTGTGCACACAATTACGTACTTATTCAAATAAAACTGCTAAGGGATATTTACAGCACAAAAAGAAAATGGAAGATATCCATTCAAATACATGTATCATTTTTTGGGGGAAATATGAAATTATGTCCTTTATGATTTCTCTAAGTTACACTATTTGAAACTATATTATGGTGGCATTTGGTTTGGGTTTTGTGGCAAAAATTTGATTTTAAGTGCATCCTTAAAGAAATCATTTTGCATACAGTTATGACTATGTTTTCATGGGAAAGAGACTGTCATCGTCTTTGTAAATAGAACACATCAAATGTTTTCTAGAAGCCGGGGAAGTTTGTGTAATCCAAGATCTGAAGTGCAATCCTTTGTTTGTACCATTGCGTTTGTCAACACATAAAATTTTGGCTGTCAGCTGTGGAAAGGAACATGTGATTCTTCTAACGAACAGTGGGGAAGTTCTAACATTTGGAGGAGGAAGGTATTTATCATTGGTTTACATGATAGTGAGCTACACCCACACTTAAATCACTAAAGAAAATGTGGTTTTTACTACAGTTTATGTACTCAAAATTTATTTAATCACAATACTGAAATAATGTGGGGAAAAAGTTCAATTTTCTAAATTCTTTGGTGGTCAAATTTGTACAGAATTGGTTCAGATAGCATGTCTTGTAATATATTCAAATGTTGCTTTTGAATCAGTGCAAGATATATCATTTGTCCATTTTGCAATTCTGTATAAAATTTGCAATGACTATGTGATAAGAAATATTTTTTATCATGAATAAATAAATGTGATAATCATTGTAGCCGTGGCCAACTAGGACATGGTGGCAACGAGATGGTAAAACAACCAACCTTTGTGGAGGCTCTTGGTGGTGTAAATATTCTTAGTGTTTCTGCAGGTGGCTGGCATTCTGCTGTTGTTAGTGGTAATTTGATTTCTTTTTCTTTATACAACTTTGAATGGTGAATTGCAAGCATATTTACACCTCTGCAAATATGTAATTTCCAATAAAGGTTTATTTTTATTGGTTTGTTTGTCAGTAAGTAGCATGGCCATGATATGATGTGGTTTTTTATACAGTCATTGGAGATGTCTACATCTGGGGCTGGAATGAGGCAGGCCAGTTGGGATTACCATGTAAAAATATAGCAAATCTGAACAAAGGAGCAGAAGAAAATGTACTATGAAGTCACATACCGAAGATAGGAAAAGTTACTGTGAGGGTTCCGAGACTCAGATGCTAGAAATTAATGTACAGTCATTGCCTTTTTTGATGGATTTTCCCAAGGAACCTATTATAGTGAAAGTGAGCTGTGGGTCTAGACATACAGCAGTATTAACAGGTAGGGAAATATTTTTTTGGTAAAAATGTGAAACATTTCATAGCTCACCTAATTTTAATTTTTGTGAATCATCTGCAAATGATTTAAAGATAAATTTGTGACAAAACATGCAAAGTTTATTTTTTCAATGTGGTAGACGACTTTCATTGTTGCACTCTAGTTGCTTATGCCTGTATAAACATTTTTGTGAGGAGAGATTTCAAGTAGTACTAATTGTCATGTGAACAACTCCAGATGCTGGAAGACTCCTGACATGGGGTTGGAATGAATATGGACAGCTTTGTCATGGGGACACAATATCAAGGGACCAACCGTGCCTCGTGCAGTTTTTCTCAGACAAACAGTTAAAGGTGCTGGACGTGGAGTGTAAATTTTGGTCAACTGTTATAACTGCATGTGATGCTGCTTCCGATTAAATACTTCATGTATTAATATAAGTGTTTTCAGTGAGTGTTTAAAAATGTCTCTGTGTTTTCTTTAGAATTGATAATATTGGACAAAGTTTGCATATTTTTTAGATCAAGAATGTGTTTGTTTATGAGAAGATGGAAATAAAGACGATGTCATTCTACCGATGTACGGTACCATCGTTTTTTTTTTTTTTTTTTTTTTGTTTTTTGTTTTTTTTTTTTTTTTTTTTTTTTTTTTTTTTTTTTTTTTTTTTTTTTTTTTTTTTTTTTTTTTTTTTTTTTTTTTTTTTGCGCAATGTACTTGTATTTTATGAATACCTGCATTTCGTAGATTTTCATTATTTTGGATCCAGACTTTCACGTGATATAATAAAGAGTATCATTCTTCATAGTATTTATAGAATATCCACATTTAACATGATACTGGACCTATTATGACTACTTTTGTTTACTCAAATGAAAAATTGGCCAAGATAGAAATACCACCCAGATTGCGTCATTGGCACAATCATTCCCGCAAAATGAAACACGAGCAACTAGTCAAAAGCTTTTGATGTTTGGGCGTGTTTAGTTTACGTGTGTTTCCGTAGAAATACATTGATGACTAACACAGAGACCAGTCCCTGGATTTTTCCAGTTACAATGATGTTTGTACATGGAAGATGAAAATTTAGGAAAAAATCATATAGCCTTTCTAGTCACGTCGTGCTACGACTAGAAATCGCACTATCGGCTGTTTCGCTACCTATGATAAGTGCATTACTTTCAAAGTTTTGTCAGGTACTCGTTTCGTTTGACAATTCCTCGTGTACTTAAAAAATGACATTTTAACGCGATGAATAAGAAATATCAACTGAACTAAAATAAGTCAAGACTATTAAAATATATTTTTATTTAAAACCAACAAAAATACGCATTATTTAAAATGTGATGGCTATATTTAAACCATTGTCTTTTTATACAGGTTTGCTATTGAAGGCGTGGACTGTTCGTGCTGTCCAAGGCACATGGAATCATTTGTGGAATTTGCACAAAACGCAGTGATAAATATCATGTCCCAAAACTACCAATCTGAGTTCATGAACGGTGATGGTTGGAATTTATAACGTAATTTGTACTTTGTAACTATAACGTGAACACGAGCCTACGGTCTTTGATAATAGGTTAAAGAGAAATGCGACACGTGACAACTCTACCCCAATTCCATGTATATTTTTTTCGAGTGTATTTCAAACAAAAAACAAGCTGCACGTACAACTCGAATACGAACGTTAATTAATTATTTGTGGTTTTTTTAGTCGCATTGACAGCAACTCCAGTCTCGGTGAAAATCTATTAAACACGTGTGTACAGAGCAGGCAGTTGTACCTTTTCCACTTGGTCCAGAGTAGTCCAGGCAATAAAACATGGGCCTACTTACATTAGGCAAATTTCTTTGTACATGTATATATGACGCCTTACGTTTGTCCCATCCCCACCCCCATAGGCGGCTGGTTTCGTAGAACAGACAGCTATTATATGTAGCACCACGTTATACAAACAGTTCGAATATTTCACTCTTGCGCTACCTTCGTCCCTTTGGACTCTGGTGGCCATCGGGTGCTGTCATATTTCACCAAACGGTCCATGATTTCCTTAGCCTGGTCTGTTATCTCCTTGCTGATCTTTGGTTTTGGTTTAGGCGGGTCCCTTAGTTCACCGCGAGAATCTGGTGGCCAACGTTTGGCATTGTAATTGCCAAGTCTGTCTAATATAAACTGTAAATCGGAATCTTTCACAGCTTTTGTCTGCACTTTGAGTTGTTCTGGGGACGGGCGCTGGGGCGGCAGGTTGATTTTAGATTCGGGAGGCCATCGTGTTGAATCATAAACGCAGAGTCTTTGCACTATATGATCCACTTCTTCTGCTGTCAGAACTGGTAATTTTCTCATTTCATGCGACGTCGCTAGCGGCGGAATCACTGCTTTTGATTCTGGCGGATATCTGAGCGGATCGAACTGCGTAAGGCGCGTTATTACTTGCATGATTTCTTCATCACTTAAAACTTTTCTGGGAATTTCAGGAAGCCCCGGGCTCTCCGTTTGGTAACCCTTGGACTCGGGTACTTTGGCAGGGTCGTATGTAGACAGACGGTTGGTGATAACCTGGATTTCTTCGCTCGAAACTTTGGTTCCGCGATCAACCGGAGGGGGATCTGCTCTTGGAGGCGTAAAACACAGCCGATCTGCACTTCGCCTTAAAAATGCAGACTGGTCATAGAGTCTCAATCTCATTCCGGAGAAATTACGCGAAGGCAGTCGAAGCTGTTGAATGAGTTGCAAAACATCATCGAGGTCTTTCTGGTTTTTAATGTGTTTTCTTTTCTTGTCATTTTTTACTCCATCTGGAAGAAATCTCTCTGGTACGTTTTTATACAGAGTCACAAAAGCCCCGGTGTCATGGTGAGGTAGAATAGAACGCGGAGATCGCTGGCTGAACTTGCAAGTTCTGAAGCCCAACGGCTGGGAAAGTCCGCCGTTGATTAACACTGCGTGAGGCATCTTGCAAATGTCACTTTCCCACCGTTGAAGAAATTTTGAATACCCCCTCTCGATGAAGATCTTTAAAGCAATAACCGCTGCATATGAATATTTTTAAGCAATAACCAACTGCCTTCCCTTCGAGACGTTTCTCACCCCGAGTATAGCTTTCAGGTTTCAGCTACCGGTGCCATGGTCACCGCGAATGCTATACACTATGCGTTAATCACGGTGATAAATGGGTTTATTGAACCATGAATGTGACTGAGGCCGTCGATTGTCGCTGAATGAAAGTAGAGAACTGTGCTGTAATTCAATCAGCGATGATGCTTTTGTATCGATTCAGTTTCATAAAACCTTCCAAAAACAAGACCTGCTCATTAAATAAACAGGCTGTATACGCTTACGTACATTAGCATTTTGTTTTGTGACAAAGAACAAGTTTCTAAATAACTTTAGGATAAACAGCACCTTTCGACCCGAGGCTGTAAAACAACACAGGCTTATCACGCGCGTGTCAGAGATTAGTTGACAAATGATCGTATTTCATGAAGAAAGTGCACCCAGAAATAAAACTGCGCCTATAAAATCCTTATGAAAAAAAAAGACAATTTTTGACAAAATTTGACGAAATGAGTAGTTTGGACCGAGAACTTTATTATCTTCAACATTGCTTTCAGGCCCCCCAGTGCTTAGATGGAAGAAATTTAACCGAGAATGATATAAACAAATCAAAACAAATTATTATCGTTTCTATTTTTAAAGTAAGTAAAATTGTCCTCACTTTTGGAAATGGAATTCATTAACAACAACATTTTAATGTGTTTGTACAAAAGACATTTATAACCGCATCGGCTCGGCGTTTTACTTTTAAAAATGTTCTTTTAAAACAATTTTAGTATCAAATGTCGCAGCACTTATTCATGAACAGTATGTCTTTGTAATGACGTTGACCACTCCACTCAATTCTTCTCTTTTGGTATTTTATTAAATTTTGTAAGAACAGTCAGGTAAAAACGCATCGAGTTCCATAATAGCTTGGATGAATAAAATGTTTTAAAACGTGTTATTTAATAAAGAAGGTTAAAAGTTAGCACACAGCTAAACGACCCCACGTTTGCCTAATTTTACTATTTAAAAACCTAAAATCTAAAATGTGTGGCAAACAATGGGTTTCAATCGGATTCTAAATCTAATTTAGTTTTTGGAACGAGACTAAAATAACACCTGGAATTGATCCAATGGACTTTTAAATATTTCCTAATATTGTATTTTGTTTACAGCAAAATGATTTCTGGCGACAGTAGTCTGTGGTGAACGAAAGCAAAGTATGATTCAAAGAATATTGATGCACAAAAGCAGTTGGCCCCTAGCCACATAACAGATCATAACAGTGGCGGGTTGGCTGCGTACAGGGTGCCACAAATCCTTCAATTTTTAAAATTTTACATAATTAGCAAGATTATGCGTATAGTCGTAGGTAAACTGTAGATAGGACCCGAATTTATTGCCTTGCAAAAATGCTCTGCATTTTGCAAGGTTTATTTTAATTGTCGTTGGTCGGTAATTCCAGTTCAAATATAAAAATAAAATTATATTGAAGTGCCAGATGCTGTTTGTCTTCTCTTGATTCTCTCTGTTCAAGGATGAAATGGATAACTTTTATTTCACTTTCACCGCGAGTTAGAATAAAGTAGTTGATATACGTACGAATACGAAGCTGTAAGATGTGGTCCTCTTTGGGAATTTACATCAAAATGCAATCAAAATCGATCGATTATTGCTTGCCACTTTGCACTCTGTCTAGTAAGACATCTTTTGAAATAGTTGTCATTATATAGCTCTCACATTTTTATCCCTTTTTTTCAAAATTTGTAAAACAACAGAACTGTAATTCATAAAGTCGGTCTGTTTCAGTTGATTGTCAAAATACTTCATCTTTTGGCTACTGGTCTTGACTTTTGAATGCAAGTGCATTCTTACATAGGCCTATAGTCTTTCAAAAATAAAATCCATTCTCCAAAATGGATTCACTACTTTCTCCATTTTCATAAAAAAACAACAAACATTGGATATATCAAATACTTATTTTACTCTTATTCAAGACAAACATTTCACATCAATTTTAAAATATGTGTATTAAATAAATGAAAATATCAAATTATTTTTGCTAATTGATGGAGATCACCAACCCCCAAAGGATGTGAAGGTCCTGCATGCTTTTTAATATCCCCAACATCATGTAAATGAGACTCAAATGCAATATAAGGTTGGTGAGAATTAGGATCATGTAAAGCTGGATAATACTGCCGATAGCACAAATATCCTAGACTGAACCCAAGCAGGGATCCTACCAGAACATCTGAAAGAATAAAGAAGAAACTGTTGAAGTCGTGATGAGTATGTACACTAAAATATAATTAAACAAAAATACTAAAAAAAATGAATTAGAAATACATGCTAAAATTCACACACACACGCTTGAAAATCAGATCTGGCAAATTTAACCAGCAGACCAGGCAATGGTGTTTGGTTCTACTTTGCAGCAGCTGGATCAGCTGACTCAAGAAAAAAAACTTGCACTAATTATGAACAGTCTTACCAAGACTATGCCTTTGCATAGAAATTTTTTTCAAGATAGGATGCTTTTATCTGAAATTCATCAATTATTAAAATGACCTTAGCCCAAAGCTTGATAACTGCTGTACCTCAGCATGTAAAGGTATATTAAAAGTAAGCTATTTGTGACCTTGGCATCAGGTTTTCCAGATATTTATACCTGTATGAGTAAACAGTAACACAAGGTACAAATTTTATGAAAACTCAGGATTTAAATAATTAAGATGAAATGTTACCTTGCCAATGATGGTGATAATCTGAAGTCCGGGATAGAGCAATAAGACCTGCTGAGAGGAGAGGGCACCAGGAAATGCACATTCTCCAGGCTTGTCCTCTGCCTCGTGCATTAAACACATGGAATTTACCACAGAGGTAAAAACTTACAAGTCCCAAGCTGGAGAATGATACTGCACACATGGAAATAAAATATAAATAATATTATCAAAAACATAAAAATGCTTATATATAATAGATAACAGAAGCTTTTATTCTTAAGATATATACTTAATATATACAAAAAACTATACTAAGTTTTGCAAGACAGGAAATGAAATGATTTTTCATTAAGACTATATATATATATATATATATATATATATATATATATATATATATATATATATATATATATTAGATCACATCATTATGCCCACCCAAAACTTTTTATGCCTTTATAGAGAAGAACATATACTACAAATACAGAATACAATAAAAGTCTTGTTGAAAGCATCTTTATTCACATACATTTTAAGTGTTGTTGACCTCTTTACAATTTACGTTTTCCATTTTAAAATATAATCTTGGTACACCTGTTTGGAAAGGAGTCAATATCTTACATGAAGAATGGCCACTTGGAAAACTTTTCATGCCTTCAATGATGACTTCAGGGTCTCCAGTGCATTTCATTTCTACATTGGAAATGCCATCAGGAAAACAGCGGTAAAAAAAGTCTGGCCTTGGTCTTTAAAGAAAAGAAAGTTGTCTGTGTAAAGCAATGTTTACTGTCATGCACACATTACTGTGAAAAAATTGAATAGTATTAGAAAAATATTCTGACAAACATACTTGATGTTATTCTAATAACTAACAGGAAGACAATTTTTGCACTTACCTCCCTATTATTAGTTTGGCAAAATTTGTGACAAGCCCTACTAGACCAATGCTTAGAGATGCTGCTGCAAAATAAATATAATTCAGTTTGAAACCCAAAATCAAAGGTTCCCTGAAGTTTTGATAAAAAAAAATAATAGAAAAAATTTAACAGCATGCAAATATCCACATGTAATAAGTAAATTTTGATTGACAGATATTATCATTATCTATCACGGACATAAATATTTCAATCCAAAATCATTTTTCAAATAAAAGCTGAAGCTGCTAGGGGGTAATTTATTATCATTTAGCAGCTTCAGTAGGCATGGCAGACATCTAAGCCGCTTAAGCTGAAAGCAATTTAGAAAGAACCCCCTCTGAGATGGATCGTTCCTGTTAGATCAATCTAGGCACGGGAACCCAGTCTTACACTGTCTTCTATTTTAGATTACGAAAATACTTTTTTACCTTGTTTAAAATTAAAAAGGAATGATTCCCTTGAAACAGTAAAAATATGACTGCTCCTCAAAACTTTCCAGACTAAAAACAACTACATTATTTCTGCATGCAACAAGGTTGCCAAGTCTGCACATTGATTCCTTGGCTTTAAATTGTGAAACTATTTTCCATAACCCAAGAAAAATCTGTGCATTTTGTCTACACTCTGACCCATGCTTACTCTTACCATGATGCATGTTTCTCATTGTTAATCCCCTTAATTTTCAGTTGTTATGATGTTGTTGATGACAAGGAAAATTAACGTTTATCAATTTTAAGCACAATTATTAGTTGGCAACCCTATTGTTAGTTGTGCTACAGTTATTACTCACAAATTTGAAGTATTTACTTCATTCAAATATGTTTTCATTCTTAAGTCTTCATAAAACACACTTTCCAGCAACCTTGTACATTGTTTTTAAATTTACACCCATCTTTTTTCAGTAATTATAAACAAAATACCTGTTAATTTAATCTTGTTCAAATTTGTGACTAATAACCTGACTGAGCTTTAAAGATTAAATACCTTACTTACCGAGTGCACCTTGAATAAAATCAACTTTGTCCTTCTTAACAATGTAAAAAGCCAGAAGCACCAGGGTTGGGACTGTACTGATTATGATCTAGTGAGGCAGAGGGCATAAACAGAACAAAAGAGGGGTAGTTATTGCCAGAATGTGAGCAAAGTCAAACATGTTTTAATGTGAATATATTAGCACAGATGTAATGAATGCCAGACTATAAATACTTGTTTAAAAGGGATTTATGTTGGATCAAAGTTTTTAATTTAGTCAAAGTCCATTTTTCATGTTAAGGTTATGCATCATGCTATGACAAAATATGCTTCACGTACACAATACCATTTCACATAGCTGCCCATATATAGACACACAACATGGTAACAAGGAGCATGCTTTGAGAAAAAATAAAATACATAACATGACTCAGATTATAGAAAATAAATTAAATTAATGCAAAAAAATTAAATGATAATAATCTTATAGTTCTACAGGTTCCTTTATATCAAAGGTTAATATTAAGTATGTATGTAAATGAAACAAATGCAGCAGGGAAAAAGACCTTAATTAGAAAAATTACATATTAAATTCAAACAAAATAGATTAATAATATTATCCAAAACAACCATTTGATATTATATTAAAAAATGTGGATTAAATAATACTGAAATGTTTATTGCTTCATGCCATAAAGTATATTTATGTGGATAACTAAAAATGATTAATTTTCAAAAAAACTTTTTTTTTTTGGAATAAATAAAACACTTCAAAATTTTAAATAATGTAGCTTAACACACAAAGTACACACCACAGTTTGTTGTTTGATCATATCACAGACAGTGCTTATATTCCTTTATTGTCTAATTTTGTTCAGGTGGACAGGTACATTATATATACTAGTGTGTTGACTGATCTGCTCTGACAATGGATGGATCTCCTCTAGCGCCCCCCTTCCCCCTTTTGTTGTACCTACACATGAGATGTGAGTTTGTGAGTTCTCTTTCTGACATACCAAATTACATTGTGAAAGGAACCTGCATTTTACCAAGCAGAGGCAAGCAGTTGACTGTTTTGCAGATGTGTCGCAAAGCAATGCAGACGGACACAATTATCAGACTTTATATGGATCCACACAATAAAATAAATATAATAACAATATGCAAATTTCAGCTGCAAATTACACATTTCCAGACTAGCCAAGAACTCACCCACAATGCCGAAGATGAAACAAAGCTCTCAGACACTGGATTCTTATATAGCCAGAGTTCTTCGGGTTGAATCTGTCTGTGGAATGGTTCTGCAGTTTCAGTGATGCTATAAGAAACATGAACAAGATAGCTGAAGCTAAATAAATGGTTCAAGTAGTATAACCTACTCAGTAGCTTTCAACAGCCAATTTAGTAAGGCAGATCGCAACAATAATCAGAAAATATAGACATACACCAGCACTGCCTGCCTCTCTCTCTCTCTCTCTCTCTCTCTCTCTCTCTCTCTCTATATATATATATATATATATATATATATATATATATATATATATATATATATATATATATATATATATATATATTGTACATGAAGTAACCATGTAAACGCCGATTTTATAACTTCGGTTAAAAGCTTATTTATATTTTATGATCAATCCATTTATATTACGAAAGTACAGTGTGGTATAACAATGTTTTTTATTTATTTATTTATGTATTTATTTATTATTATTAATATTTTATTTTTATTTTATTTATTTTTTTTTTTTTTTGAAGCATCAAAATCGATCAAGGACAAGGTGCAGTTGTACCTGAACAGTTTGTCAGAAAGTGATGAGTTCAAAGGAATCAAACTTACATGAATATTCCAAATATCACCAATCGGACACATATTTCTATCCACAGTGCATATTTCTGTAAACCCTTTTCGAGCATCTCGCGTCACTTATTTACCGGTTTCCCAGATGTGTTTTCCGCACGGTTTGTTTTCATTACCAGCACACGTGGGCGGAAGTAGGAGGAAGTTGAAGGTAAAACTACCCTGCAACCGAAAAATCGATGTGGAAAACAAATTATCACAAAAATTGCAAAGTTGAAATATTGTGCTAATTTCCATTTAAAATTTAAAGAACAAAAAGTTACAATGCAATAAGGAGTAATGCCAAATAAAAGTGTAACAAGCATACGAAATTTTGACAGCTGTTAGAAACCACGTGACAAGCGCGCTGTATAAATTAGTGCAAGAGAGGTGCTCACTCCACAGGTGACGGAGGGCGTGGGAGACAGGCTGGGGAAAACAGTTAAATTTTTTGTAGAAAGCAATATACAAAGGGCATGATGGCTGGTTTGTTGGAGACACCAGACCTTTCATACACTGACCATCAAGAATACTTGTGGTGTAAGTTGACAGCAATTAATATGCAAAAAAATACGTTTAACTTTTCCAAACACGACCTACCTTCCAAGAATATCAGTATGTATGTTCACGTTACAGCAAAATGCAGAAAAGTTTTAATTTTTTTCTTTTGTCTACCCTACTTACTTCTTAGCCTACATGAGAGAGCCTTTTCTTTGATGCTTTGATATTGTATTAACGTAAAAAGCACACAGGTACCAGAAACTTGTATATTTCTTTAAGGTATTGTAGTCAATCTTTTGATCAATAAAATTTGACAGATAAATTTTGAAACTGTTTTTGATATTTACCAGGCGCAGAACTAAGCAAAGACAAGCCTCAGGCAATGTGGAACTTTAAAGAAGAAGATGAGGACAGGGACTTTCTGTCACATGTTTTATATCTTAAATCAGTATGGAAATTCAAATAATGAAATATTCACTTATTTCTAAATATTGAGTCTAATTAAAATGATATATTTGAGGCAAGGCCTCAATTCTTAAAGAATTTTCATAGGGTTTTAAGGATAAATGTATAGTTAGTAAGGTGATACATTTGATATTCACTTTATTTATCAGCTACTTTTCATTAGTACCACCAGCGTATACGCTGGCGGTACTCATGGTTTTAGTCCCGACCCGTCTCGTACAGCTCCGCTGGCTCCTGCGGCTCCGCAGTCGGGCGCCGGAAACAAGTCACCGTTACCGCTTCTCCTCCTAGACCGCCAGGACCTGTGTCCCCATCTCTTGGATTTAGGTCACATATAATCTCAACTTGAACACCCTGGTTTTTTTGTCTCTGTCGGTGCATTGGCCTGGGCGTGACACTTGTTGAAACGCACCCTTGTCAAAATTTTTGAAAATTCAAGGCTAAATATCTCCCAATCCAAAGGAATTATGGGAAAAATTACTACAGAAGTCTGACCGAAAGGCATATGTGGAGATTCCAAATATGCCATTGGATTTGACTTTTGACCTTTTTTTCAAGGTCAAACAAGCCAAAATTTTCTAAAAATGGGAATTTTCTGCCAAAAAATATTTGTTTGTGCTATTTTTTGGAAACTACACAGATCTAAGCTCTCCTGTTATAGTGAGAGGTTACAATTGGGGACTCCTTTCATCTTTGGGAGTTATGGGTCAATCGGTGCAATTTCACGGGAGAAGCAGCCATTAGATACCGAAACTGAAAACTTGCTTTTATTCTGGAATGGTAAATGCCAGAGACCTTTTGTTCATCGCATTTTGTAGAACTTGTCAAGTGCAATACTGGGGGTGATGTCCATTTTTTTGTTTTCGATATGGTTTAGGCATTGCGCTATATCAAAAATTACAACATTGCAATATTCAGTGGGGAAAATGTTAAATATTCCAAAATTAGCAGAGATATGCCCATAGTTACTATTGAACTTTAATAGGAAGTCATATACTGGTAATCTATCTGTGGCCTTGAAATTGACCTTTGACCTACTTTTCATGATGAACTGCACTTTGCATATCTCCAAAACTGGCAAAGATAGTTACTGTTGAACTTGAATAGGAAGTCATATACTGGTAATCTTACTGTGATTCTGAAATTGACCTTTGACTTTCACCATGAACTGAACTTTGCAAATTTTGCAGCCCTTATATAGTAGGCCTATCTCTAAAACTGGTAGAGATACGCCCTTAGCTACTGTTGAACTTGAGTAGGAAGTCATATATTGGGAATCTTACTGTGACCTTGAAATTGACCTTTGACCTACTTTTAACCATGAACTGAACTTTAGAAATTTTCTTTCCCTTATATCTCGAAAACTGGCAGAGATACGCCCATAGTTACTACTGAACTTAAATAGGAAGTCATATACTAGCAATGTAACTGTGATCTTGAAATTGACCTTTGACCTACTTTTTATGATGAACTTTATTGTGCATGTTTTCTGGCCTTTATATCTCCAAAACTGGCAAAGAAATACCCATAGTTACTATTAAACTGAACTTTGCATATTTTCTTGCCCCTCTTATATTCAAAACTAGCAGAGATATGCCCAGTGTTGCCCCTAGGTTTTTTTTCTTTTGTCAGCATATATGCAACACTGATAACACATTTCAAGGAAAACCGACAGGCCTATTGTCTAGAAAATCACAGGAGTGATCAATGTTAGGAAAATACAGGTCAATTGGAAAAACCATTTGATTGGACCATTTTTACAGTTGTTCTTTTTGCATTTATGCATATTTTGAGAACTCTTGTTTATTGCATTTTATAGAGCTTGTCAAGCACAAGACTGATAGTGGTGTCCCTTTTTCTTTGGTTTTCCATCCGAATGCGCTTACTTCAGCTGGTGGTACAATATCCAGAGGCGGTATCGCCTCTCTGATCCTCTAGTTTCATTTGTGTTCATTTTTGTTAAAAAATTATATCCTGTTTCCACATGGTAAATAATTATTTCATTAATTTGAAATATTGTAACAAAAGTTACAGAAAAAAGTAATTAAAATAGTAAGATTGGAAGATTAAGGACAGTGAATATCACAAAAATGGCCCCTTTATCTCATTCACTTTTTTTCAGGCAGTGTTAAGTACATCTGCTGAAACAGGAGAAGATAATGTGATTGAAGTGGAGACAACAGATTACAGTGGTTCTGTACTCAAAGTCCCCATTGCCTTCTTGAACAAGGGTCAAAAAAACATGGTATGACCATCTGCTGTCAGGGCTGGATCCAGAGATATTTTCTGACAGTCTTCTAAATTATCTTTGCTGGTCCATCCACCTTTTCTGACCGTCTTGCAACAGAAGAAATTAAATATTCTTTAATGTAAAGTTGAAAATTTGACCGTCTCCTGGAAGACCCAGAAGACGGCCTAAATCCACCCCTTGCTGTAGCAAATTGACTTCCTTGCATTTTTATGGAGATGTGTCGTATTTTTAGGCAGGTAATTAATATGCGTTGTAAATGCTTCAAAATATGAATAGATTTCATGTTCTTACTTTTTTGTGTATAGATGACAATTGTTTACAAATCATAATTAACATTTGATACAATTCAACCTCAATAGTGTCATGTGGACCACAGTTTTGATCAGAACACCCCAGCAACATTCCGCCTAATAGCTGGCACAGGCCCAGTATTTCTAACGGCTCAACACCAGGTGGAGTTCCCACAGGATGAGGAAGAAGAGGATAGTGATGAATATGGTGAACATGACACTCAGTCAGAGGAGGAAGTGACACAAGAGGAGAATGAAGATGTGGGCGGAAAGTTGTCAAAAGCGCGCAAAAGGAAGGCCACTACACCAGCAACTGGAAAGGAGAAGGTTCAGTATTATTCTGGACATAGTTCATCTACGTTTTGTTTTGATAAATGTTTTTAAAGTTAAGTCAGTTTATTCAAGAAAAAATGGTTTTATAGATATCCAATTTGCTCTTTTGTGGTTTTTAAAATGGAAATACTGCAAAAGCAAGGAATTAACTAATAATCTTACAGGTTTTGTAAAAGATGACTTAAAAAGATAATGGAGTCTCTTATTCCAATGAATTCAGCTCTTTTATTTATTTATTTATTTATTTTAATTTATGTGCAGCGTGGAAAAATAGATCCAAAGGCAGAAGAAAAAGACGAAAGTATGGAAGCCAGCACAAATGGAACTGTATGTAGGAAATAAATATTTCAGTATATGTATAGTGTGATGTCTCGGCAGATTACTAAATTTGATACATTTTATCAAAATGTTTTTCTTTTTCCACCATTCATACATGCCTTCAGATTAGAAATGGGTTGTTATGTGGTTCCATAATATCCTATGCAGTATATTGGAGCTCAATGTAGTCTCTCTTTATTTATGTATACAAAGTTTCTTTTCACTATATCAGGAGAGCGATGAAGAAGACGAAGAATTGGAAGAGGAAGAAGAAAGCGAGGAGGAGGAAGAAGAGGAAGAGAGTCCAGAAAAGAGGTATGTTTTAACAAATTTTAGAATTGAATTAAAGATGCATAGAAAGAGAGTAGGCATTTCAAATTATTGACACTTACCTGACAAATTCCACCATATAGTTTCAAATAGTGTAACTTAAAGAAATGCCACAGGGTTTCCTTTCATTATTCCTGAAAATTGTTACTTAAACAGATTTTTACTTCCTTAGCTATATATAACTCGGTCGTTTTTGCCAACTTTCATTTGCCTCGTACATTACTACGTCATTTGGGGGATTTTTACCAACTGGAGGGATGGAACAGTAGGCCAAGTTTATGACCAGGGCTCCATATCTCGAAAGGTTCGCTATGTTGTGCACGTGAGCAAGTGTCTCGATTCCATGGCCCCGTATCTCGAAATAGAATCAGTTATGGAATCGAGACACTAACGCACGTGCGCAACATAGCGAACCTTTTGAGATACGGAGCCCAGACATTTAAAGAAGATGCAGTTTTAAAGCTTTCTTCTGGCTGACTGAGTGATTAATTTGGTTTATCCTTTGGCTTGTGGATGAGTTGTGTGAGAAACTGGTAGTAGTTATGTATTACAGGGAATCTGTTGTCTCTTTGTATGTACATGTATGTACATTCCATATACAATAATTATATCTTGAAGATTTGCAATAATTATATCTTAAAGATGTAATAAGAGCTTTTTGATAATCACACCGCTCAAAATTCACATGCTGTGGAAAGATATTCCTTCCTGTAGAAAATGTGACTTTATCTAAAATGGGAACATTTTTGGACCACCCCATGTAATGACCCAATGTGTCATATCTCATGATGAAATGATTTTTGTGCTGGAGCAACCCTGAATGTCTTTACCTCATGAATTAAATAATCATTTACTCTCAATATAATTGCTACTAGTACTGCGTCATTGTATGATAACTGTTATGTGATCTTTATTTTTGTTTTATTTTTTAGCAAAAAATCAAAGAAGAAGAAGGTAGGAATAATAATAAAGATTATTATACAAGTTTTTATTGTTTTAAAAATTAATGAAGAAGTTATTGTTTCTCACTGAGAAAAATTGAAGGAATTTATAAAACTTTGCTTAAATTTCAAAAGAGACGGAGACTTTTCATGTTGAACTGTTTTTGTTTTTCTTATCAGGTAGTTATTAACTTTATACATATGAACTGAAACATTTTTTGTGAATGATTGATTTGCAAAAATGTTTTTTTCATAGGGAGCAGCCAATGGTAAAACTACATCTAAGAAAGCTGCACCAGCTAAGGCAAAGGTAATAACAAATTTCTGTTATACATAATGTGATGCCCATGAAAGGTTCTCACTTTTGAATAATTTCATCTTAAGATTTGGTCCAGACCCATCCAACATTATACCCCATGAATTTTATTTCGCAGTGAATTGAGTATGTTACGTTTGAATTTTGTTATTTTGAATATTGTTTTGCTCTTTATCATGGTGAACAGTTAATATCAAATACACCAATTTTTGTTTTTATATAGTTTCATTGGACAATAACTTAATTTCTTTGAATTCCAGCCTACATCTGCCAAGAAAGCAAGCAAAGGAAAGAAAGTAAAATGAAGTAAAAGAGAGCAGACAGTTGAATTGACCCATGGACTTTTATCTTTGTTCAAAATCTCATTTGTCAGAAGTTGCTGACTAAGTATAATCAGTTTTGCAGTTCGATGGTGCTATGAAATAATGTCTCCAAAATCACCAAATCTGATTCGTTTTTTCCGTTTTGTTTAGGCAGTAATTTTCTCAACTTTGTGGGGTTTTGCATTATAATATAACAGTTAAAAATGTTTATCAGTTATTTTTTCTTTAAAAAAAAAGAAACGCGTTGGTTTATTTGAAAGTTCTTTTTAAAAATAAGTAATCGTGAACATAATTTCGATGAGTCTTGGATATCTCCTGGTATGAATATGATTTTTTGTTCAGTTTGATAGTGAAACTGATCTGTTAGATTGGCAATAATTTATCCAAGTACAAGGCACAGTTATTGAATTATGGCAGCTAAAGTTTAATCAAAGTTCAACCGAAATTGTGCGCTATACAGAATTAACCAATAAAATACTTTGAATAAAAGACCGTTTGTACCTTTGAATTGTTTCCCCTGCTCCTGCTGATATACTCTAAAATAAAGTCTGAAGAGAACAATCGAAATTTTGTAAATTTGGACGGCCATGCTTTGTCCCGAGTGTCAAAAGCAGGTGGTGATATTAAACTTAAAACGCTTACTTATGAGTTTGCAGATAGTAGAGGGGTGTCTGAAATTCTAGGTGTCTCGTGCGTGCATGCTCTCTTTTGTGACCCGTTGTCTGTCAACCCTGAAAAGTGTGGCACATCATTCCTCGGTTTGGACGTGTGAGAAGAGATTGAAGACTGTATTGCAAGATCTATACGCAAGTTATAGTGCGAATTATCATTTTTGCTTATTTGATACACTACTGAAGGCCTATGGACCCTTGCGCTCCGTTTTCCGTGTGGCATTCGTTTTGCCTAACCAATCACGATCCCGCCATTTAAATCTGAAAATGAAATGTGATTAAAGGGATGACAATTCTTCGTATAGGATCCATATTTCACAATAATATATTGTCAATAACTCGTAGAAATATAATAAATTCTATTTAACCACCAAAACGGCGGTTGTTCTGGAATCTGTGCTTGCCATCAGACCACGTGACCTCCATAGATGGCTATAGGCCTACCTCCGTTATAATCTCTTAAGAGATTATTACAAAAAAACTTTTTAGAAAAAAACAAGGACTAACTGTCGGAACGAATTCATTAACGATTGGTGTGGGAAATCTTCGTTTTGGCCAAAATGAAATAAAGACTTCAATGACTTGCATTTCTCTCATCTTACTCTTAAATTCAGTCCAGTTAAAACGGTTACTTTTAAATTACTTAAGATGTAATTAGTGGCCACGCAGACAATTTGAAGGCATGCTTGAACACAAATTACTTACCATTTGCCTTCATTTTCCATACAAGTTGTTCATGTATATCATAAACTGCCATTTGTCCCTCTTTGTCGATTTCCATCCAAGCTGCGCTTCGATTAGGGCTGCCGTGATGAGTCGACCATTTTTGGATCCATTTACCATTGAACAAGATTGATATTGCAATATTGGCGTCGGGTTTCAACGTCAACTGGACTTGTATTTGTTCGACATTAGGCATGTTACTGGCCGTTCCAGAGGCCCAAATGATCTGAAATTTAATTTGCGTTCGATACAGTTTGTGGATTGCTGATGATACATGTACACGCTCTCCCATCAAATTACACTGAAAGGCCCATGAAAATCTTTTTCTACTTACATCGATTCCATGAACCTTTTGCATGGTGTCGAATTCTGACCCCCCTTTTTTCATAATTGCAAACTATTTTATTAATTGGACGTACCGGTAGAGATTTGTCTATACTTTACTGAAAGCAACCTGTCAGGCATTCCTGAAGCCTTAAGTTGCTAAAATGAAGGGATTGATGTAGGTGTATATGTGGGTGCATTTATTTAAGTACCTTATTTTCAGCGCTCATATCGTAAAGCACTAGGTTTTCGTCAGACTGCATAACAAGTTTATATGGTCCGTTACAGAGATACTCATCGTTGGTGAGAATATCGCCAACTTCCAGCTCTGATCGGCCCATGTAACAATACGGGAATGGAGGATCCACTGCCGTTACTACATGGAACGGAACGAATTTGAAAGAAATTTCATTAAATCAGTTTTGTCATCTTTCTCATAAAGACGATAATAAGTTCTACATGTACAGTAGTTACAATATGTATATAACCAATATGGTAGTTTATCCTTTGTACCGTATGTGCACTAAGCCTATTTGTTACCAGCACTTGTATACCGCTTTTTAGATACTTACTTACTTAATGGATTGGTCAAATATAAATATGAGGCAATATTTATAAAGTCTGAAACCGAAACCGACCTGTTCCAACCAAGACTGCAAATGTGAAGAAATATGAGAGCCTCATACTTGCTGTGACAGCGACGCACACAGAGTAATAAATGTGAGGATGGCCTACTGGTTTTAAAGCCATATGGGCGACTTTTTTGTATAAAATAAAGCAAGTCTTGTGATGAATTAGCATGATGTGATTTCATACTATGTTGAATTCAGTTTATTTCCTTACTTGTGAAAAGAATCGGTATTGTAGATTGCTCCGAGAGGCGGAAATCTTCTTGAACGATTTTATGAAATCAGTGTAAAAAAAGAGCTTAGACGGTGTTTAGATGAATGATGTAAAATTGGTATTTGACGCTGTTGGAGAAAAAGTGCTGAAAGCGCAATACAATCCCTTTTTACGTCAGGCCCGTAGCCAGCAATTTCAAAAGGGGGGTTCTTTTTCTGAAAAAGTGGACCTTTTCCCATAAAAACTTCATGTGCCTCGATCAAATTTTACCCAGAGTGGAACTTTTCCCAGCAAAAGGGGCGGTTCTTTCGAACCCCCCGAACCCCCCCTGGCTACGGGCCTGTACGTTGTACTTTGCGCCAACAATTCACTTCCCATACCTTTAAAATGTGAAACTCTGATCTTATCTTTATGTGAGTTAGGCCTAGAGTATACTCATCCAAATTACAGCTGTTAATTTCTCATTCCAACGGATGACTTCTTATGTATCTAAGGCTCTGTTCTCACAACTTTTAGATCGATCTATCACCGCGGGGAGTCTCACTAGATTACTGTCAGATAATCCCCCTTAAGTGTCCGTCCCCGCCTACTACAAGCTTTAAGGGGTAATTAACTTTCGTGTCCGCCCGGCTGACAGCTATTTAGCGTGAACCCCCAGGGAGTTAGGTCGATCCAATGTAGGTCGATCTAATCTATGAGAATGGGGTGTAAAGTGCTGGGCGTGACATATTTTAATATGCCAGAGTGTATATTTCAATTAAGCTTTCTGATGTTACTTCACACGTGCAACTGTACAATGTTTCATAATCTCTATGTTCTATCTTATGGTTATGGATATACAATCAACACTTGTCGAAGCAAGATGTATATATGTATTATTGCAGTTTATAAACCTCCTTGGTTGCAGAAAAGGTGAAAACCATATGTCATCCAGTACGAAACGATACAGGAATATAAAGAATGTGTGGAACTATAAATGTAAGGTTTTGTGGAGGTAATGGGGGTTCTATCAATCAGCCTTGGAGGCCGACTCACTTAAAAGCGATGCCGACTAATTCCCTGATGGTCTTCACACGCATCGTCCCTGCAGGGGCTTAGCAATAGCCGAGATTTAATCCGTTTAATGGCGCATGAGGAGGGGGGGGGTAGACCATCAGGGGATTGAGCGGCTTCCTTTAAAGTAGGGTCGGCCATATTTAGTTGGTCCGTGGATCAGCTGTCCTGAATGCGCTCTTTGCTTAACAACCAAGTTAAAAAAAGCACAATACGTAGTTAATGGCTCGGGGATAATTAGCCTTATGCATACGGCAAAACATGATCTGCATGGCTACCCCTCTTACGACCCATCAGTACCGACGTGTCGCTCACTATATACATCAGGCCTACCCAACTACCAGACTCGGCACCGAATGATCCTGAATTCACCGGTAGATCAGACCACACTACCCGTTTTCAAGGTGTGTGTCAGATCGCATTACACAGTATCAGACGCGACACCGCTCTTGCCTAGTACGCAATGTGATAGTGACGATTCTCAGCGGGGTTGAAAAGCATTGCATCACCACTCAAAATTTGTTCAGGGTACGATACTGTGTAATGCGATCTGACACACACCTTGAAAACGGGTAGTGTGGTCTGATCTACCGGTGAATTCAGGATCATTCNCAGACCACACTACCCGTTTTCAAGGTGTGTGTCAGATCGCATTACACAGTATCAGACGCGACACCGCTCTTGCCTAGTACGCAATGTGATAGTGACGATTCTCAGCGGGGTTGAAAAGCATTGCATCACCACTCAAAATTTGTTCAGGGTACGATACTGTGTAATGCGATCTGACACACACCTTGAAAACGGGTAGTGTGGTCTGATCTACCGGTGAATTCAGCATCATTCGGTGCCGAGTCTGGTAGTTGGGTAGGCCTGTACATGCACTACGTTATTTCGGGATATGTAGGGAGTCTGTAAATTGTGCAGATCACAACAAAAAACGTAACAACATTTTTACTACCATGTCAAGTACGTTTTATAACGAGTGCCTTTGTAATTTGGAGTCGGAAATTACTAACGCCGGGCTATCCATATGGACTATCAGATCAGTGGGGGGAGTTTTGCAATAGAATTAATCGGCATAAAGAAAGAAAAAAAAACGTTTACCGAACTTCAGATTTAGATAACTAAAAAATTGACCATAGTTAAATGAAATTTCGCAAAAGATGACTAACTGAAAAACTTTAAATCAGTTAATCCATTCGTTACCTTTATGAAAAATAACTTAAATTATTTGTACTTACCATAACATATTCACTGCAGTATCGTGTTGGAGTTTATTTAGATATAACTTTTGTGAAAAAATGCCATAAGCATAATTCTGTCATGAAAATTGTTGCAACTTTTTCTGTATTTGCATGTAGATGAAATCAAAGCCGACTAGACATTACCTGTCTCAAATCTGGATTAATACTGAGTTAAAACATTGCTAGAATCTTGAAAAGCGAAATCTATCATCTCGGAAAGTGAGAATTTATGCCAGTATCTGATATATTGTCAAGCCCTTCCGCTTGTTCAGTGAATATTAGACATGATGATGATCAAACCATTCACCTTGCACTTCTCTTATTATTCATTCACATTCCACGGGCACATTGCTCATTTGCGCAATAGTACAAAGGTTTTAGATGGAGCGAGAGCGATAAAATGATCCAATTAATATTACGTAACTATGCAGAATTCCAATTTGCACGTATTAACCAAGAACTAGAACTTATCAAATGGTTGAACAATTTATAAAGGGGTTTCACATCTTCCGTAATTAGTGAAATCACCCGTATGGTAGTTTATGCCATGGCAAGTGCAATTATCTTTTTTTGTGTACATAATTTATTATTGAGTTGCTCGTGGGAGCTCTACTATATTGCTGACGTCAGATATATACAGAGGGACGAGTTTGCAAAATATCCCAGTGAGGAGAGAGCACTCAACTTCACAGATATGACGCAGTGTCTACGCAGTTGTCTACGGAAATTCCTTTGCATGATGTATTTAAGTGCTGTTGTTAGTCTTTTGCTTTTACTTTATATGGTATGTATGATACCGACTAAAATCAAAAGGAACGATAAAATAGACACTGTAAATCAGTTATCGTCGCTAAATGGAGAGGCGCTGAATGCAAAGTTTTTAAACGAAAAACTAAAGGATATAGGGTTTATTGACGGAAAATCCATTTCAGAATTTCAGTTGAAAAATGCCACTCTTCATTCAAGGCGTAGCATTCTAGAATGGATTGCAAAGCAAACAAAAATAGAACTCAGTAAACTCGAAAACTTCAGACGGGATGTTGGGCCTGTGATATCGTACGATAGAGACCTTTCTCTGCGCTCAAATTCTGTGACATGTTACATAGAGGACACATTATCTTACTGTGGCCATGATGGTCCTGCAATGATATCCGCAGTGCTTTACGCCGTAGAACTACTGACATCATGTCTTTTATTGGGAGGTGAACCCATAGTGAAATGGTACCACTGCAATTTCTGTGGAAGCGAATCCAAACAACAGGTGAATCATTTTAATTGGTTCTTCGAGCCTCTAGAAGATGGGGACAAGAATAAGCCAGAACATAAAATCTGCATAGTGTCTCATGAGCCTGTAGTAAAATCATATGGAATAGATATTTTGNTAATTCCACCATATAGTTTCAAATAGTGTAACTTAAAGAAATGCCACAGGGTTTCCTTTCATTATTCCTGAAAATTGTTACTTAAACAGATTTTTACTTCCTTAGCTATATATAACTCGGTCGTTTTTGCCAACTTTCATTTGCCTCGTACATTACTACGTCATTTGGGGGATTTTTACCAACTGGAGGGATGGAACAGTAGGCCAAGTTTATGACCAGGGCTCCATATCTCGAAAGGTTCGCTATGTTGCGCACATGAGCAAGTGTCTCGATTCCATGGCCCCGTATCTCGAAATAGAATCAGTTATGGAATCGAGACACTAACGCACGTGCGCAACATAGAGAACCTTTTGAGATACGGAGCCCAGACATTTAAAGAAGATGCAGTTTTAAAGCTTTCTTCTGGCTGACTGAGTGATTAATTTGGTTTATCCTTTGGCTTGTGGATGAGTTGTGTGAGAAACTGGTAGTAGTTATGTATTACAGGGAATCTGTTGTCTCTTTGTATGAATCTTTACATTCCATATACAATAATTATATCTTTAAGATGTAATAAGAGCTTTTTGATAATCACACCGCTCAAAATTCACATGCTGTGGAAAGATATTCCTTCCTGTAGAAAATGTGACTTTATCTAAAATGGGAACATTTTTGGACCACCCCATGTAATGAACCAATGTGTCATTTCTCATGATTAAGTGATTTTTGTGCTGGAGCAACCCTGAATGTCTTTACCTCATGAATTTGATAATCATTTACTCTCAATATAATTGCTACTGCGTCATTGTATGATAACTGTTATGTGATCTTTATTTTTGTTTTATTTTTTAGCAAAAAATCAAAGAAGAAGAAGGTAGGAATAATAATAAAGATTATTATACAAGTTTTTTTTGTTTTAAAAAATTAATGAAGAAGTTATTGTTTCTCACTGAGAAAAATTGAAGGAATTTATAAAACTTTGCTTAAATTTCAAAAGAGACGGAGACTTTTCATGTTGAACTGTTTTTGTTTTTCTTATCAGGTAGTTATTAACTTTATACATATGAACTGAAACATTTTTTGTGAATGATTGATTTGCAAAAATGTTTTTTTCATAGGGAGCAGCCAATGGTAAAACTACATCTAAGAAAGCTGCACCAGCTAAGGCAAAGGTAATAACAAATTTCTGTTATACATGATGTGATGCCCATGAAAGGTTCTCACTTTTGAATAATTTCATCTTAAGATTTGGTCCAGACCCATCCAACATTATACCCCATGAATTTTATTTCGCAGTGAATTGAGTATGTTACGTTTGAATTTCGTTATTTTGAATATTGTTTTGCTCTTTATCATGGTGAACAGTTAATATCAAATACACCGATTTTTGTTTTTATATAGTTTCATTGGACAATAACTTAATTTCTTTGAATTCCAGCCTACATCTGCCAAGAAAGCAAGCAAAGGAAAGAAAGTAAAATGAAGTAAAAGAGAGCAGACAGTTGAATTGACCCATGGACTTTTATCTTTGTTCAAAATCTCATTTGTCAGAAGTTGCTGACTAAGTATAATCAGTTTTGCAGTTCGATGGTGCTATGAAATAATGTCTCCAAAATCACCAAATCTGATTCGTTTTTTCTGTTTTGTTTTGGCAGTAATTTTCTTAACTTTGTGGGGTTTTGCATTATAATATAACAGTTAAAAATGTTTATCAGTTATTTTTTCTTAAAAAAAAAAGAAGCGCGTTGGTTTATTTGAAAGTTGGTTCTTTTTAAAAATAAGTAATCATGAACATAATTTCGATGAGTCTTGGATATCTCCTGGTATATGATTTTTTGTTCAGTTTGATAGTGAAACTGATCTGTTAGATTGGCAATAATTTATCCAAGTACAAGGCACAGTTATTAAATTATGGCAGCTAAAGTTTAATCAAAGTTCAACCGAAATTGTGCGCTATACAGAATTAACCAATAAAATACTTTGAACAAAAGACCGTTTGTACCTTTGAATTGTTTCCCCTGCTCCTGCTGATATACTCTAAAATATTTAAAAGTCTGAAGAGAACAATCGAAATTTTGTAAATTTGGACGGCCATGCTTCGTCCTGAGTGTCAAAAGCAGGTGGTGATATTAAACTTAAAACGCTTACTTATGAGTTTGCAGATAGTAGAGGGGTGTCTGAAATTCTAGGTGTCTCGTGCATGCATGCTCTCTTTTGTGACCCGTTGTCTTTCAACCCTGAAAAGTGTGGCACATCATTCCTCGGTTTGGACGTGTGAGAAGAGATTGAAGACTGTATTGCAAGATCTATACGCAAGTTATCGTGCGAATTATCATTTTTGCTTATTTGATACACTACTGAAGGCCTATGGACCCTTGCCCTCCGTTTTCCGCGTGGCATTCGTTTTGCCTAACCAATCACGATCCCGCCATTTAAATCTGAAAATGAAATGTGATTAAAGGGATGACAATTCTTCGTATAGGATCCATATTTCACAATAAATATATTGTCAATAACTCGTAGAAATATAATAAATTCTATTTAACCACCACAACGGCGGTTGTTCTGGAATCTGTGCTTGCCGTCAGACCACGTGACCTCCATAGATGGCTATAGGCCTACCTCCGTTATAATCTCTTAAGAGATTATTACAAAAAAACTTTTTAGAAAAAAACAAGGACTAACTGTATGTCGGAACGAATTCATTAACGATTGTTGTGGGAAATCTTCGTTTTGGCCAAAATGAAATAAAGACTTCAATGACTTGCATTTCTCTCATCTTACTCTTAAATTCAGTCCAGTTAAAACGGTTACTTTTAAATTACTTAAGATGTAATTAGTGGCCACGCAGACAATTTGAAGGCATGCTTGAACACAAATTACTTACCATTTCCCTTCATTTTCCATACAAGTTGTTCATGTATATCATAAACTGCCATTTGTCCCTCTTTGTCGATTTCCATCCAAGCTGCGCTACGATTAGGGCTGCCGTGATGAGTCGACCATTTTTGGATCCATTTACCATTGAACAAGATTGATATTGCAATATTGGCGTCGGGTTTCAACGTCAACTGGACTTGTATTTGTTCGACATTAGGCATATTACTGGCCGTTCCAGAGGCCCAAATGATCTGAAATTTAATTTGCGTTCGATACAGTTTGTGGATTGCTGATGATACATGTACACGCTCTCCCATCAAATTACACTGAAAGGCCCATGAAAATCTTTTTCTACTTACATCGATTCCATGAATCTTTTGCATGGTATCGAATTCTGACCCCCCCTTTTTTCATAATTGCAAACTATTTTATTAATTGGACGTACCGGTAGAGATTAGGCTCTACTTTACTGAAAGCAACCTGTCAGGCATTCCTGAAGCCTTAAGTTGCTAAAATGAAGGGATTGATGTAGGTATATATGTAGGTGCATTTATTTAAGTACCTTATTTTCAGCGCTCATATCGTAAAGCACTAGGTTTTCGTCAGACTGCATAACAAGTTTATATGGTCCGTTACAGAGATACTCATCGTTGGTGAGAATATCGCCAACTTCCAGCTCTGATCGGCCCATGTAACAATACGGGAATGGAGGATCCACTGCCGTTACTAGATGGCACGGAACGAATTTGAAAGAAATTTCATTAAATCAGTTTTGTCATCTTTCTCATAAAGACGATAATAAGTTCTACATGTACAGTAGTTACAATATGTATATAACCAATATGGTAGTTTATCCTTTGTACCGTATGTGCACTAAGCCTATTTGTTACCAGCACTTGTATACCGCTTTTTAGATACTTACAGGTACTTAATGGATTGGTCAAATATAAATATGAGGCAATATTTATAAAGTCTGAAACCGAAACCGACCTGTTCCAACCAAGACTGCAAATGTGAAGAAATATGAGAGCCTCATACTTGCTGTGACAGCGACGCACACAGAGTAATAAATGTGAGGATGGCCTACTGGTTTTAAAGCCATATGGGCGACTTTTTTGTATAAAATAAAGCAAGTCTTGTGATGAATTAGCATGATGTGATTTCATACTATGTTGAATTCAGTTTATTTCCTTACTTGTGAAAAGAATCGGTATTGTAGATTGCTCCGAGAGGTGGAAATCATCTTGAACGATTTTATGAAATCAGTGTAAGAAAAGAGCTTAGATGGTGTTTGGATGAATGATGTAAAATTGGTATTTGACGCTGTTGGAGAAAAAGTGCTGAAAGCGCAATACAATCCCTTTTTACGTTGTACTTTGCGCCAACAATTCACTTCCCATACCTTTAAAATGTGAAACTCTGATCTTATCTTTATGTGAGTTAGGCCTAGAGTATACTCATCCAAATTACAGCTGTTAATTTCTCATTCCAACGGATGACTTCTTATGTATCTAAAGTGCTGGGCGTGACATATTTTAATATGCCAGAGTGTATATTTCAATTAAGCTTCTGATGTTACTTCACACGTGCAACTGTACAATATTTCATATGGTTTTTTCTTATGGTTATGGATAATACAATCAACACTTGTCGAAGCAAGATGTATATATGTATTATTGCGGTTTATAAACCTCCTTGGTTGGAGAAAAGGTGAAAACCATATGTCATCCAGTACGAAACGATACAGGAATATAAAGAATGTGTGGAACTATAAATGTAAGGTTTTGTGGAGGTAATGGGGGTTCTATCAATCAGCCTTGGAGGCCGACTCACTTAAAAGCGATGCCGACTAATTCCCTGATGGTCTCCCCGCCTCCACACGCGTCGTCCCTGCAGGGGCTTAGCAATAGCCGAGATTTAATCCGTTTAATGGCGCGTGAGGAGGGGGGGGGGGAGGGGTAGACCATCAGGGGATTGAGCGGCTTCCTTTAAAGTAGGGTCGGCCATATTTAGTTGGTCCTTGGATCAGCTGTTCTGAATGCGCTCTTTGCTTAACAACCAAGTTCAAAAAAGCACAATACGTAGTTAATGGCTCGGGGATAATTAGCCTTGTGCATACGGCAGAACACGATCTGCATGGCTACCCCTCTTACGACCCATCAGCACTGACGTGTCGCTCAGTATATACATGCACTACGTTATTTCGGGATATGTAGGGAGTCTGTAAATTGTGCAGATCACAACAAAAAACGTAACAACATTTTTACTACCATGTCAAGTACGTTTTATAATGAGTGCCTTTGTAATTTGGGGTCGGAAATTGCTAACGCCGGGCTATTCATATGGACTATCAGATCAGTGGGGAGAGTTTTGCAATAGAATTAATCGGCATAAAGAAAGAAAAAAAAACATGTTTACCGAACTTCAGATTTAGATAACTAAAAAATTGACCATAGTTAAATGAAATTTCGCAAAAGATGACTAACCGAAAAACTTTAAATCAGTTAGTCCATTCGTTACCTTTATGAAAAATAACTTAAATTATTTGTACTTACCATAACATATTCACTGCAGTATCGTGTTGGAGTTTATTTAGATATAACTTTTGTGAAAAAATGCCATAAGCATAATTCTGTCATGAAAATTGTTGCAACTTTTTCTGTATTTGCATGTAGATGAAATCAAAGCCGACTAGACAGTTTGGTTATTGTGACCGGTTTATCATTACCTGTCTCAAATCTGGATTAATACTGAGTTAAAACATTGCTAGAATCTTGAAACGCGAAATCTATCATCTCGGAAAGTGAGAATTTATGCCAGTATCTGATATATTGTCAAGGCCTTCCGCTTGTTCAGTGAATATTACAACCCATTTCCATAGATTAGATCGACCTACTTTAGATCGACCTAACTCCCTGGGGGTTCACGCTAAATAGCTGTCAGCCGGGCGGACACGAAAGTTAATTACCTCCTTACAGCTTGTAGTAGGCGGAACGGACATTTAAGTCGGATTATCTGACAGTAATCTAGTGAGACTCCCCGCGGGGATAGATCGATCTAAAATCTATGGGAATAGGGCCTTAGACATGATGATGATCAAACCATTCACCTTGCACTTCTCTTATTATTCATTCACATTCCACGGGCACATTGCTCATTTGCGCAATAGTACAAAGGTTTTAGATGGAGCGAGAGCGATAAAATGATCCAATTAATATTACGTAACTATGCAGAATTCCAATTTTCACGTGTAAACCAAGAACTAGAACTTATCAAATGGTTGAACAATTTATAAAGGGGTTTCACATCTTCCGCAATTAGTGAAATCACCCGTATGGTAGTTTATGCCAGGGCAAGTGCATCTTTTTTGTGTACAAAATTTATTATTGAGTTGCTCGTGGGAGTTCTACTATATTGCTGACGTCAGATATATACACAGGGAGGAGTTTGCAAAATATCCCAGTGAGGAGAGAGCACTCAACTTCACAGATATGACGCAGTGTCAACGCAGTTGTCTACGGAAATTCCTTTGCATGATGTATTTAAGTGCTATTGTTGGTCTTTTGTTTTTACTTTATATGGTATGTATGATACCGACTAAAACCAAAAGGAACGATAAAATAGAGACTGTAAATCAGTTATCGTCGCTAAATGGAGAGGCGCTGAATGCAAAGTTTTTAAACGAAAAACTAAAGGATTTAGGGTTTATTGACGGAAAATCCATTTCAGAATTTCAGTTGAAAAATGCCACTCTTCATTCAAGGCGTACCATTCTAGAATGGATTGCAAAGCAAACAAAAATAGAACTCAGTCAACTCGAAAACTTCAGACGGGATGTTGGGCCTGTGATATCGTACGATAGAGACCTTTCTCTGCGCTCAAATTCTGTGACATGTTACATAGAGGACACATTATCTTACTGTGGCCATGATGGACCTGCGATGATATCCGCAGTGCTTTACGCCGTAGAACTACTGACATCATGTCTTTTATTGGGAGGTGAACCCATAGTGAAATGGTACCACTGCAATTTCTGTGGAAGCGAATCCAAACAACAGGTGAATCATTTTAATTGGTTCTTCGAGCCTCTAGAAGATGGGGACAAGAATAAGCCAGAACATAAAATCTGCATAGTGTCTCATGAGCCTGTAGTAAAATCATATGGAATAGATAATTTGGCGAATCTAAGTTTTAAGAAAAAAACTAGAGAAGGGTCTATGCCAGAAGTTAGTTTCGATGGAGAGATAACGCATAACACTAGACTGCTGGCTCATTATGTGCTAAAAGAGTACTTCAGGCCGGCATTTGTAGTTAAACAATCTGTTGAGGCGGCGTACAACAAAGCAATGAGGGGATATTTCAATATTGGAGTACATGTTAGAGCAACTGATCATTGGGATGAGGTAGGAAAACTCATTTCATTAGATCAATGGATAGCCGAGACCAAAAAAGTCATAAAAGTAGTGGTGAATCCTGACAACGTTCTCCCACAAGAATTACGCAATAAAATTAAATACAAAGAAAATAATTCCAAGTCTATCCGGATATTTGTGGCATCAGACAATGAGGAGGCTGTCAAAAGGTTTAAAGAAGAATTTGGAAATAAAGTTCATTGGAACAAAGCCGTTCGAGAGACAAATTTTTATTCAGATGCTGTGCACAATCCTTACGAAAGCCCGCAGTTTGCCCGAGCGAATGGCAGGGCTGTTCTTAGAGATGTGCTAACGTTAGCAAAATGTGACTTGTTTTTACACGGAGAGTCTAGTATAGCAGCAATGGCCCACTACCTAAACCTTGACTTAATAAGTTATTATGTGATGGAAGGAAAACCGGGTTCGTGGCTTGCCAACTCACCGTATCCCAAAACACAAGGAGAACTTGCAGCTGTGGCAAAAAAGATACTGGACAGTGCTAGAGGACGAATGATGAACCCAGATACGGAACACAAAGAAATGATCGCAAAAGTGCCACAGCAACAGGAAGATATGGCGGAGGAGCTAGATCTAATTGATTACGTCGTGTGCTTAGCGAAAAATCGTTATAAGTCCCAGTGCCTTAGTGCCCAGGATTTTACATTTTCCTCCGCTAACGAAATCAGAGCTATTATAGAAGCCAAACCTTTGAATCGGGAACCTGAATTGTGATCGCCCTTTACAATTAAAACAACAGCATCTGAGCCCCCTAAACGCATTCATTAGGCCAAAAAAGTAATTTTTCGTCATGAAAAATTTTGAAAATGGTGCGGTGGTGCGTTTTTTCCCCTATTTTTTCCTAATATATTTTCAGTTTAGATATCAGATATCATGCCTTATAGATAATATGCAAAATGGTTAACTATAAAACCTGTTTCTCAGTAAGAAAAACATTAAAATAAACATGTACAGTTATTTCAGCATGTCTCTTAGCCCGCACACCCAGGGACAATCACATAGCACCGGTTTTAAAACCGGTTTTTATGCATACAATATTTTATCAATAACCCAAGCAACTAGTACTATTTTTAGCATTTTAGCACAATTTTTAGATATAAACCCTTATTCTGAAATGTAACATCAAAGTATGTTTTCCACTTAATTGTAATATTACAGTATAATTTCTGATTGGAATTATGTAGCAATATTTCCCTTCCGTTCTCTTTACCACAGTGTGCTACCAGTATTTTAGCATTTACGCACCGTTCCGCTTTCCTATTCCAGGTGAAGTGGAGGAAAGAGAATTATTTCCATGATGTTGTGACAGGGTACCCCCTACGTCTGCCCCCCCCCCCCACAACACACACACACACACACACACACACACACACACTTACTATAATTACGTAAACACCATACTCTAAATCGTAACATCATTTGATCAATTATTACTGATACCATGTAAACCAGATAAAAAAACATCGCTCTAAAAGTTAATGGGCCTAATGAATGGCTCCTCAGTGTTCTTGAACATCTTAGAGACTCCTGACAATTTGAGAAAGAACTGAAAATTTTAATTTTAAACAATGCGCAGCAAATTTGCTGGTGTTAAACTATCTTAAATTTTGTAGGCCTACTATGTAACTATACTCTCAATATTTTAGTTGTTTATTTTCCTCATATCAATAATGTTTCCATTTCTTGAATTATAACATTTACCTTGTAAAATCTACTGAGCATTTTAAACGGATTTTATACTTTGAATAAACATTATTATTATCATTATTATTTGTTTTGTTTTGTTTTTTAAGTACCACCAAAATATGAGCAGTCACAAAATACTGCAAGCACAGCTGCATATGTACTGGAATGTAAGTCATCGCTTTGCGCTCATGTTATGAGAAGTTAGCGTTTGGACCTCAGCATCTTCGATCTGGATGCTGCGTGTCAGATCTTTTGCAAAATTCGAGTTTAAGTTAATTGTAACAAACTTCCCAAATGCAATGTCCTTACTGCGCACGTTTGGTTCACTTATTTCCTTTACTTTGAGTATCTTCGACTTCATACATGTAGTTTTCAATATCATAGTTTTGTTTTTTATTTAGTTCAGAAGTTTTTTTTTTTTTTTTTTTTTTTTTGCATAGGCCCCTACATGTAAATTTCACCTATTGGTACTTATTGATAGTAGGCTATATTATTGATACCTATAAAATGAAATACCACATGATAAACTGAGGAGAGGAGCAAAACGCAATTAAGGATGTAGGTACATAGGCCTACAATGATTAAACTAGAATAGAATGGGCCTATTGAAGAACAAGGCAGTTTATCAGTTTTAACTGATAAACTGGCTTATTTTAAAAAATATTCAAAACAAGGTTAACCCCAATCATCAAGAAGAACCATCGCAACGAACTCATCAATACTGCCCCATGCGACTTTTAAGCATTCGCAAAATCACACAGGAGTGTTTTCAAAGACTTCATATCTTTAACATTACGCATAGAGCCCTATATGGTAACGTATGTTCCAAAAAACGTACGGTAACGTATGTTCTTGCCATTTAATTTTCATTTTTATGCCGCGTTCCGATATTTTTTTAAGTGGTTCAGTCATGGTAAATTAGACATGACGTTAGGACGTTTTAATAAATATTTAAACTGTATCTCAAGGGGCTTTGCGTCATGGCTTATACTAGGTAACGTTACCCTGAGTGTCAGAGCAACGTAAAAGCTAGCTTACTAAATATACCTTGTGGTGGAGTCGCTTTTACCTGGTATTGCTACTATGGGTTATATATGAAATCAAGATCGAGCTGGCAATACCGGAATCTAGAACCTAGGGTAGGTAACGTATGTTCCCTAGAAAAATTGTCAAAATGTGTTTCATTTTGTTCAAGTACTTGTGTGCAAGAGATACAATGTTTTCTTTTGCTGACCGAACAATATATTGTGGTTCCATGATAGTTTGACATTTCTGATATAATCTTTGGATCATGAAGGGAAACATGTTTATTTAATGCTTATTTTACTGTCGGTAGGGTGTATTTTCCCCATTTTTTAATATTCTGTGACAAGCAAACTTAAGTCGCTCAAAAACAATTAACTGGTCTATACAGAAGATTATTATAATTTTTAGCAACGTTATGCTTGTAGGAGATAAATCAATGAACAAAACCAGTGATGACTGAATTTTCAAAGTGAGTAGAACGTTTCACAGTTGGACGTTTTGTATTTGTGACAGTAATGTTCCTTTTTGGGGTTAAACGATGAATAATTTTTAATTATTCATGGTTCCAGGAGAGTGAAACTTTTATACAAGCTTCTTCATGTGGGACCCTAAAATAATCAAACACAGTTAGCAATCTGTGCAGTAAATATTTTTAATAACATGCTTGTGACATCAATTGCACCTCTATATTGGGTTTGGGTGTCTTACCTTTTTTTTTTATTAATGCAATTACAGATAGGAGATAGGATTGAGAAGTGGATCAAGAGAATGTTAAAAAAAAAAGGGGGGACCCCCCCTGAATTAAATCCATTTTAATTATTTAATGTGAAATTTAACAAATTTGTAGACTAAATGTTCTTTCTCGCACAAAAAGGAGGAAATCCTCTAAATGGAGGAATAAGTCCATCATCGGATTTTTATACCAACGCAGGAGATCGTATCTCATCGTACACCCGATTGTGCTAGGTGCGCTTAACAATCTCAACATCTTCTACATCATATGACAACATGGCGACCGAAAATCTCGATCGCACTAACATGGCCCCAGGGACAGGGTTGTAAGCGCGTGATCCGAGCCTATTGACATTATTGCATGTAGTAGTTCAGGTTAACAATGCGTGTACCTTCCAGGATTCTCTCTGGTGCTCTGCATCATCAAAATAAAGGGGCCTGCGACTGGTAAGTGCTGATTACTTTGAACATTATGACAGCACTGTAATTTCTGGCAACATTTTTTATTTATATTTTGATTTCTTTTAACTTGTGAATTGTTTACTTAGATTCAATCATACTTTTTAGAAGACCCTTAACTTTTAACCTGCAACCATAATTTGGTGTAAAAAGGCTTGGCTTCATCAAAATTCTAACAATGTACCCAGTATTCACCCACACTCCCTTTTCTAGACCAAGATGGTCATTTTAAAAGAACCGCCTCTTTGGCTTTGTATATGTATTTAACACTGAGAGAACACAGAGGAAACACTGAGTTCTTCATGGTAGGCCAAGCTGTCACAAGAAAGAGAAAGTACATAACATATATTGTCCAAATATTCGTGGAAAAAGCTTGGTGAGAATTTATTGATAGATAAATACATGTAGCTATAAAATGCCAAGGCTGAAATGATCAAATGTGCACATTGCAAGATTTACCAAAAAAAAAAATCATTGTTTCAGAATTCAACTGGGGTAAATGGTAACTTTCTCTGACTAACCAACCTTTGGCCCTCCTTTCCTGACACACCCCATACCTCTGTATTGGAAAAATTAAATAGTCATTCTTAAATCCCATCATTTTTGGAGCTCTCTTTCTCAAACTGACTTACAATTTCTATAATTAAAAACCAACCATTTACAACTGTGCCAAGATAGTTCACAGGCAGTGAAATTTGTCAGATTTGATTGTTTCTGGCAACATTAATTCAACAAATTTATATATGAAAATAATCTAAAATACAATTTGCATTTACATAAGTTTAGCATAAGTGGGTTAATACGTATAAGGTGGATCCAATCAAACCTACCCAAGTAATGTTATAAGAATGTAGTACCATATACTGCAAACAAACAAAACACAACTTTACAAATAGCCATGTACATGTTTCATATTTCAATATATAGGTATACCTTCTAACACTTAAATAAAGTGCTGCCTCTGCAGCATTCACATGTAAGATATGTCAACTGATTTCCAGCCTGCAGCATTGTCACGTGGGTGCCACTGAAACTGATCATGCAGGTGATAAGCATCCCTGATTGTCAGTAGATTAAATGTCTTGACATGTAAATTTGCAGAGTAAAAAAATGTTACATGTAACATTTTAAAGCTACACTTGACCAAATTGAATCATTACCATTTTATTGTGTAATGTTTTATTTATTTTCATTGTTTATAGGGGATGGCAAGGCCTCCTTGCATATGGATGTCAAAACCTAGTTGTGGTTATTGACACACAGAACCTTCAGGTAAAATGTCATTTTATCGTTAAATATTTCTGTAACATTTTTCTAATTATTCAACATTTTCTTTAACAATTTAAAAGTTTCTATTGTCACAATGAGTATAAGTTATAAATATGTTTATATTACATTTCTTACTTTTCATTACTATTCAGAATATTTGCACAGTTTTTCTCTTATTTTAATTCTTTTCTCATTAAAACAGATTTTGCAGACCCTTGAGAAGCACAGAGGAAATGTAGTTAAGGTAACCTTGATACTTACCTTTTTTTTTAAATACTTACCTTATTCTGAAATGTGACATCAAAGTATGTTTTTCACTTAATTGTAACATTACAGTATAATTTCTGATTGGAATTATATAGCAGTTTTTAGATATAATCCCTTCCGTTCTCTTTACCACAGTGTGTTACCAGTATTTCAGAAGCATCTTATGCACAGTTCCGCTTTCCTATTCCAGGTGAAGTGGGGGAAAGAGAATTATTTCCATGATGTTGTGACAGGGTACCCCCTACGTCTGGCTTCAGCAGACACTAATGGCAGGATAGTGATTTGGAGCATTAGCACTGGGACAAGTAAAATAGACTTTGCTGATGGAAACAAACCTGTTCAAGGTGAGCAGTTTTATTGTTAAAACTGTGTGTGTGTGTGTGTGTGTGTGTGTGTGTGTGTGTGTGTGTGTGTGTGTGTGTGTGTGTGTGCACGTGCATGTTTGTGTGCGCACAGATGGGAGTGCATGCATGTGTGTGCATGTTTGTTTGCATGTGTAGGTGAGTGAAATATATCATTTTTAATGTTTTATGTTATTGTCATATATTGCCTGAATGTGAATAGAAGTTAATGACAGGACATTAAATTTGAAGCAGCAGTTTAAGCATGGGGTATCTTATAGCTGCTGTAAGGATATTAAATCAAGTATTCAAGACAAATAATTATGATAACACCAATGCTGTCTGTTTCTCAGATATGGAATGGCTGTCCTACCAGGACCACGCCCATGACCTGCTGGTGACCCTCTGTCCTCCATACTCTCTGGTGCTGTGGAGAGCGGACACAGGCCAGAAACTGTGGAAGAAAACATACACTGAAACTCTGACATCATTCTCTTTTGACCCATTTGACTCCAAAAATGTGGCATGTAGGTCATCAGTTCAAAGTGGTTAAAGATAGGAGTGTTTATTTGCTGAACAAGTTTATAAGGACAAGAACAAGTTCCTATTAAGGAAAATATTTTTTACCTTGTTCATTTACAAATGTTAAATTAGGTGGAATGTATTTTCCTCTAAGCTTCTAATTAATGAAAATTATGCTATCATGGTGTCAAAATATTTGAGGAAATGCTGTATAAAAATGAGATGAATTGTCTTTGGCAATTGTTTATTTTAAAATTACAATACTACTGTTAGTTGTCTATAAAAATATATTGTGTCTGAAGATTTTTGTATAAATGAGATGGTAACATTGACAGATACCATTTGTTGGATGTCTGAATGGTAAGTTAATTATTCAACAAATTTTATTTGTCTTTTCAGTCCTGGGTCAAGACTGTATAGTTTTTATTGATGACTTCTCAGTGGTCAAGGTTCCCTCCAGTAATGGGAAAAAGTTTTTTGTCTCCAGTCCCAGTTCTCAATTGCCTGCTGTGCAAGGTATTTTTTATTATTCTTCTGAGTTTTTAAATTGCTTGAACAGAATTTTGATGCTAAAATATGATGGACTTTTTTGTGACTTTGTGAGTTGTTGCTCCGTGATATAAACTTACAGATTGTGGAGTTCCAAACTCAGAAAGCATACTATTGATGAAAACATTTTATAGAGCTCTTTTTGCTCACTCTTTTTAGGCTAATTTAAAAGTTCTAGGCATTCATTGCCTTTTTGCTCTGCTTAAAATATGTTGTTACTAGAAGAAATATCAGTTTTTTAATGTATTTTACATGCCTATGAGGTAAATGCTTGCTAAAATTTCATAATTTTTACATAATTGGCATATGTGTTTTGAAAAAAGTCTCAATTTACAAGATAAGATTAAATGCCCAGCTTTTAATATCAAATTGATTCCTTGGCTTTCTCTCTGACAAAAAATATTTTATTGTAGCTCCTGTTGCTGTGAATGGAGAGAAAAAGTCCAGTAAGATCACATTAAAGAGAATGAGCCAGTTACTCCAAGGAGAAAAGAAAGAGAAGTGAGCAGAGCCAAGTTTCATCATTTTCTTAGACAAAGTTCCTAATATGGCAGTCAGTGGTTTCTGTATCATGTATTTGAGCAGGCATGTCCTTTGGTTGTGGATAATCAAAAATCCCCACACCCAAATGCCAACCATATCAATTTTGTTTTTATTTTAGAATTTTCCATTGTTTTATTGTGTGCCTGAAACTATTGCTCAGGCAATATTAAATCACATTCTTCATTCATCTCAGAAATGTTTTATACCACTTAAGAACAGTGCCCTTGGAAGAAGTCAATGTGACCCTGAATGAGTGCCTGCAGTTAACCTACCACCAGACTTGCCGGCACCACATCATACTTCTGTATGCCAGGGAGGTATTAATACTGGACCTGGAGATTAACCAGACAGTTGGTATTATCCCTATTGACAGAACTGGATCATCTTTTGCTCAGGTATATTATATGACTAAGGCCGCATTCTCAACGAATTGAGCCAGGCTTTACAAATCCTGAGAACTAAAAATGGTTTTTCTTTCATGTAGGACCGCTATTTTTAGTTCTCAGGATTTGTAAAACCTTGCTCAATTCGTTGAGAATGCGGCCTAAGGGTGTTATGGCTATTCCTGTGTGTCCTGTCCTAAGATTTTATGAGTGAAAGTGAACCTGGCTTACAGGTTAGTGTTGTTGTTCTTTTGCTTCATTTATGAAAAGTGGTTATGACTTAGATTACAAATGGTACATGTAAATCTATGAATTTATGGAGTTATAGTAATTTGGTCACCTGTAATAAAAGTCTAAACCAAAACATTATAGCGACTCAGTTCCAGTGACATTTTGATTCTGTAAGAAGGGAATGTACATATTTATACTCAAACTTTCAGATTATCCCATGTAGTCAGAGAGATGTTCTCTTGGGTCTTCATGACAATGGGTCAATCACTGTAAGAGTCAGACACAAGGGGGCAGCAGTGGCAGCCACTCCAGAACAAGTGGGAACATATGGCACACAAGGTTAGTGCAAGGAATTGTTCTGTGTATTGGGACATTGCCAGATTGTCAGAAGTTAAAGAGATGCCAATCATTCCTCAATTTTATTATTTTATACAAAGCAATCTGTTTGTTTTTAATGTCAAATAGGGTACTTGGGTCTACTGTACAAGTATTTTGATCTTAAGTACAAAGTTGTTACATGTAACATGGCATTATTTATTTTGTATATGTAGAATACACTAATGTCAGTACAGCACACAGTGGATTGTGTTCTTCATTTACTAGTACCAACCTCAAACTTAATAATCAAGCCCGATATTTTTAAATGAAACATTAGATCTTTTATTTTTCATCAATTTTGTAAATTATTCTTATTATAGAGCAAGAAAAAGTTCCCATAGTCTTATAGTCTTAACTTGCAGTTCACTTCCTCAAATACCTTGGATTTCAGTGTAAAAGCTGAATACTAATTATTTGACCATAAAAGTAAATAAATGCCTAATTTTGTACACTACACATTAATTCTTTGTACAGAAGAAAACGGTATTGGTGTGAGCCAGCCAGACATGATTTATGATCTACGTTGCCAGTCAGATCCCATGCGTCTAACCAAGCATGCGAGAGTGTACGGCATGGTGTGCAGCCCAGTGACAGAGCGGAACATAAGCCTCATCATGAGTGATGGGCGTGTCTTAGTCTGGGATTTGATGGCTGTTGACAGTGAAGTGAGCATTGTTTTTTGATTGGTTAATATAAAAATGACACTACCATGTCTTGCCCATTCATCTGTTTTCATTTTCAATTATTTTCTATTCCAATTACTTATTCATTTTGACAACATGATAAGCCTGTCATTGAAATTATACATTTGCAAAATATTGAGTTGTTCTTGAGTACAAGTAAGATTTTTATGACCAAACAAATTTTTCATCATTCTTCTCATTCAAAATTTGAACCTGGCAGTAATAATCTGGCCATTTGTCTAAAGAAAATTTATCATAGGGTGAGTTCAACTTGACAAATTGTAACTTAAATTCCTTGTTATATAAATTAAGTTTAATTTTCTTCATAAAAGGTGTGTGTGCTTTTAATTACAAAGAATATTTATAAAATCATTTTTCATTACATTGATGTTCTGATTTAGTTTGACTGGACAGTTTTATTTGCTTCCTCAGGACAGTCTCTCTGGCAATTCTCCTATGTATACTCCTGGTCACAGTAAAGTGCAGAAGTTCATGTTCTCAGCTTTTGAATGTCAGCTTCCTCTGGTGTCTAATGCACCTTTCCCTAAGAGCACACTCAATGATTACATAGGTGAGCAATTTTTTTTTATTTATTTATTTGTGAATTTCAGTTTGACAAAGTAATTTTCATAACATGCAGAGCTTTATAAGTTGACACAATGTGTAATTTTCATAACATGCAGAGCTTTATGAAAAATATTTCAACAGTTTCATTTTCTAAATCTCATTTATCAATGAAAGTCCAAAAGAGTTTGATATTATTTTTGTATTTCTGATGGGGTACTTTATCTTCTCAGGCAACACACAGGTGTGCAGTCCAGATAGCCTGGCCAGCAAGAGCAGGCATGGTATTGTGTTCAAGTTTGTCCTCACTGGGATGATGTCTGGTCTAGGTCCAGCTCCTCTGGTCATCAAGATGTGTCCACCTCTGACTACTAAGAATTTCAGCACCTACAAACCTCTGCTGGCGGTTGGTTAGTAAAGATATCCTCAGTATTCACAAGTACATGCAATGGCTAGGCAATACTGCCCTTACAATTTTGATTAAAATAACAGATATATAAAAAATTTAATTTTTGTCAAGAAAATGATCTTTTGTACAAACCGTTTTTTACGTGCATATGTTAGCTGTTAGTAAATTTAAATATTCAAACTATTAGTTAGCAAAGGGTAATACATGTGCTAGTAAATAAAAAGACAAACAAAAGAGATAAACTATTTCTGTCAAGTTTATAAGATACATGTGTTATGTGTGTATTGTTTCCTCACTCCAGGCACCCCGAATGGCACTGTGCAGGTCTTCAATGTCAGCAGTGGAGAGCAGTACAGAGAATATAGTGTGCATTCCTCAGCTGTCAAGTAAGATTGCATTTAGAGGGATGTTTTTATTTCCTGAAATTTTGACCAAAACCGATTTTGTTTATTCTTTTCAAAAAAATGATTTAAATGTACAGTCTCAGCATGCTATTTGAACTGGGCTCACTATTAATTTTTCTCTTTGGTTCAGGCAGCTTTTATTGTAATTGGGGACTTGTATAATAATAAGTTTATTAAAAATCATAGCAACCAAAAGGTGGAAGTTATACAGATATGTAAGTGCAAATAAAAATAAAGAAGAAAAGATTTATACATTAAGATCAAAATACAATTAGAGAAAATATACTTGTGCTTTATTCATATGTTTTGGAATTCACAACTATTATTTGAGAGGTTTCCTAAAGTAATGTCAGAAAGTTAAGATTAAAAAAAAATTTTGAATAATTATTCAGCATGCCAGTCTATAAGCTTAGAATTGTAGCAACATGATAACATGTCCTTTTTATGTTTTGTTTTTAGGGGCATTGACTGGGTAAGCCTCACTGCCTTCCTGTCCTTTGCTCACTCTGGCATCAGCTCCAGCAGTCAAGTGAAGAATGAATTGGTCCTGGTTAATGTGCAGTCAGGTATACACTGTATTATCACACATGCCTGTTCAGTTTTGAAAATATGGAGAATGGATGCAACCCTTATCTTATATTACCCTAAGTTTAAAAAGTTTTCTTAGATTTTGTACAGTACTTATGACTTTTCACAGCAGAGAGTAAATTTCCTTGTTATTCAATAGGTTTAATATATCAATTATACTATGAATTGTGAAGAATTATTTAAAATTTGATAGGCACTGTAACTCAAGTTAGACAGAACAGGGAGGAAGAGTCTCCTATAGAACTGATAGCTGTATCGCCATTAAGGTAACTGATAACATATCCAGTTCAGATTATTAAAAAGTATTATATTTCCAGTTTAATATTTTCGTACATAATTTATTGGTCACATTATCTAATTAACTCATCTATTCTCTACTTAGGTATGTGATTGATTCTTCCAGGTTCCAATTAGTTGAATTATACAGTGCCTACTGATTTTATAGATGGTGATAAGATTGTCCCCAGAGAAGATTGTCGTAGATTTTATTGCAATAACCTGCATAATGGTGTTGTTTTCATTGCACATGTTATGATTTTGGATTTTTAATTGCAGGCAGTACTTTGTGGTTGTGTTCAAGGACAAACCTTTTGAGTTGTGGGATCTCAGGACTCTGTCAATCATACGAGAGATGCCAAGGAATTTTCCAAGAACAACAGCTTTGGTGAGTAAGGTCTAAATTTTGTGAATGTGCAGTGAGCTTCAGTAGGTGGACCTGGAGCTAGTCTGCCCAGTAGACTGAGTCTTCCATAGAAGATAATTGTTGTTCAAAATCATTTTGAAAGGCAAAGTCCACAATTTGTCTTACCTAAGTTTTGGTCATCTTATAGAATACCAACAAGGAGGACTTTATCAGTCCTGTGTTTGCATATGTACTTGCACAATTACCTCCCTTGGCCATGAATTGAGCAGAGAAATTGCGTTATTTTGATATATTCTTTTGTTGTTGTTGTTGTTGTTGTTTTCATATACAGTGGTAACCAAGGTTGGTTACAGTAATGAATATCTTTGTTTGAGATTGTTAACATAAAGATTATAATTTAGCTCATATTTATCGAACCTCCTTTTGTCTAGTGCTGGGCACCCTCTCACAGCACTAAGACCCTGAAGAAGCGTCAAACCAATGAGGGAGTCACAACATTGTCAGTTACGGACCTTACAACCTCGGCACCAGCAGCAATTTCGACTGAAACCACAACCAAGTAAGACAATATTATTTACCGTCACAGTTTCCATTTTGTTTTTAACATTCAGCTGTTATCTGTTGTTTTACAGTAGCAGGTCAAGTTCAAAAATAAGTCTGCATGATTGGTTTAGAAGGGTTTTTTTATGCTGTTGTCATCTTATGAGCAACAATTACAGTTAAGAACAGAAAATAGTTATATTCTATAGATTTTTTAAAAATCTGACAGTATTATGTTAGTGAATCTTAACAGAATAGGGAGATGTAAGTTTTTATTATTTTTGTGCAGTTCAGACAAGCCAGGCAGCTCCCAGACAACAGCAGGCCATTCCAGGGAACATTTTGTGTTCACAGATGCCGATGGTCTACTGTATCATTTTATTGTAGAGGGCAGTATCATCAAAGATGGGTCCAAGATTCCACCAGAGGTACTTTAATAATGTCATGAACATTGAACTTTCTTTGTTCAAGGTCTGGTAATCAGCTTGGTACATGTAGTTCTGCATGATATTTCTGAAATGAATTGATAAATTGTAGAATCTAAAACTGGAATTCTTAAAAATATTTTTTGGTAATGGTATGATACATGTATATTATGCAATAAAGCTGAAAAAAGTCTTGTTAAAGAAGAGAAGATGCAGGGTATAGTGCTACATTTATAATACAATTTTCTAAAATGTATGTGCAGGTTGAAGAATCTTAATACTGATTCTGATGGCATTTCAGTCCCTTTTAAGATAAAAAGTCATATCTGCACCTCAAATCCACCCAGGCAAAGTACGCAGGCACATTTTCTTTTTCTAAATATTTTTTTATTTTGTCTGATAATTACCCGCAGTTCTCTGTACACTGTTTGATTTGTGTGTTGACAGAATGGCATGGGTAGCATCACCAGTCTGGCCTGGAAGAGTGACACTATGGTGATGGGCGATGTGGATGGAAATCTCAACATATGGGATCTTAGGGCAAGGCTGTCAAAGTAATTATCAACTAAAATGTCTGCATGAACTCTTTTTTGTCATTTTCACAATTTTCTTCTTCCTTAAAATGTTTTTATGTAATTGCCAGTAAGGAGCATTTTTGTTTGAATGCCAAATTAACATTTGTCGTACAGCTGTGAATGTTCCTTAATTTTCATTCTGATATTATGAAGTAAGAAAAATACATAAAAATAAGTTTCGCATGAGCTTTTTGGTAAAAGTTGTTTTTCCTTATGATGCATTTTTATTGTACATGTTTGATTAAATGTTACTTTCACAATATACCAAATGTTTTCCAGGGCCATCCCTACTCATCGTGGTTGGATCAGAAAGGTCAAGTTTGCCCCTGGTCGAGGCAACCAGAAACTGTTAGTTATGTATAATGATGGTGCTGATATATGGGACACCAAAGATGTATGAATAATTTTTCTATTTCAGTATCTGACACTGCTTTAATTAGCCTGTCAAAATGACATTACATGAAACAGTTATATTCAACAGAAGAAAAATATTGGCAGCTTACATATAATGTTGAAATGACGAGTCTTTATTATGATCTTTTAATTGTTCACAGGTGTTTGTATATAATAAAACTAAAATTCCTTGTGTAACATATTTTCTCTGCACTTGTAGTCTACTTCAGACTTACACTTATTTTGCCATGATAATGGTTTTTATGTAGACAGTTTTGCTACCCATGAGTAGCTAGCTTCTAAGAAATGAAATACCATTACAGCTGGAACAAGTAAGCTCTTTGAAGTGCCCCAAAGAGCTTCCAAGAATCAATGATATAGACTGGGCTGCTTCAGACAAACCTGTCTTGGCAACAGCAGATGGCTGCATTCGGGTGGCAGATCTGGATTTGAAGGGCGCCATGGCAACCCTGGAGGAGTATCATTTGACAGGTAATCTTATAGCTCTGAAGAAGATAGTTGAAGGGATCATGCACTAGATTTTGAGCTGAATTAAAAAATGCCAATATTTGCTGGCATCTTCAGCAATGTTTTAGTACTCTTATTTTAATTTTAGAGGGATGATTTACCAATTGCATTATATTACACACTGCTTCAGAGCACGTGTCACTGTTTCCATCACATGGTTTGTTATACAGATTTGAATAAGAACAACCCAAACGAATAGGATCCTGTAAGATCCTGTAGCATCCTACAGGCAATTAGGCCAATTTCCTATACAATCCAATAGGATCTTATAGGACTTTTTTGTAAGGGAAACTACTCGGTCAAGTAACAAAAAATATTTGTATCTAAGACCCCATTTCCAGAGATTAGATCGATCTACTTTAGATAGACCTAACTCCCTGGGGGTTCACGCTAAATAGCTGTCAGCCGGGTGGACACGAAAGTTAATTACCCCCTTACAGCTTGTAGTAGGCGGGACGGACATTTAAGCCGGATTATCTGACAGTAATCTAGTGAGACTCCCTGCGGGGATAGATCGATCTAAAAGCTCTGGGAATACAGCCTAAGTTTTTACTTCCAATTTTTTGTCGCAGTTTTCCTCTTGTCTTAAACATGCTGTTTAATTAATGGCTTCTGAGTTTTTATTTCAGCTTATTTATCAATTTTTTCTTGGTATTTTCACCTCACATTACATTATTTTTCAGCCCCTATATTCTGCCCCCATCTGCTGCCCAGCAAGGCAGCTCTGACCCTAAAATACTTGTTACAACATCAGCCATGGCAAGAGTACAAGCTAGAACTAGGCCAACACATTAACAATGAGGTGCAGCATCTGGTCAACATGCAGTTTAAGATATTAGACAAGTAGGTTGTATTAAAAGATGGAGAGAATTTTTGTCCAAATTCCACTGTGTCCAGCACAACTTTCAGCTTGATTTCCTTAAATACATTTAAGTTGTACTGGGAAGGTTGTTTACCTGTAATTAGTCATCCCAGGTGTTTATTGTGATGACCGTTTATCTCAAGATTTCTGCAGCTGGTGGGCATCAGTTGATTTTCATAGTTCTTTCTTTCTTTCTTATCTGTATGCTTTACAACTAAGAAAGATGAAAATCAAGTTTTTTTTTCTCATTTAACAGAAAATATGCCAGTATCATATAAATTGTGCAAGGGGTTGTAAACCTTCTGTTCTCTAAAACTGTTAGGTTTTTTTATGTACTGTTTCCTATTCTATCATATAGGAGACATTTATCCAGAAATATTTTTTCATGTAGTGACTTAAAGGCATATCTGACCAGCTGTAGCTTTGGGACAGCAGAGCGCTGCCTTCTTACTGCCCGGATATTTGGAGATGAGTCTGACCTTCACTTCTGGACTGTGGCTCTGCACTATCTCAGGGCAGAGAAAGTGCAGCCTTTGGGAAAGGTGAAACAATTTGAACAGCCTGTTATAATTCACAGTTAGAGCATTCTAATAAATGTATACAGTGTGGGGAATGTGTTTGAATGTCTGAATGATGTTATTTAAATTTAATTAGGGGAGAAAATAGCGTTTTTTGTATTTAGTTCAGAATGTAAAATAATATTTTTCTTAGTAACTTGTCGTTCAATGACTGCATATTGTAGTAGAGAGAGAAAAAATACCCCCCTTTTATGTCTCATGAAAAATTGACTGTTCATCAACCCAGTATTGATTCACTGCACTGAATCGTAATTGTTCATAGCTCCTCCAGAAACAACTGTCCAGCAGCTCTGGCTCTGGTGACCTGTACAAACCAGGCAGTAGTAGTTGTGACCTGGTTCAGCTGGACGATGATCAGTCTGAGGTGGACAAGACGCAAGCCTGGCGCATGATACAAGACCAGCCACTAGAGACGTGCTATGATGTTCTCTGTGATAACCAGACATTCCAGGTAACCTCTCTTCACAAGACTTTTTGCTTTGAATTGTTTCATTAATCTACATGTAAATGCTCTAGGCTTTTTAAAGTATTAAGGTGTGTGACATGATTGTAGATATCTGCTTTTCAGGGTTTGAATTTTTTCAAGACTCTTTCAAGATAAAATATTATTGAGCATCATTTCTTTACAGCAATATTTAGTAACCATAAAGGTACATGAGGTGGTTGAAGTTTACCTGACCTTACCTAGCAAATATAATGCAAATTTTATAACCTGAAGTCTGCCTATTCTTACCAGCCATATCTTCCCTTACACTGCTTTGGGGTTATCTTATAGTTACATGTATATTTATAAATATTGTCAGGAAGACAGGATTGAGGAGAAAGAAATAATACTTCCAAGACCCACACACCCACACACCCTCCTGTATATAGTTAGGCTGCTGGCTACTTTATCCCATAAGCATGACATCAGATGTGACAGTATTGTAAAAAGAAATAAATTACATAGAATTATGTACATAAATAAATACAATTTCCTGACTGTGACTAGACTGCTAACTTTTGTGATTTATAAAAGAATCCTATCTTCTTAATGTTGATTATTGTAGAAATATCAGTTGGACCGAATTGCTCTGCATGATGTCAAGAGGGAGTCCTATGAACACACAAAGAAAGTAGCAGAGAACCTTATGCTACTAGGACAAACTGACAGGGCTGTGCAACTTCTCCTAGAAACGGAGGCCGAAAATGACAGCTATTACATAGATTGTCTTAGGTAATACAGCTATACATTTTATCTGGTTTGTTATGTCAGAGGTTGGCAGAGTTAGGACACTAAAATGTTGCAGTGATTACTTGCTCATTTCTGGTTCAAATACAAGAAAAATAGACTTTTGAATAAGTGTGAAAAGCAGTTTGAATTTCTCTCATAAAGTAGTATTTTTAATTCAAGTTAACTACTGTAAGTACTGTAAGTTCGAATAAAAGGGATGTTTGATGATATGACATGTTATTTTCCAGAGCATGTTTGGTGGCTAGTATAAGGTCATCTGGAGCCTCTCAGAGCACCATCAAACTGGTGGCCACAAATCTTATTGCAAATGGCAAGCTGTCAGGTAAGAAATCACTATAGAGAACTTTTAAACAAGGTATGTCTTGTATATTATTGTATTAACAATTAGGAGCTGTAAGTGTATTATAAGCTATACATTGTATTATTTATTAGACAATGATTGTTATGTATCCCAGTGTGATAGAAAAATTAAATTTGGTATATGATAATAAAGTATTTTAGGCAATTTTGTCTTCACCATCAGCATTACAACAGTGAAAAATTATTATTTACATCAGTATAGCAAAAGATATTGTATATAGATTCTTTTGATCTTCAGGAATACTGTTAAAATGTATTTGTGTGTAGTACTTGAAAGATTTAGACATTTAAACATTATTTATTATGATAACATATTATTTGATTAATTGTCCTTAGAGTTTTGATTTATGAAGCAAATCAGTCAGTTTGGAATGGTGCAGTTTAGATCATCATAAATATGATGTTATGATATATTTATTTCACAGAGGGTGTTCAGTTGCTGTGTCTTATAGACAAGGGCTTGGATGCCTGTCGCTACCTACAGACTTACGGGGAGTGGAATCAGGCTGCATGGCTGGCCAAGGTAGGGATGATAGATAACAAGCCAGGGGTTTAAAACTTGCAATCTAAACAAGCATTATATATATATATATATATATATATATATATATATATATATATATATATATATATATATATATATATATCTCTGGGGTAGCACTAGCAATTTTTTTCACTTAATCAAATCAATATTTTTTCATTGCTTTTTTAAGAATATGGTTTGAATGTGACTAAAACAAATCAAATCAGCCCTATTTTGTTTAGCCAATTGAAGTCCGTTTTAGCATTTGGCTACATTAGCGAGTGTTAACGCTACCCCACTATACACACGCACCCACACGCGCGCGCGCACACACACACACACACACACACACACACACACAGTCTTCTGGCAATTGCATACAGACTTCCCTGACCAAGACAAGGAGACAGAAACAAATTTGACAGATTTGGCTAAAACTGAAAGGAATTTATACCTTTGCAGCAAAGGCACGCCAGCACATAGAAATAACCTCAGTGTGAAGTATTCTTCACAACTGGTCAGAGTGATATACGTGTATCATTATTTTTTTCCAATTTATTTCAGGCTACTTTGAATGCATCAGAGAGTTTGGAAGTGATGAAAAGATATTCAGAGCATCTTTGTTCTGCAGCTGTTAATCACAAGGTAAACTTAATCGAATATTGGATGTTTTGATTTGAAAATATTTAAAACTAAATATAATACACTTTTAGTAAGGAAAATGCAACAGTAATATCCCCGAAAGATATAATATNCAGGTAGCTTCCGCATGGCGAACGGAGACGCGATTTAATTACTATACCCCGCAGGGACGACGTGTGGGGAGGCGGAGAGACTATTAAAAGATTAGGCGTTTTTTCTTTCATGTACGTCCGCCATTTTTAGGTCACCGGCTTTGTAAAGCCTGGCTTAATTTGTTGAGAATGCGCTCAATGATTGTTATGTGTCCCAGTGTGATAGAAAAATTAGATTTGGTGTATGATAATAGAGTATTTTAGGCAGTTTTGTCTTCACCATCAGCATTACAACAGTGAAAAAATCAACTCTATTATTCACATCAGTTTACATTAGCAAAAGATATTGTATATAGATTCTTTTGATCTTCAGGAATGCTGTTAAAATGTACTAGTGTGTAGTACTTGAAAGATTTAGACATTTCAATTTTATTTATTATGATAACATATTATTTGATTAATTGCCCTTAGAGTTTTGATTGATGAAGCAAATCAGTCAGTTTGGAATGGTGCAGTTTAGATCATCATAAATATGATGTTATGATATATTTATTTCACAGAGGGTGTTCAGTTGCTGTGTCTTATAGACAAGGGCTTGGATGCCTGTCGCTACCTACAGACTTACGGGGAGTGGAATCAGGCTGCATGGCTGGCCAAGGTAGGGATGATAGATAACAAGCCAGGGGTTTAAAACTTGCAATCTAAACAAGCATTATATATATATATATATATATATATATATATATATATATATATATATCTGGGGTAGCGCTAGCAATTTTTTTCACTTAGTCAAATCACTATTTTTTCATTGCTTTTTGAACAATATGGTTTGAATGTGACTAAAACAAATCAAATCAGCCGTATTTTGTTTAGCCAATTGAAGTCCGTTTTAGCATTTGGCTAAATTAGCGAGTGTTAACGCTACCCCAGTATACACACGCACCCACGCGTGCGCGCGCACACACACACACACACAACAGTCTTCTGGCAATTGCATACAGACTTCCCTGACCAAGACAAGGAGACAGAAACAAATTTGACAGATTTGGCTAAAACTGAAAGGAATTTATACCTTTGCAGCAAAGGCACGCCAGCACATAGAAATAACCTCAGTGTGAAGTATTCTTCACAACTGGTCAGAGTGATATACGTGTATCATTATTTTTTTCCAATTTATTTTAGGCTACTTTGAATGCGTCAGAGAGTTTGGAAGTGATGAAAAGATATTCAGAGCATCTTTGTTCTGCAGCTGTTAATCACAAGGTAAACTTAATCGAATATTGGATGTTTTGATTTGAAAATATTTAAAACTAAATATAATACACTTTTAGTAAGGAAAATGCAACAGTAATATCCCCTAAAGATATAATATATATCAGTGATCAGTAAGTAGATGAATTTAAGTACCTTTAAATGCATGTTGTCTCCTTAAAAGAACCATCTTCATTTTTATGTATTTTTCACTGTGTAATTGAGATTTATTTATAAGATAAACAATATTGTTAGTTATATGTTGCCATGTGTTGGTTCCAGAGTCAGGCAGTTTTGGTGATGTTGTCTTTGCGGCAGTTTGTTAAGGTACTAGAGATGTTATATGGACAGCAGCAGTTTGACAGAGCAGCACTGTTCCTGGAGGCATGTCTAGAGTTTGGCATCATTCAAAAGACGAAAGAAAATTGTATCCTTTTTGTATGTTTTTAGATTGTTAATGGATTGTTTTGTTCTTGTTGAATGGTAATAATTTGACTAAAAATTAATTTGGCAAAACAGAAATTAACCAATAGGTTGTGGGATCAGAGAAAACACTCAAAATTTTATGATTCTTGACACAAGCCCAGCATCTCTTTTAGAGGCAGTATTTCTAGAGTATGCTAGGTTCCTGACAGCCATGCAGAACACTGAGGCAGCACACTACTACTGTCATCTGGCAGGTGGAAAGGGACAGCAGTTCATGAAGGAACTGCAGGACACTCAGGAAGTGGAAGTGGCACAGGAAGTGGATGTTGCACAGGAAGTACAGAAATGAGAATCATCGGCATAAGATGGCCGGAATTGTATAAACTTGATATGCAAGGGTGGTTGAAACTGTAGTAGAGTACAAATGATGGGTTTAGCTAGTTGTCATTATGGCATGAACATTTCATAGTTGAAATAAGTGAAATGTAGGTTTAATGGTCAAGATAACAATAGTGTTGTTGACAAAACTTTGCTCTTGATCACGAAATGACGCATTTACAAAGGATTATGGATTGAATTGAAGCAGATCTCACTTAAACCTGACTACAGTTATTTACAGTTCCAAAACCAAATTTGCTTAATGGGTGAACAAAAAAAGTAGATTATTTCAACACCATTAATTTACTTAACAGATTTCTTCAGCACAGATTGTTATGTGGAGGACAACCGCTTCCTTTCTGTAGGGATAACATGAACTAGCAGAGCAAGCTGTTACCCCAGCACATGACATATGAATAAGTTACTTGTAATAGGAATGTTGTCATTATTTTTTCATTTCAAGTAGACTATTAAGTGTGATGTTATCTATTATCTATATCTGGTAACATGATGAAAAATATGATGGACATTTATGCTTTTACACTGTATATTATTACCTTCCTATTTTTTTTATATTTGTGTGTATTTTGACCACCATTAGCAAAGTGAAAGTTTGCTTCAAACTTAGGCTTCGTTCACATGCAATGTCTATTTTCTAAATTCTATTTTCTATTTGCGGCATGTCTTATGATCACGGTCTGTGCACTGAATATCCCGCCGCGTAATTACTGGCAGCGCGAGCCAGTTACTATAAGTTACTATAAGTTACTATAAGTAACTGGCTCGCGCTGCCAGTAATTACGCGGCGGGATATTCAGTGCACAGACCGTGATCATAAGATAGCGCGAATAGAAAATAGAATTTAGAAAATAGACATTGCATGTGAACGAAGCCTAAGAGTTTGTGGCAACCACTTTCCAAGAAAATTTTGTATTGTAGCTGATATGCAGCAAATTTGCATAAAAATTTTGCATAAAAATTTGCATAAAAGTGTTCTTACAAATTTGCAGTAAATTAGCAGCAAATTCGCAGCAACTTGGTGCAAGAATTTCTTGCAAATTTGCAGTAAATTTGCTAGAGAGTTTGCAGCAGGCCTGATATTTTGCTAAGGGGAAGTAATGCTTTGACAAACTGTGGTCTTCATCAGTTCTGCATAAAATTCATCAGTTATTATATCAGTTCTCTATGCGTGGTGCAGGTGCAGACAATGCTTTTCATTCAGCGATGCACTAGTAGGGGAACGGACTGAAAATATTTTTAATGAGGTTGCATTCTGAGTAAACTTGTTAAGCTCTTTATTTTTAGATTTGTCAGATTAGGAACAATCTCTTTTGTTCAAGAAAGGAACCTGTTCATTTCTATACGAAAGTTACAGACTAAATCCGTTTCTTCGAAATATATTTGTGCAATAATTTGGATGTATATTGAATTTTTTGTTTATCGTTTCATTTTATTTATAAAATAAATAGTACAGTGGCTATTTGTCATGACTCGTCATTTGGACTTCTTATCTTCATAGTATTGAGAAACTTCTTATCTTTACTGGTATATGAGAAATGCCCATATGGTATGGCTTCCATCACGAAGACCTCATCTTTATCTTGTTGCACCTACATGTAAATCTCCATATTCTATTGATTACCGACAAATCAGACATGTTAGGACACGGATATTTTTTCCTGGCGTTTGCTGGTTCTGTGTTTGTCATGTACGCCTGCGGGTTACCGTTAAAGCTAAGTGACACGTGTACTTACAAAGGCAAAGTTTTTCACGAGGGTCTGATCGCCAGCGAGAAATGTTTCATGGTTTACTGCGCTAACGGCTACGTGCGGTCTGTGGCAAAACCCGAGTGCTTCCCCAGGCCTGTTTCCACTAGTCGCCCTCATCCCAGTACCACAACCCAACGCAACCCGCGCCAGTGTAGGGTCGGCGACAAGACAATAAATGTTGAGAGCTACATAATGCAGGATGGAACCTGTTTTTATTGCTCATACCACGGCCTTGGGAGTGTGCCAGCAGAATGGGGATGCCTGACCACTACTCCCTTACCCACCTCAACTACAACACACCATCATGATGTTGGTTGCATGGTTGCAGGCCAGTGGTATCCAACTGGAAGTGTGGTCCGTAAGGAGTGGTGTACCACCACCTACTGTATGCATGGTTCTATGATGCTGGTGGACACACCATGGGACTGTGTCACCGGGACCACTGTCCAGCTGCCTCCCTCATCCAGCCCTCGCAGCCCTCCAACTACCACGCCGCTTCTCACACCAGAGGTCGGATTCTAATTTGAAGATCTCGATTTTTGAACTGAATGAGGTTTTCTGTAAAATACTTCTCCAGAAATACTGAGTGCTATTCATTTTCATTAAATTGAAGTTCTTTTATCAAGGTAACGTGCCTTTGGGTGAAACATACATGTATATATCCATGCCTTAGATTCTCTCTCTCTCTCTCTCTCTCTCTCTCTCTCTCTCTCTCTCTCGTTAAATCCCCCGCATTTCTCTACCGGAAGAAAGGTTTTGATTGCCTTAACCTTTGTGAATAACACGTAGCTTACAATGTATAATATGGAAAAATTAAAATGAGATATTTTCATAAAGACGTGTATAAATATTACACAAATTACACCAAATACAACCCAGCAGGCATAGTGACGTTGGATCAACGTTGAAAACAGGTTGATACGTCGAATTGCCGTTGATCTACCTAAATTTAACGTAAAATCAACGTTGATCCAGCCACGTCAAAACACCGTCATAAAGTGACGTTGACTCAACGTTGTATTTTGGTCATTGACACAAACTTGCAGACATGGATTGTAATTTAAAATATTAATTATTGAAAACGTGATACTTTGTTTATCAATACTGTAACTAACTTTATCAAAATAATAAAAAAAAAAGTGTTTTAAAGTAAAAGTGACAGTTGTTTTGTTTTGTCTTTAGTGAACTAGTGAATTTTCTTAACTTGTTATTCAGAAATACATTCCAATAAACTTCCTTGCAAGGTCAGATATCACTAGGATGAATAAGTCGCTGTAAATGGAGTGAAGCTAATAAAGTTGACAGTTCTTGGTACCCTGTTATAGATAGACGGGCTGAGGTGACTGTGACTTTGTTATTATATATATATATATATATATATATATATATATATATATATATATATATATATATATATATATATATATATATATAGTTATGGTCTTATATGTATATATAAGAAAATAACTATATATATTAATCTAAACCTTAGAAATTTTAGCTTAAAGGCCATACATATATACCCTACATATATTAAGCCATCAAACATGTCCTACTGCTAAACACATCCAGGCTAAAAGGGTGCACCATGCTCAGGTGCAAAACATGCTTAGGAGCTAAAGGCGTAGAAAAAATCAGACAAAGCAGCTACTTGGATGTTTTTACAGTGTACGTTATAATTGTGTACCTGTGTTTTGTACCAAAAATAAAAACATTTCAGGTCATTTTAATGTCTTTTCATGCAAGAATGTTGTCTAACATTTGGGGTTGATACAATGTTGTTATCTGACGTTGATCCAACTTTCAAATCCAATGTTTATCCAACGTATTATCAACGTTATGGTTCAACGTTGTTTTAACGTTAAAACAACAAAATTTGGGAAATTACACCAAGTTACTGAAAATAAAGAGAAATTACAAAGACAACGTGGGTGTAATTGTATAATAAGTGTAAAACAAGTTAAAATTTAATGTAAATTACCAAGCCCTTACCCAGCGATTCCAAAGGGGGTCTTTTTCTGAAGAAGTGGACCTTTTATCGCGGATATTAAAAAAATTTTCGAGTTTGTTCTTGAAGAAAAACTAAGGCGATGTTAATTACTTAAACATATTTAATTTGCTGAAAAGTTGTGAATGCAATCTTTCAATTGGGAATATAAATGAAAATACGTTAACACGTGTGCACTGCAGGGTGAAATATTCGGGTACGTACGGATAAAATTTAGTCCCAAAATATTACACGTCCCTATACTCCCGTTACCGATAGATACATAAAAGAAAAACGGAAAAAACGTCTTTTTAGATTAAAATACCGATAGATCCGATTTTTTTCTGCTGTCCTATATATTTGCGTTCCTATAGATATGACGTCCTCATAAACCCACGTCCTTTAAATCCGCATACCTATAGATCCATGTATTTTTAGATCCAAANCCCCCATTATTCATGGGGTCCTGAAGGGAGACTTGAATAAAAAAAACTTAGCACAGTCATACACTGTTCTGTGTGACATCTTCCCTTACATGAACCCTGACGGTAGGTATTCCCGTGTCTTTCATCCAAAATTTAATGTGCTCAAACTAACCTGTTTTGTGACTATGTAAAAAAGGCCAGGTCCTTCATTCATTCGATTCACTTAGTTTCGAATACCATAGCCGTTCCGGTCACCGAGTCAAAATGGTGATCTACACGGTTTGTAACTCTAAAAAAAAAGGGAAAAAAGATTATTTGATTGCCTCTAGTCGAGCAACCCTCCTTTAACCGCAAGTATTGAATAAATCATTTCAGAAACTAGTTTTTGCCACAAAACCTGGCTTCTCTTTTTATACAGACTAGATTTGACTTCGCCAAATAAATCTTCTTTTCTTTCATGCATGTATAATTAGCGGTTTCAAAAAATTTCAGATATAAAAAGTGGTAGGTTGGGTGGATCCACACCCAGTGAGACCGCGGTAACGGACTCGTCACCTCCAAGAGGGTTTGCATTCAACATGCGTGGATGTCAAAGATTTGCTCTGCTCCTAATGACAATATTGCTGGTGCACATGTTTGTTGATTCTGAAGGTATGTTGAAGCTTTTTGCTTTTTCTTTGTCGCGTCCAGTCTTAACGGTTTGTGTCTGATTTGCTGTAATATGATAAAGACTTCCATTGGCATTAAATGAAATTCAGTATGTCAATTATTTTCATTTTTCTTTGTATTTTGTAATTGACAGCTTGGCGGAGGCGGAGGCGCAGAGGAGGAGTAGACCTATCAAAGAATTTGGACAGTGAAGACGACGCGGCTAACACGGTATGCTGAATATTGCTTCAAAAGAGATGAAATATTAATCAGTTAGTGTGAAAATTGTTCACAGGTCGACGAACACGAACCCAACAACCTGTCAACATTCAGCCTGATGATGCTCTTGTGACGAGCGAAAAGTAGCTGATTTATATATTGTTCCGCAGGAAGTCACTAAATAGAAAATCTTGGAACCATGGAAAATCTAATACGTAGGTCAAATATTGTTATCAAACCCCAGTCGGTGACAAAGAGATTATTGTTACAGTCTTAAGAGATTATTACCTAAAATCAAACGTATTAGAAAAAATGGACTAATTTTGAATGTCGGGATGGATTCACTAACCTTTGGTAAGTATGAAAAAAGTCGTCGTTTACCACAGGAAAAACTGTTTTTTTGTCAAAATGAACAGTTATCCTTTAAGGGAACAACACCGACAACGTGAATAGTTTTTATTCATTCATTCATTTATACTAAATTTAGTTATCACAATTATTATTTTGCAGAACCAGCTGTCTGAAAAAGAGCGAAATATGCTCATGGATATGCTTAAAGATGAGATATTCATGAATGATGACGAGATAAAAGACGAAGATGAATGAACTAAAATGGACTTTTCATCGACGTTCACATGTGCAG